GTGGTGGAAGCATTTGTTTAAGCAAAAAATGAAAAAAAAAAATGAACGACACTCCTAGTCAACGTTTTGTTTTTTTTTCTCACTATTTTAGCTTATATTATCTCGTTTTTTTGGTCTGTTTTCTTCTTCTTCTTTTTTTTTTTTTTCTGAAACAACATGGCAATGGCCATATATATTCAACATTCTGGATCATTTTATGTCTGGTATCCGGGTGTGATGGATGAGATTGTTCCAGTCGTTGTTGTTGTTGTTGTTTTTTTCATTTCTCGAAGCCATTGGCATCAAACAAAAAAAAATACATTTCCATGTATAAGTGCTCTTTGATGAATTGGTGTGTCTGTGTTTGTTATCTTCTCATGTGTATATTTTTCTTTTCATTTTCACTCTGAATTTGATTCAAGCAAAAAAAAAAAAATAAAAGATTTTTTTTTTTTGGCCTGAAAAATTCGAATCGTCTTTTTTTTCAATTCAATATGTCACCATCACCATCACCATCACCACCGCCGCCGTCACCACCAGCACCACCATCAACTCTGATGATCAATTCAATCGATTCAATTTTGATTACAGAATATTTAATACAGAAAAAAAAATTCCAATTCAATCGAACCAAACTAAATAGGGTAGCTTAAATCATCATCATCATCATATTATAGAAATTTCGTCTGCACACGATACACATCTTTCAATTAGTGAGCCTGAAAAAAAGAGAGAAAGAATCGTCTTCTTTTGTTTGTTTCATTTTTTTTATTTCCATTATTCTTCAATTAAATTGTTCAAAAAAAAAACTTTTTATCTTTTGTTTTTTTTTCTCACCCACTTACCCAATCACATTATTTTTATCCATTGCATCGAAATTATTTTTTTTTTTTAATTTTATTTTTGCTAGAATGCATGAAACATCTCAATCAGAATTCTCTATTTGTTTGTTTTATTTTGTTTGAATTCTTAGTCTTTCTTTAGCCATTATCTTGATTCTTTCTCGACACACACACATACACATAGTTGTGAATTGTTTCAAATTCTTATTGTATTTTTTTTTTTTTTTTTGTTTTGCTTGTCGCTTTGTTTGTATGTTGCTTTTCTTGATAAGTCATGCTTTAACACACACACACACACACACACATCATCTGACACACACATCAAATCTATCCATCTTCTTCTTTATTTTTTTTTCTATCTATAGTTTTCAATATCAATTCCATAATTCAAACTTTCAATGTTGAATCCAAACTGAATCTATCCATGATGATTCTGAATGTTTTTTTTTTCTATCATTCAATTTTCTTTTTTTTTTTTTTTTTTTTGCTATATGATGATGATCAAAGGCATTTATAACTCAAAAAAAAGAATGATGTGAAAGAAGTTCCACATATACATGGTTTGAAATATATGAAAAAAAAAATTCGACGAATCCTCTCTTGTTATGCTATGCTATCACAGAACACAGACACATACAAATACAAATACAAAAATTCAAGTACAAATACCATATTCAGAATCCTAGAATATTCGAATCAGTATGAATCAGCATGACTAACATTGAGTATATAACAAGAATATAATGACAACAGCAGTGATAGTATTTTTTTATTTCTTATTTTTTTTTTTTTTTTTAACAACTTTGTTACTAGAACATCATTGCACATATACACATCAAATGAGAATGGATAAGATATTGAAATCGATCTTATTTTGCATCCACACACACACACACACGTCAAGACAATGACCACTAACGAATTTCAATACATTATACACACACACACACACACATGCTCAAAAACAATGAAAAGGAATTTGTTTGGATTTTTTTTTTTTATGCATGGTTTCGTTTTTGTTGTTGTTGTTGTTGTTGTTTTTCAATTTTTTTTTCTAGTTCCGGATTGACATAGAAAGCTTAATTTGTTATACAAATGCGATTCTGTGGTTATAATGATTTTTATCATCATCATCATCATTATCATGATCATCATCTACAACAACAACAACAACAACAAAAAACAACATCATCATTATGTTTGTGTGTGTGTGTGTGTGTAATTCTTAATGTTTCATTTGGTAACAATTTAGTCTCTCTCTAAAAAAAAAAAAATGGGAATCGACCTAAATGTTGAAAATTTTCAAAAACAATATTCGAATGTGGAATTTGACCATTAACACCATCATCATCATCATCATCATTATCATCTTAATCACGAATTTGAGCTTAACCAGAAAAAAAAGTCTCTTCGTTTCCTTATCATTTCAGCTGTCCAGACTTAAATAGAGAGCTGGACGGAGAACTGATAAGGGCAGGGAAAGACTACAAACTTCGTATATTTTTCACGTCGCATTTTTTTTTTTTGATATAATAATAAAATTATCAAAAAAAATGACCAATGATAATTGTATTATCATCACCATCAAAATTGTCTTATGATGAGCATTTTTGAGAAAAAAAATTTTTTTTTTTTTTTTATTGTTCACTTTTTTAAACATTCCATTCCGCTTGCGTACATTCAACTCTTTTTTTTTGAATGTTTCTCACCATATCCTATATATTTGATTCAATTTTGATTTGGATGGAATAAAGAAAAAAATAAAAAAAAATTTTCTTTCCATTCATTTCTATCATTCGAATACAAATCCAATTTCCTTTTCAGCAAAAAAAAAAAAAGTTTCACTTTTATACGCCCATTCACTTTATTTTTTTTTCTTCTTTTAGATTTTGGTCATTATGAACGATGATTATAGCTTTTCCTATGCTATTTTATATTCTTTTTTGCTTGTCATTCTGTGCATGATGATGATGATGATGATGATGATGGACATACCCATCCGAAATTGTAGAGAATCCATTGATTTCGGGACATTTTTTTTTTGTTTGTTTGTTCGATTATATCTATTGATTTTTATTATTCTTGCTGCATCAATTTATATATGTTTGAAGTGATGACTAAAAAAACGAAAAACAACAAATGGCATGGATTGTGCATGTTTTACATTTACAGTTATTTTTTTTCTGTGTATTTGACACATTTTCCATTAATGTGGTTTTTCTTTTTCTTTTTTTTCGCTTGGTCGTCATATGAATATATTGTCTTTTTGTATTTTTTTTCAAACATGGAATATTCTGTTGTTGGAATTTCAACTTTTTTTTGTGTGGAATTTTTTTCATCGTTGTATTCTGCCAGTGTGTGTGTGTGTGTGTGTGGTTTGGCCAACAAATTTGAAATTTTTATTTCAATTTGTTGGCCAAAAACGATGAATATCAACTGAAAAATTCTTTGTCCATCTGAAGAAGTGAATATTGTATCTTTGATTCAATTAATGACAATCTTCATTGATATGAATATGTTTAACGATAGAGATAGAAAGAGAGAAAAGGTAACAGAATAAATCAAGTAAATCATTTTGATTTGATTATCTAAAGAATTCATTTACATTTTAATCAAATCTATAGTATCAATATATTGTTGTATATGGAATGTTGATGATGATGATGATGATGATGATAATCATTTGGTCGTGGTTATGGAACATGATCATTGAAAATGTACCAAAAAAAAAAAAAAGTAAATAATTCAAATGCATTCCTTTTTCATTCTCGATCAATGAATTTACCACAATTTACATCAATGGAAGATGATGATGATCAAATTATATGGTAATAGCGAATGAAAATTCCTGCTCTTTTGATCGTTTCAATGATGTCAGTGAAAGAAAACAAAAAAAAGAGAATTGTATTCATAATGAAATAGAAAAAAAAAATGTATACGTGAATGATGAATTGATTTTTTTTTCTGTTTTCCAATATATCCACATTTGTTCACATGTGTGTGTGTTTTTGAGCACCAGTGTTTCCAAATATATTAGACAAAAATCATTTTGATTTTGTACTTTTTTTTTTGTTTGAATCAAGATTTGAGCGGGTAAAAAAAAATATTCGAAAACAAACGATAACAACAACAACAACAACAACAACAACAACAACAAAAACACACACATATATAATTTGAATAAATAAAATAAAAAATCGGTATAAACCATTTCACTATTATAGTGTGATTTATGAATGTTGTCGCAAGCTTGTGGTATTTTTTTTTTTTTTTTCGTGATCTTTTTCTTCCTTCTCTTTACAACTTTGACTTTTAATGATGGACCATGCTTATATATATTTGTTTATTCATTCAACCCAAACCAAACGATTGAGGCTTAAACATCACACATTGCCATTGACATTTTCATATTTTTTTTCTGGTTGTTATTGTACTTGTTGTTGTCTATCTTGTTAAATATGTGTGTGTGTGTGTGTGTGTGTGTGTGTGTTTTGTTCAAGTACAATGTTCACGATTAATGATGTTTCCAACATTAATAATCGATCAGTATTTGAAAAAAAATGATTGAATCGAATTTTTTGTTTTTTTCGATTCATATTTCATTTATTCATTCAGGTTGGTTCTCTTTCGGATGCAATGTGTGTGTGTGTGTGTGTGTGTGTGTGTGTGCACCTGAAAAAATTGTCATAATTTTTTTTTCTTTACAAAATTTTACTTCAATATAAAAAAAAATCAATTAATTAATCATCTTCTATTCTGGTCATCATCATCATCATCATCATTATTATCGTTGTTCATGCGGTAATTCCACAAGTTTAAAAATATATGAAAAAGTCACAACCGAAATACACACAGGAAAATTCAATGGATTCACACACATGATTCATGAACGTGTAACCAGAACCAGAATGTAACATGAACGAAACAAAAGAAACAAAACAAAAAAAAAATTGAAAACAAAAAAAAAAAAATTTTTTTTCTACATGTCCAATCATTATTATGTGAACAATAAAATGAAAACAAAAAAAAAAACCATCACCGTCCACACACACACACACACACACACACGATGTTTGTATTTTATTTTGTCATAAAATTGTCGATTGTTTCCTTTTTATTTTTTTTTTTTTTTTTTTTGATAAATGAGTAACAATTTTTTTGTTATTTGGTTGTTGACAAGGTTTTTTTTATGTTTTACATTTTTATTCCTATTCTTGTGTTTCACATTTATACACTGTTTGTGTGTGTGCATCTGCATTCTTTATGGGATTCCAAATTCACAAATGATGAGACAAGCCAAGCATATATAAACGTGTATGGTAAATGTGATTCATGGGAATATTTTTTTTTCGTTTTCGTTTTCGTTTTGTTTTCTGTTTTCTGTTTTTTTTTCTTGTATCATCATCATTTATCTATATCTACCATTCATTCATTACACTTATAATACAATTACGCTGTTAATGTAATGAATCCATCAAAGAATGCCGTTCCAATTGAAACATTCATTATTTGTTATTATTAAACGATCGAATATGATGGCTATTTTTTTGATGATTATTATTATGATGATGATCGATACATCTTATTCAATGCGTAATAGATCAAATCGTACTCGTTGTGTATTATATGGAAATCAACGAAGATGTTTAAATGATGGTTCTTCTGGACATAATTATCATCGTAACCAGAATAATCATAATCCCAATGAATGTAATCGATTTAATTCTAATATTGATAATTTCAATTTCAATGATGGTGACGGTGAAAATAATCAACAATCAAATTGGCGAAATAGAATGAATAACAATAATAATGGTACGAATCGACCATTGGATTCATGGCCTGGACAAAATCAATGGAATTCGAATCGAATGAATAATAATAATAATAATAATAATGGTGGTGGTAATTCTAATCGAAATAATGGCTACGGTGGTGGGAACTCATCAAACCAGAATTCTAATCAAGCAAAAAACAATATGAATAACCAGAATAATGGTGGTAATTCTAACAACAACAACAACAACAACGGTAATAATAAAGAGGTCACTACAACTGAAGCAATCAATGATATTGAAAAATTTTTAGTTGGTCGAAGGCGTCGTCGAAGACGTCGTCGTAATGCATTGTGGATGAATCCAAGCCTTTATATGAATCGTGCAATTGGTCGTAGTTTATCCAATGGCTATATTCATAATAAAGATGATGACAATGGTGAAAATGATGATGATGAACATAATAATGGTATGAATGATCATGGACTTTATGATCAAAATAATGGTAATAACAACAATCATCGTCATTTTGGTAACAATAATCGATTTAGTGGAATTCGTACTAGTGGTATTCGAGATTATTGGGAACGTATTGGTTCTGGTGATCGTAAAGATCATCATCATCATCATCAACAACAACAACAGCAGCAACAACAACAACAACAACAACAGCGAGATCGACAACGAGATTCATCATCAATGATGAATAATCAACAATATCCGATTCGGCCATTTTTTTCATTACAACAAACACGAACAACATTTCCATTGTTTAGACGTAATATTCGTTTATTTTGATTTTATCAACAGATTCAATAATGATAATAATCATAAACTATCATAAAAATCATACACTCCATTGAACATAATAATTACAACAATTAAAATCAATTGTAATCATCATCATCATCATTATCATCATCATTGAACTCTTAATCGCAGTATATTTTGTTTGTTTTCTTTTCCTTTGATCAATATACATATGGAAACAACAAAAACAAATTAATTTTATCAACAAAAGAATTTCTTCTCATTTGACATGCAAATTGAATCGATTTTAATTATTCAATTTGTTCAGTGATGATGATGTGTTATTATTATTATATACAACGGAATACAAGCAAAAAAAAAACAAGAATCACAAACATTTGAATTTTCAATAATAAACATTTTCATCATCATTATTAAATTCATTCTGGTTGAGAATTTGTGAGAAATGTCTTAATTTTTTGGCACTGCAAAAAAATTAATCTTTCAAATTGATTTAGAATCTTGGAATTTTTTTTTCGAGTTCCGTATTTTTTTTTTGTTGTTGTTGTTGTTCATGACCGATCAACCTGCAACAAAAAGAAAAAAGAAAAGAAAAATTGATTTATCATATGCACACATCAGACACATACACAAAAGATCTTTGTTCTTCATGTTTTGCAATTAAATGATCATGTTTTGTTTTTATCGTTTCTTTTCTGAATACTGAATATAATAATAATAATAATAAATAGATGACCTTTGTTTGACCATCATCATGATGATCAGCTCATAACTCTTTCCGATCATATTATATTGTATGCAATCATCATTGAATTTAAATGCAAATTATATCACATTCAGAATTTTTTTTTTCCTTTCAAAGACCAAAAATACCGCCACATAAAAAAAAATATTTCAACCAGAAAAGAATACTTGTACTAGGTTTATATGAATATTTTTTTTTTCATCATGTAATTTTGTTGAAGAGGGTATATATCATATTATGCCTTTTTCTGGTATAATATATTTGGGCATCTGTTTTTTATTTTGTGTTCTGGATATCAAGCAAACTGTCTTTTGTGTTGTTAGTTTTTGTTATTGTTGTTGTTGTTGTTGTTTGGATGAAAATTGTCCTTGTTTGATGATGATGTTTTAGTGGTAGACCAATTTATTCACTGGCAATCATTTCATCTTTTTCTTTTCTTTGAGGATGCTTGCACCAATTTTTTTTTTTTTGTATGATTCAATGTCAGGTGTACATAATGATAATGATGATGGTAGATTATTTTGCATATTTTTTTTTAGTCATCATCGTTTCATCACTATTATTTAAAATGATGACCATCATCATCATCATCATGATTCTAAACAATTTTTTGAATTGATGATTTAACCAAACATAAAAATTTATTATGGACAATAGATGATATACAAATGATAATAATCGATGATGTAATCGTTTGATTTTTTTTCTTCATTCTATTCAAATTGAAAATATCGATTAATTCATGTATATATATGAATTATTGACCTTTTCATCTTTACTATGGAGATGTCGATTACATTGACCAATTGAATATAACGCCTTGACAAAAAAAAATTTGCATAAAGAAAATAATCTTTTTTTTTCTTGGCTGAACATCATCATTATCATCATGATGATCATCATCGGTCATTCTTGTAAGTCAGTCAGTAAGTCGGTCTGTTGGTCGGTCGGTCGGTTGTTGGGTGATGGTATTTTGTTGATGGTCTGTATTTTTGTATGTTTGTGAATATTGTTTTCAATCATCATCAATCGTCATTAACATTTGGTTTTTTTGGTATGGATTGTGGTTTGTTTTTCTAGTTCACAGGATTTATCTATACTTATCTTTAATCTTTTGAACTTTGTCGACTTTTGAATTATTCAACATTATTTTTAACCTATGCAGGTATAGGTGATTTGTTTTAGTTTATTTTTTTCTACTAATCAATTTTCATTTTTTTTTATATAATGTAAACAGTCATTGTTTAACCAGGAAAAAAAATATGGGAGGAGGGGATAAATTTTTCCATTTTCATTATATTATTATTATCATCATTCACAAGGATTCTCCCATGGGTCAAACATATTAGATATATTTATGTATATGTATCTACTATTACTCCACTATATATATGTTATTATTCCACTATAGATGTGACAATTAGTAGCTGGTGTTTGTTTGCAAATTTTATCATTCATTAGTTTGTTAGTTTTTTTTTTTTGTTATTACTGGAAAATATTTATTTTAATTTTCCACATCTCTCTCTCTCCTTTCTCTCATGGTTAATATGTTCCATTTACCCATCATCATCGTATAACACCCTTCATTCCAGGGAAAGATTCCGGTCGATGTTTGATGATGATGATGATGAGAATACTCCATTTACCCAATTCCATTTTTGCCATTATTATCATTTTTATCATTTTTTTTTTTGGTTATTAAAATTTTCACATATACACAAAACACTCATATAATGAATTTACTTTAATTATCATAATTTTTTTTATTCACATTCATGTTTGTTTAGATGAATGAATATAAAATCATCCATAATGATGAGATTCATTCGTTGTTGTTGTTGTTGTTGTTGTCGATATCATCATCATTATCATGATGTGATATGAAATTTTAAACAAAATTTTACATAAAGATGATTTTGTTGTTGTTGTTGTTGTTGAACCCTTATTTTCTCACCATTAATATCAATCAAAGTGAAGAGAACAAGAGAAAGAAAAATCTGTGATATATATAGTAATAATTAATGGTATATGAGAGATTTATGATAACAAGTTTTGTTGTCTGTGTGTGTAGCTGTACCCAGTGTTCTAACCAGTATCGGAAATCCAATTGTCAAACAATTGACATTGGACAAAAAAAAAGATTTCGTTTTTTTTTCTACGTTCATGATAATATGATTATCATGAATGATGATGATGATGATGCATTATTTTTTCATGATCAAACAATTTTAATTTTTATTATATAATCCGATCTATTAACTAATGATTGATTGATTGATTGATTGATCGATTGATCGGTCAGAAAGATTCAAAGATTCAAAATTGTTATTATGTGTCGGATAAATTTATTCTTATTATCATCGAAAAAAAAGAGAGAAAGAAATATGAAAAATTTGATCATAGGTCATTGTCCAATCAAAGAGAAAAAAAACCAGATAAAATCATGAGGGTAAGAAACAACATATATAGGATAGGTCGGAAGACAACAAAAAAAAAAAAATCTTTTCCACTATCTATCTACTCTTTAAAAACCATATAATCTGGATCTTAAAATCCTGAATGAATTGTATTGAAGAAGAAAGTCTGTTCTTCATCATCATTATTATCATGATGATGAAGAACAGTCAACTCAATCACATTCGGTTTACCATCATCATCATCATCATCGATATATGAATTTCTAACCAACCACAATGGGGTCCTTCGATGTTCTTTGACTTCCATCACACATTCATACACACACACACACACACATCACATCATTTAGTTATTGTTGTTGTTGTTGTTGTTGTTGAACAACGATGAACACATATCAACCTTGTTCGAATACATTCAAAACTACTTTTTGTTGTTGTGGTCTAGCAATCTTTGTCTAAACACCAACAACAACAACAACAACAAAATAATGGATATTATAAAAAAATTCGAGCGAATAAAGAGAAAAAAAGAGGAGAAGACTAGACGTTGGCCACAATGATGATAATATACACATCATATAGATAGGTAAAAAAAGAAGAATAAAGAGTTATATAAAGACAAATCTTACAATTCACACACACACACAAAACAAAACAAAACAAAAAAAAAAATTCAACAGCCGAAAAACCACGAGATCATCAATTCAATTCTTTGAAATTGGTCAATGAGAATTGCATGAGTTTTTGTTGTTGTTGTTGTTGTTGTTAGTTGGTTAGATGGACGGCAAGAAATTCAATTTTTATATTTGTGATTTTCAACTTCATTTAAACATTTAATTCATTGTATTGTAAATGTCTGCCGGTTATTTTTTTCGGTTTGATATTTTGGCCACTTTATCGGATGCTTATACTTGAATTCATTTGAACAACAACATTACATTCATTCTAAATGATGATGATGATGATGATCAATGTCGTAAATTAAGTGTTTAGATTGTTGTTGTTGTTTTTTCCATCATATCAAAGGTATTTTTGACTTTATGTTCCCAAAATCACTTTATATAGATGGTATACCGGTGATATTCTTATAGTCTGATGAAAAGAATTTTTGTTTATTTCATCGATCGAAATTGTACGAATCTGTGTGTGTGTGTGTGTGTGTGTGTTTTTTAAAGTTAAAAATGAACTTGTCATATATATTTGTAATTGTTATTGTTGTGTAAATTAACAAATTTTTTTTCTGTCATTAACTTGAAGCACTAAACGACGATAATAATAATGATGATGATGATGATGATGATGATGATGATGATGATGATAACATTAATATCATGAATTTGAATTCTTTGAAAAAAAAACTTTGTTAGTAAAAACGACAACTATCAACATTGTATATCTATCTACTTACCATCCGTATCATCATCATCATCATCATCATCATTATGAACGTTAATTGATGTGTTTGTTTTTTTACGACCGTTCCATTATTTTTGTTTCTGTTATTGGATTCATTCGTTCGTTCGTTTGTTGTATTGGTAAATGTTACATGTTTATATGTCAATGAAATTCGTATCGATATATTGAAGTGTGTGTGTGTGTGGGGGTGTTTGTTGGGAAAATGTATAGCCAACAAACAACGTTGAATGACGAACGAAAATTGTTTGCAATATATTTCTCATCATTATCACTATCGTCGTCGTCGTCGTCGTCGTCGTCGTCTTCGGCGATTATGATGATTGTCATCATTTATCATTTAATATGTTCAATTGTTTTAACAACAGCTGATCAGTATTCTATACAACAACAGCAACAACAAACGAGTAAGTTTTGCATCCAAACTCACCTGATTTTTTATAATTATCATTGATATTGGAAATGATATCAAATCAAAGTTTTGTAGTATTAATTTTGGATCAATTTTCGCTTTTTTTCATCCCAAATGTTTGATAATTGATTCAACCAATGTTGATGTTTTTATTTTTATTTTTTTTTTTTTTTGCTTCCTTAGATCTATCAACAAAACACCATTCTAATTGCAATTTTATAACATTTCTCATATATGACGGATATGAGTATGTAATCACAAACAATAATAAAAATGATGATGATCGAATGCAATCATCAATGCCATTTATTTCGACAACCATTGAAAGCAATCTTTATGATTGTCTGAGCTTATGTAGACAGCGTGATGATTGTAATGGAATCAATCATAATGGACATCATTGTCAATTAATTATCAATGTTGATGATGATGTCAATCGATTGATTAAATCGAATCAATCAGCTGTTATAAATATTCATGCTAAAAAGATTTGTATAACAGGTATGAGAATTTTCAACTTTTGTTTGATTTTTAACTTTTTTTTTAAAATAATAGATCATAATGGTAATTGTGCCGGTAAACCATGGGCATTTGAAACGGTTATTGGATATACGATAACTTATCCAATTTATTTTCATAATACAGTAGTCAAACGAATCATGATCAAGAATATTCCATCTGTTCAACAATGTAGTGAACAATGTTTGAATGAAAAAAATTTTCATTGTCGTTCAGTTGTTTATAATGAAATTGATCAACATTGTATTCTGTTCAATATGAATCGTGAAACTATTGGTTTTTCTTCAACAAATCGTATCAAAAAAACAGGGCTTAAATTTGTGCCAACAACACCGTTCACACAACAAGTACATTATATTGAAAATAAATGTATTGAAGAACCAAAAAAATTTTGTGATTTACGAAAAATCAAAAAATTCAAACTAAAAACAGCCGATTTGATCAAAACAAATGTCAATACACCGAGTGAATGTCGAGAACTATGTCTTTCAAATAGTGTGGTTAATCCATGTAAATCATTTGATTTTGATTCAACAATTGGTATTTGTCGTATTAGCCATCTGAATGAAGCATCGACCTTACACATGATTCAACCATACATTTATGATGAGGATGTAACCACATTTGAGATATCCACCTGTTATAATAGTATGTTACATATATGACTTTGAAATCTTGTTTCTAACATTTCAAATATATAATAATAATGAAAATTATTATAGTCACTGTTTTATGTCAATCGAAAGAGATGAAAATTCAAATTGAAACATCTAAATTATTTAATGGAAAAATTTATGCACAAAATAGGCCACGAAGTTGTATGAATGATATTATGAATATGTTGAATTTTGAATTATCCATACCATATACCGATGATTACAATGCTACTACGACTACTACTGGTAATGATGAATTAGTACAATGTGATACTCGACAGCCAACACCTGGTCGTTTTACCAATGACATTATCATTCAACATCATGATCTTGTATTAACAACAAAAGATTTGGCATTGGGCATTTTCTGTAAATTTGATCTTCAAAATTCTAGTATTGCTCAAGTTGATCTTAAAATACAAGGGTATATATTAATTTAATATATGATGATGATGATGATCAAAATTGAAAAAAAATTGTTTTGTTCTTTCTCATCAATCTTTTTCTTCTAATTTTTTTTCATATTACACAGTGAAATTTCTACAGATAAATTAAAAGGCACGGCCAAACTTCCTGAATTATCATTACATCTAGTAGATGAAATGGGCAAAGATATTGATGAAGTTTCAATTGGTGATATACTTCGTGTACAAATTCGCATGAGTGACGAAGATACTTATGGAATTTTTGTTAGAAATCTTATTGCAAAAGACAATCAGGATTCGAACAATAATTTCACATTGATTGATAACAAAGGGTTCGTTTGGAAATGGATTTAATGTTATATGGTTCAATGATTATACTCACGTTTTCATTCATTTATTATTATTTCCCATCAAATTCTTCTCCCATGCATATATATATATATATATATATATAAATATAGCTGCCCGACCCAAATGAGAATGATGCGCGAAGTTCGTCTATTCAACGAGAATGGAAAAACACTTGAAAGTTATTTAGAGGCTTTTACTTTTACAGGCGGCTCTATTTTAGTCATACAAGTTGAAGTGGAAACTTGTCTCGATAAATGCAAACCGGTAATTATTGGTTTTGATAACGAAAATTCAATCCATTTTAATTGATTTCAATTGTATTCTCACTCTTTTATTGTTTCCATTATATTATATCTCTTTCTCCATTTCATTGATTCACACACACACACACATATACAGGTTCAATGTCAAGTGGCCAATGGCCGCAGTTATCCAGGTGTTGAGATGGTTACATCGTATGGCCGGCGAAAACGTCGTTCCGCATCAATGAATGGCGATTATGATGATGATGATGATGGTGGTGATGATGATCAAACTGAGATTGGTGACGTGGTTTCAATGACAAAATTATCAAAATCATTGCTAATACGTAAGAAACGTGAATTGATTTCATCGGATCTCAAAATAAATGCCGATATAAATGTCAAACAATATGAAGATGCAAATCGGACATTCACTTTAAAAGCATTCGATTCATTTCTTGCACCTTATCAAAAGATATCAATGTCTAGTAAAAACTATCTATGTTTTGAACCTACACATTTATTTGTAATTTGTGTAATTGCATGCTGTGCACAAATTTCATTATTTTCATTAATTTTCGGTATAATAATTAGAGTGAAAAAAGTTCCCTGCCAAAAACGACATCATCGGTTCACATCTACTAGCCTTATTGGAGCTTCTTCTTCTTCTTCTTTGTTCATCATCATGGAATATGAATCCTTCGATCCATAATTCAAGTACACCATACAATTATATGAGCTCAATGTAAATCATTTTGTTGGCAACGATAATCCATATATATACATTTGTATTATATTCACACACGACAACAACAACAAAAAACTTCTTCTTAATGGGATTTATACACCATTCGAACTTATTTAAGTCTGTGGTTTTAGAATTTTTTTCTCTCCATTATTATAATCAAAAACATTATGCAACTTCGATAATTTATTTTGTTAGAATTTCTGTATTTGAAATTAAAAAACTCTTTTTTTTAAAAAAGAAGATTAAACAATTTTTTTCACTGAATGATTACGAAATGAAAACGACACTAGGTTTAACTATCACCATAACCGCTGCGGTCGACATTATCATATCGTTATCATGTTTTTTTCATTCAATCCAATCCAGATTGTATTGAAATGGTAAATATGCATTGGCTTTTATTTGTTTATTCTTGTTTTATTGGAATTCAAGGTATCCGAATGACAATTGATGGTGTGAAACAATCATTATCAAAATCAAAACATTTATCATCATCATCATCATCATCACCATCATTGATGTTTTCCGATTTTGGTATCATGACCATCAAAAGTTTACTATTGATTCTGACTGATCTTATTGTTTTATGTATTTATTTTACATTTGCATCTTATCACAATAATAAGCTATTTCGATTATTCACCTGGATAGTGTATCTGACATTGATCATACGTATATTTGTATTTACAATCCAATGGAATCGGATTACAAGTTATGTTTATTATCATCCAAAACAGACATAAATCAATATGATATAAATAAATGAATATTTTAACAATCACAACAATAATCAATGTTGATCAATTTTTTGTTTTATTTTTCAATCCTTTTTCAATGTTCAGTGAAGAAAAAAATGGCAGCAACAGGTGTGTGTGTGTGTGTTTTTTTAGATGGTGATCAACCACTGAAATGTTGGCTTCCTTTCATTGACTTTTGAATGTTTTATCCATTCATATCAATCAAATAAATTATGATCATGATTTATATAATAATAAAGTCATTTATTTCCATTGTATGTAAAGCATAAAACATCAAAAAAAAAAAAAAAAAAAATATATCAGATCTATATGTATGTAAAAAAAGGTGAATTTAAATTATAATGAGAAGAAAAGAGATAGAAAAAAAATTTACAAAAAAAAACAAACAAAATAGTAGAGGCGTTTTGTCAAAATGAAAGCCGCCTTCTTTGGACAATTGTCTGTTGTTGATGAGCATGATTGATTTGCTGCTGTGAATAGGAACAAGAATGGCTATGACAATGATTATTATTATCATTGTTGTTGTTGTTGTTGTTATTGTTGTTGTTATTATTACCAATAACATGTAACAATACATCTTGATTAAAAGTTTGAAATATTTTTTCAAGTTTATCAACAAAATTTAGTTTATGAAATTGTGATAATAATTGTGTTGTTCGATTATTAGTATTGGAACAAACATTACATTCATCCATTTGATTCAATCTACCGAAACGACAACGATTATTATTATTATTTGAAAGACATCTCAATGAAATTTGTTGATCAAGTAGATATTTTAATAGATTTTCAATGATTAACCGTGAATTCACCTGATAGTGCATCAAATCATTTAGATTGATTTGCATTTTTTGCATCTCATATTCAAGTTTACTTATATGTGTTAGAAAACGTAATCTAATATCATGCTGTGCTTTAGCTGAAATTGAATTCGATTGAATCTTTTCTAATCGATGATCCATGATTCGTATTTTTGCCAACATATCTGCATGGCCAGCGGCATATTGTTCTAATACATCTTTTATATCATATGGTTTGAAGGCTTTGACAAAATCTCTTTTTGATATACAAAATTTGACGGCAAACACAAAACATAGGCCATTCATTTCTTTCCAAGACAATGTTTTTGATTTATTTTTACTTGTTTCAAATCGTTTCCAAATGACTGATCGAAAACAGCTTAATGTTGATGCTGTATTACCATTGCCAATATTATATTTACTACTATCTGATGTGCGAATCAATTCTTGTTCGGCGACATATAATTTCCATGCACATTGTATTAGACGAGCTGCTGGTTGTTTACGTTTGCTTATTTTTAGTTGCCGTTGTTGTTCTTGTACCTGGACATAAATTATCGATGAATGAATGTCGATAAACAATCCGATTGAAATACAATGTACAATTTATATAAAATGAATAATGATAGAGAACAATAATAATAATAATAATAATAATGAAGACTTACCTTGAGAGCTAAACCAGTTCCAAGGATGCCGGCAGGTAGAGCAAATATCGAGACGCCTATCAACGAACAGATACATGCTAATAACTTTCCGGTAGATGTTTTTGGATACATATCACCATAGCCTATTGTACATAATGTGATTACCGCCCACCACATTGATGCTGCAAGGCTATCGAAATCTTCATTATAATCTTTTTCAACAAAATATATTACAAATGAGATGAGTATTAATGCCAAGAATCCCATATAGAATACAATGGCCAAATGAATTCGTTGTGAATAAACAACGGAAGCCATCATGCGCCATGGTCTAAATTTGAAATCCAATCGAACCATTTGAAATATTTGTATGAAACGTACACCACGTAATGATGTGATCAATAGTTCACCATGTATATTTGAGATCAACACTGCTAATGAAACTATTATGACGCAAAGATCGATGATTCGGATTGGATTCTTAAAGAAACGAATTTTTCCCTTCCATCCTTGATAGTAGGAAACACATTCTGATGACCATATACGTGCTAAAAATTCTACAATAAAAAATGTTACAATCATATAATCGATAGTATTAAGCGTTTTTGCCAGAGAATTTCCATATTCTGCTACATATTAAACCAGAAATATTAATTCATATATTAATAATAATATTCTTAATGGTTATTCATGCAACTTACTTGATGAAGTAGATATAATTGTTAAAATAAGACAATAAACAACTGCCAATGAAACAAATACATGATAGCCAATTGCCCATGCACCGGTAGGTCTTTGTAGGAAATTATAAACCAAAATTCTTTCATTATAAAATGGTACCCCCACTACCGAATGTGGATAGGTTGATAATCGACGATTTGGTGGTGGTGGAAAGAAAACTGTATCCAAAGAATTACCACCTTGTTTGAGTTTTCGATATTTATAAATGGTATTATAAAATGAATTAGTTGATGATGATGTTGTAGTGACAGTATTATTATTGCCATTTTCTTCCAATTCAAATAATGGTTCATTAGATAGATCATGATCACAAATACCACCATTACCGGCAAACGGTGTTGGTGAACGAAATTCACCTAAATCTTCTATAGCCGATTCGATATCTATTCTTGGGGTCACTTGAAAACGGGATTTAGAAAATGATGAATCTCGATTATCATTATTATTGTTGTTGTTGTTGTTGTTGAAAATGTTCATTTTTATTTTCCAATTTCTTCTGGTTTCTATTGATATGCAAAAAAAAAAAAAAAATAGCAAAACTTAAAATATCAAAGTATAAACTTGCAACAAAAAAAAATAGATCATTTAAATGTATTTTCCCAATATATATTTTATTGGTTTTTGTTTGATTATGGTTGATTTTTGGCCGATGACATCAATTCAAATTCAATTTTAGAATACGAAGAAAAGAAAAGAAATTTTATATTATACAAATCATCATCATACCAAAATGAAATAAAATAGAACACACACACACACACACACATTCATACATTCAAGTTAATTGGCCTGATGTGATTATGATGATGATGATGATGATGATTCGAATATTTATGTATTTTTTTTTTTTTTTGCAATATCAATTACATAACATATATGAAAAATTTTTGCTGTTAAGATTTTGTTGTTTGTTTGTTTGACAAACACATATTATTCGTAGAAAACTGTACTCCAATTTTTTTTCTCATTTTCAAATGATTTTTTTAAAAATTTATCAATTCTCGCTTTAGTGGACATATGACATCCGATTGATGCCATACAAACAATGATTCAAATCAAACAAATACATATCTACATTATATTTGAATTTTTGGTCATCTTGCATTTTTTTTCATTAATTCTTTTATTTGTTGAAATATAATTAATATAAATTAAGGAAATCTTATTGCCAATGACGAGGCAAATTGTTTAAACAAAACAAAAAAAAATCCATATCCAACATCAATGTCGATTGCATAATATGATATCTTTGAAAACATTGATGATGATGATGATGATGTGTTGATTTATCATCATCATCATCGATATAAAAAAAAATGAAAAGATTGTCTAATCATCATCGTCATCATCATAAAAATAATCTACGGGATGTCCTTTGTCATATGTTTATGTGTGTGTGTGTGTGTGTGTGTGTGTGTATGTGTGAACATACCTGGTGTCTTTTTTTTTCATCTGATCACAAGACATTTATCGATTTATTTGAAAACAATTTTGTTGGCCTCAAAAACTTCATGGTCATTATACAATTTTTGAATGATATTTTTTGATCATAAAATAACTGATGATGATGATGAAAATATACTAAAGTTGAAAATGAAATTCACATAAATAAAGTCAAAAACAAAATCCAATGCCTTTTTTTCTGGTTGCGGTTGACTGACCATTCTAATGAATGGTATGTACGAGTTTCCGCAATCAATCGAACCAACAATAATATAGTCGATATATTGATAATTCATTATTTTGATGTTTAAGAGTGAATCTTATCAATCAATCAATATAACGTCAAGATTAGAAGACGACGACGACGACTACGATAAAAAACGTCATCATCAATTTGACTAGAGATAAAAATGATCTTTATTTTGAATATATATAAATGAGAGAAAAAAAAAGGATTTTCACCAGTGTTGTTTTTATTATTTATATTAAATTACATTAAAAAATGTGTCTGATTACGATGACGAATGCGGAACACCGAGAGCGGCAAAAACCAAGAAATAAATAGATGATGATGATGATGATGATGATAGTGAGGATGATTTTTATAAAAACCAAAATAAAAAAATTCATTGAAATCATCCTACATTGACCGAAATCAACCAGAAATGATGGCTGTTTATTTTATTTTTTTCGAATCATCATCGGCAGATATATTGTTGCTTCCTTGTGTGTGTGTGTGTGTGTATGCAAATTTTGATTGAAAATTTTACATTTTTTTCAAAAAGTGTTACTCACATTTTTGGATTTATTATTCTGGCGATTATTTTCACATTTCACAATTGACAATCGTAGCTGAAATTGTTTCTTTTTTTTCACTCTAATTCAATTTATTTTACAAATTATCAGATTGTTGTTGTTGTTGTTGTTGATTTATCATCGATGAAATTGATGATGATAATGTTCATCAGTTATTATACAATATACATGCAAACAAATTGAACAATAGCTTGTCAAATTAGAAGAAAAAAACCACCAAACAAAGACAACACAACAAAATGCAAACAGAATCGTTTGATGTTCTGTGAATACGAACAAAACGAAAAAAAGAAAAAAAACAAGTAGACGTAATTGTCGTTGTCGACCAATGACTGAATATTCAAATAAAACATATATATATGTGCTCAACAAACTAGAAGTCAAGCTGATTTTATCATAACATTAACAACAACAACAACAACAATAACAAATGAAATGAAATAGCCAAGCCATATCATCATCATCATCATGAAAAATTGTCCAATCCTGATTGAATGATGATGAATTTCGTTCGTTAATGTGTTATTATATCAATGTAAAACAATCTTAACAACGACAACAACAGTCACATGTTGTGAAAAAATTTCACATTTTATGGATACAACATGAATGAATGAATGAAATGAATTGATTGATTGATTGATTGATTAATCAAATGATTTATGAATAATAAATAATAAAAAATCAACACTATTTGATGGGTATAGGGCGAGAAGAATCTATGGTCAAACATGAATATATTCATTATAATTATATATTCGTGTTTATGAAATTTTTCAAAAAAAAGAGTTAAACATGACAACAACAAAAAATTTCATATAGAACACTATTCAACAGGTCTTTGTATAAATAATAATAATAAAAAAATGTTTAACATTCAATTCTAGCCATGACAATCGATTGATTCGATGATCAAATGAAAAGAAAAAAAAATATTTCCGAAAAAGGGTTTCACAACAACATATGTCCATATACACACACACACACACACACACACACACAAACACAAACAAAAATGGAATGATCATAAAATTTTTTTTTTGATGATGATGATGATGGTGGTGGTGGTTTAATTTCACTATCATTTACGTTTGATTTATCCACATATACAAACTATGATGAATAAAATGGCAAGAAAAAAAACCTTTCAATCGATTCAACTCAACATATATATATTCATATAACACATAAAACATCCATATGATTATGTTGGCGTTTAGTGGTGGTAGTTGTCGTCTCTTGGTGGTTGTCGTGGTGATGTATGAATGTGATGATCATGATGATCATGATGTATATGATGATTCTTTTCACATATGTTTAAAACAACAACAACAACATATTTTTAATTCAAAATGTGAAACATTCAAATTTCCAAGAATTATGGATGGGTTATGGATGGATGTATTATGGATGTATAGAATGAATCGATTTCATCATCATTATCTTAAAATTGTCAAATACGATCATGATGATGACAAAATCCTCTCTATATAGACACATTTATGAGTTTACATTACACAAATTGTATATTGGATTTTTATTCGTTTTTTTTTTTTTTTTTGTTCAAAATCGAACACATGTTTTATATTCGTATCCTTCGTAACGTGGTTCGTAAAAAAAACACATGAAACAAACGGAACGAACATTGAATGAATTTTTTGACAAATAAAATAAAATAAAAATTGAGAGAAAAAAGAAAAATCTGTCAGTAATGTTCATATTTGTGATCATTGATGTTCATGTGATGTTGACATTGTTGTTGTCGTTTGCCATAATAAATCAAATGATGAAATCCCGAAAACAAAAGGATAGTGATTTTATTTTTCTTTGGAACTTCAATGAATTTTTGTGACCATTTGTAATGTGCCAGTGTGTGTGTGTGTGTGTGTGAGTCAGTGGTGAGGGTAACTGTTATTTTGTTTATGTACAAATGAATGAATGAGCAACAGATTTTTTGACAATGACGACGATGAAAGAAGAAAAAAAAATTTTTTTTCGTTTAACAAACTACGATAAACTACGAACTCTAGTGTCATAACTATTTTTTTATTTCTTTTGAATTTTTTTTTCGGAGAATCAATATGGCCATGGATATACTGATACTGTATACGATTATGTGTATTTGTGCAGCTACAATGAAAATTAAAATCATCATCATCATGTTCAATTCCCTACCCTAACTTTGACATTGACTTGGGACGGTGTAGCTTACACAAACGATGGCTCTCAAAGTATGTGGCTACTTTTGCGCCTATTTAAATGAACTTCTTTTTCAAGAACGTATAAACAAATGAATGGCCAGCTTATGAAATTATCCTACGTTGACATGTCGATAATATGTCCACCGGAAGCAATGCATTCCCAATATTTGGGTACGGTGAAGAGTATCATCAATAGATGGTTAGATGATGATTTGGCTACGAAAAGATGGTATCAAAGTATTACCAAACGAAAAAAAATGAATTGAAAACAACAAAATTAAACAAAACACAATTGAGCATTGTGGAATGAATGGTGGAAGAAATAAAAAAAAAAAATTTGTAATGAACTTTTAAATTGCCAAAAATGCTGAGAGCAACAGATTTTTTGACAATGACGACGATGAAAGAAGAAAAAAAAAATTTTTTTCGTTTAACAAACTACGATAAACTACGAACTCTAGTGTCATAACTATTTTTTATTTTTTTTATTTTTTTTGCAATATGGCCATGGATATACTGATACTGTATACGATTATGTGTATTTGTGCAGCTACAATGAAAATTAAAATTTATATGAACAAAAAAAAAATCACGGCTGTCATGTTGTGTTGTTGTGGTGGCCAAAAAAAAAAAAAAACAAAACAGACAATTCAACCATTCTCATCATATCAAAATTGCTAGACATTAAATCATCATCATCATTTGCAATGAATTTTTATTCAAAAAAAAATTGTGAGGCACCATGAGAAAACACTGATAAAATTTGATGACAATCAATCTATCCAGCCATCAATTCTCTCTTTCTCTTGTCTTCTCTCTCTCTTTTTGTTCAAAGATCCGTTGTTGTTGAATTTAATTAAATTTTTTTTATTGATTTTCCACCCTTTTTTTAGGGTTTATTCAAATAAAATTAAAAAAGATTTACGACGAAAAAAAAGGTAAAAAAGCAACTTTCACATGCACACACACACACAAAAATGGTAGAATTCAATAAGGAAAAAAACATTCATTTTTTTCTGTTTTTTATGCATAATAATGTGTGATGATTTATCTCATGATATGATTGGAGATTGCCTGAATCTTAGTTCAAACGATCTTGATCACCATCGATTTCGATGCTGATCATGATTATGATGATGATGATGATGATGATAATAATTTGACTATATATAGTGCTCATTTGCTCATTCTTTCCATAATAATAAATTCAATGCCATGGATAATTCAAATTTTTTAAGTTGATATATTCAGATTATTCAGACGATTTTCTAATGTGAATTCTATATATGATTGATTGATTGATTGATTGAAAATTCGAATTGATTGATTTGAAATTCTCCATTTTCAAAACGCTATTAACGCCATCTATCAACATGAATTGTCATTTGAATCAAATTGTTTGTTTTCATATATTTTCCCAATTATTATGATCAAACCATCAAAGAAAAATTTTATGATCAATGCCAAGGCTATGAATCAAAAAAAAAAAAAATCAATCTTTTTTCATATGTGAACGTTGACAAATGTCATTGATGATGATTATGATTTCGATTGTTTCTGAAAATAATTTGATTATTACATAATCAATAATTCATGTTTGAAACATGTTTGTCAATATTATAGAATGTAGATTTTATTTTTTTTCATTTTATTTCAACAGTACATTTGTTAGGAAATTAGATTATTGATTGACAATAAAATAAAAATTCATTGTATGCAAATTCTGTTTTATTCTCGAAAATGGCCGTATTCTGTTTTTTCTGTTTTGTTTTGTTTTGCAAGAATACATTGTAATCAATGTTAAACAAGTTGAATATTATTTCTTTTTCTGATAGAACAAAGCAGTGATGGAAAAGAATGCTGTAATGAACTAAATAATAATAATGAATTTAATTAATAAAAAAAAATCATTTTGAAATATGTAGAGAAGAAAAAAATAAAATTATCATTACCTGTAAAACAGTGGCTGCATTGATCGGTGTATCCATCACTTCTAAACCAACCGTTTGATTAAGACAATCCATAAAATCATAATATCTAGAATATTCTGGATGTTTTTTGATTTCATCAGTAGAATTAATTTTACGTCTAGGAAAATATGGAATCCTTTTGACATTGACATCTTCATAAATCATATTGGATAATATTGATGCCTGTTCATCTACACGGCCAAAAATGACAGAAAATATAACGATAACCGAAACCCAAACAGCCAAGATGGATACATTTAAACATTGTATAAGTAGTGGCATATGTGAATAGAATGTCAGATGATACATTTCGAATAACATTCCAAAAAGACATCCCACTAGTATGATGTATGATTGTTTTATATAAATTTTCATATATTGAATCATTAGATAAAGATTGGGAAAATGTTTCAACAGTTCAGTATTCAAATCGCATTGTTTGATATTATCGCAAAATTTTTGATTATATTGTCGAAATAAATTCACACAGATTTGATTTAACAAATAATTTTGAATCAAAAAATAACTTAAAAAATATGTGTGCAAAGTGACAAATAAATGATTGAATATACGATCATACCAGGTTGGATGTTTAGTGGCAAAATTATTTAAATTATAGCTTACGATCAACCATGCTGTCATACGGAATGATTTTTTCACTGTTTTATCGGCCCAATCCATCGTTAAACAAACATCAATCTTGTCCAATTCGTTATAAAACTTATTGGCCATTATCAGCCAATTTTGATCGGTAAAAATCCAAACATTATATAAAAGAAATAGCATAGAACGAAAAAAAGCTAATAAAATGTTGCCTTGTATTCGATATTCTTCACCCAAAAATTGACAGCTCAATTCCATGACAAAACATTCTTGGCCTGGACTAGCATTCCAGGCTTTAAAAAACATTATCCAGAAATGGATATAGTCTATCCAAACAAGACAACCCATCACTAGGGATGCGTGTGAAGATTTCTTACAGAAACGGATTCCATAATATTTGGCCGCACAATCCAACATTGTCAAAAGATCACAATCCATGTTTCACGTTTGATAATCAAATGAATCGACTGAAACGAAGAAAAAAAGAAAAGAATGAAAACAACAACAAAAAAAAAAATTTCCTTGTTGACATGGCTATCTTCATGTTTTTTATTAATTCTAGAATTTTTTACAAAATTTTCAAGATTACGTCAATAACATTGAAAATTTTTATTATTATTGTCAAAAATTTTATTGGCGAAATTTTCAATTTTAAATTGGAATAGATTTTGATTTGTTCTTTGTGGAGAATTGTTTGAGCGTTTGCGCCAATCGATTTTCAATGGCTTCATTAGTTCCGATCAAACCAGCTATAACTTGCGCAGACCATTCTGCATATTCTTCAACTCGTTTCTCTGACCAACCGATCGGTGTCGTCTGAATAAGATCTTGTAAATTGTATAATTTATCCGCTAATTTAACAAGTTTAGCTTCAATACTTGAATTTGGTGCATTTTCTATCTGTAGACGTTTACGTTCCAATTTTGGCAACGATTTGTCATCGGTTACTTCGGCCACAATAGATCTAAATAGATAAATGATAATGACATCAAAATTCATTTTCCATATATAAATCTATTATATTACCGAATATGATCACCAAATTCTCTTTGAATATCATCAAAAGTAACATCAGTATCTTCCACCGTATCATGCAATAAAGCAGCAGCAATGACTGCTGGATCTGAAACATTGCCCAAATCGGTCAAAATGTTAGCTACACCGATCGGATGGTTGATATAAGGGTTGATACCATCATCACGTAATTGTTGTCGATGAGCTTTGGCTGCGAAATCTGCAGCTTTAACTATCAATTTGATTGCATCTTCAGTTGAATTTGAATTCATTTTTAATTAACCATCACACATGATTTAAAATCGAAAATTCAATGTTTATACAATGCAAGGTTTGCGGGTTAAAATAGCCAAATTGAAAATATCCAAGGCAGAAAATAGCCAAAACTGAAAACAGACCTTGGCTGTTTTCTGCCTTGGATATTTTCAATTTGGCTATTTTAACCCACAATCCAATGCAAGTAGTAATAAACGTTTAAATTTATTTGGTCTTTTGAATGAATTTTTTTTTTTTGAATGAATATGACAATTAAGTACTTAGGACCGGGATGAATTTCAATTTGTTAATTTGACAGTGTTCAAAATTGACATTTGTCAACATAAATAGAGACGAATTTATTGAAATTTTAATTTTTTCCTAGCTTAATGCGCAGATTATCGGCAAGTTTGTCCAAAAATTCAAAAGTGTTAAGATAATCACCACGAGTGATATTACCAGCTTTAGCACAAAGTGCCAAATCCTTTGTCATGAAACCACTTTCAATGGTTTCAACACATATTTTTTCAAGTTTTTCAGCAAAATCTGCAAGTGGTTGATTTGAATCTAATTTTGCTCGATGCAAAAGTCCACGAGACCAAGCAAAGATCGATGCTATAGGATTGGTAGATGTTTCTTTACCATCTTGATGCATACGATAATGACGGGTGACCGTACCATGAGCCGCTTCAGATTCAATTGTTTTACCATCTGGGCATATCAACACCGATGTCATCATTCCCAATGATCCGTAGCTAAAAAGCAAAAATGTAAAAATGAGAATAATTTATTTAATAAATTAAAAAAAAAAATTACCCTTGAGCCACTGAATCACTCTGAACATCTCCATCATAATTTTTACAAGCCCATACAAATCCACCTTCAGATTTCATAGCCTGAGCTACCATATCATCGATGAGACGATGTTCATACCAGATGCCGGCAGCTTCATATTTAGTTTTATATTGTTGATCATAAATCTGTTGGAAAATGTCCTTAAATCGGCCATCATACTTTTTGAGAATAGTATTCTTGGTGCTCAAATAAAGCGGATATTTTCGCTGAAGAGCATATTGCAACGAAGAATGGGCAAAATCATGAATACTTTTATCGGTGTTATACATGGACAAGGAAACTCCACCACCATCTTTGAATTCAAAAACTTCATGAGTGATCGGTGCCGAACCATCAGCTGGTACAAATTTGATTTCCAATTTTCCATTACCAGGCACAACGAAATCAGTGGCACGATATTGATCACCATAAGCATGACGACCAACCACAATCGGTTTGTTCCAATTGGTGACCAAACGAGGAATATTCTTACAGATGATTGGCTCACGGAATACTGTACCACCAAGAATATTACGAATGGTTCCGTTGGGTGATTTCCACATTTTTTTAAGACCAAATTCTTCTACACGTTTCTCATCCGGTGTAATAGTGGCACATTTTACACCCACATTATACTTGAGTATAGCATTGGCGGCATCGATTGTCACTTGATCATCGGTTTTATCACGATTTTGAATGCTTAAATCATAGAAATGAAGCTCAACATCGATAAATGGTAAGATTAATTTTTCTTTGATTAGATCCCAGATGATACGTGTCATTTCATCGCCTTGCATTTCGACAACTGGTCCACATTTGATTTTTTGATCGGCCATTTTTTCGTTGATTTTCTAAATTGATGACAAGAAAAAATGTAGTCAATTAATAATGATATGGAAAAACATTAGACTGATAATAACCAATTTGATAAAGAAAAAAAACCGACAAATGCAAGTCTTAAATCAAATATATATATTTTGAATATTTGTTCAATTAAAATTTCCGATGAGGAAATAAATGACGATTGTTTTCCATCATAACGATCACAATTATGGTATCGAAAGAAATATTCAATCCAACGATTGATATCAAAATTTTTCATGGACTAATTTACCGATATTATTAATTATTGAATCGAAATTATAATTCAACTCTTTCCTTGATTTTTTCCATCGTCAAAGTTTTCATTTTGTTTTACCAAATCATCAAAATTGTTCTTTGCTATATTTCGTATTTTGGTGCGTTCTATAAATGGTTGGATAATGATCATATACTTCCCTATAAATACCAGAAATGGTAGATTAAATTGATTTTTCCTTATCTCAAGAAAATCCAACATGATGAATGCAAATCTTTTTCCAATTTTCCAATTATTTCTTCATTGAATTTATTCGTTAGAAACCAGTCATCAAAATAATTGATAAACTGAGGAATCAAAATCAGTTGTTTTTGAAAATGACTTTAAAATTGAGTCGATGATGATGTTGATGATGATGTTTGAATTGGAAATGATGAAAAGCTAAATGAAACCACAATATCAACATACATAAAAAATAATACAAATCATTTGTTTTCCCATATTCAATAGATTTTCATTAGGAAAAACATCAAAAGAGATAATTTGTTGTTGGATTCTGATATATCAAACAAAATACGTTGTAGAAATTCAACAAAACAAAACAAATAGAATGTTGAGTGAAAGAAGAAAAGGAAATAGTTCAAAGTGAAACAAAACTTTTTGTTTTACAAATGCACGTGAATGTATGGTTTTACTCTTATTGTGTTTAATTTTTTCGGTATCATTCATATAGTATATTATGTTTTTAAGAGATTTGATTTGAATTTCTTTTGAATTTGTGTTTATGTTTACATTTTCATGTTTATTTCAATTTATTCTTATGTTCGACTTGATTGAATAAGCTGCTAATCGATATTGTTCTTGGAATAATTTTTTCGATAATTTTTCTGTTTTGTTGTGTTGATAAAAGATGAGTAATTACTGTTATTGATAATAATATGATTAATATTATTGTGATTATGTAAATATAATATGATTGTATGTATGAATAAATAATCTTGTTAATAAGTGTGTCTTCTTTTTCAATCATTGTAGATAAATCTTGCGGAAATTAATCGTTGAATTAAAAGAATTGAATGCTTTGAAAGTTCAAAATCTCATTTATATCATCATGAATGACATGATGTAAATCAATTTCATCTTCGTGAAATATACGGTTTGCCGATTACTGTTAAATTTTGTCCACGATTAATTCTGTAAATTTGATTTTACAGGGATACGTCAATCCTTGAACAGTGATGTTCTGATTGCAACAATAAAATAAATAAAATCGTTATCACTTTTTATTTCGAACAATCTCTTCTGGTGTTATCAATTCTTTTCGCTTTACATTCAACAGCTTCCATTTTGCTTCAATAGAATTTGTTTCATTTTTTAGCAATTAACTGAATGAAAAATAAATGGTGCCTGATGATCATTGATTGGTTCAAATATTATGTTTCTTGCATTTAGTTCTTTTCATTAATTATTGTATATTTTGATCCTGTGTATTTGGATATACAAAAATTTGATTTATTCAAGTGATCACAACCAGAAGATAAAATGGATCTGCACGAATTATTTCATGATTTTTTCATCTATTTTAACTGCATTAATATACAATCTTAAAATGCTTTCATAAGGAGATTGATGTGGTCGAAATTGACATTCTTCTAAAAACCAATTGTCTGATGGACAATCAACACATATTGAAATATTTTCAAATAATTGAAAAATGGCTTTTGAAATTGGTTTATCTGATGACATAATAAAAACTTCATTAATCAACATTTCGATTTATAAGAATTTTGCATAAAACATCGATGAAATCTCTCTATTAGAAGAAATATGTTTCAGTCTATCTATTTCTTGTTGCATTAAAATCAATTGATCAACCATTTTCTGATGTATGTTATGATCCAATTTCTTAAGTTCATTTTCAGTTAATGATTGTTCATTTATACCAGATTGACTTTTCAATATATGCAGCATATCCAATGGTGGCAACCATAACGGTTATTATTACTCCAGCTGCAAATGCAATAATATTTCGTTTAAATTTGAATTTCTTTTATCCTTTAATGGTATGCAATGTTTTGAAATGTTTGAACCACTAATCGTTGATATTTCTCTTCACATTTGATCTTTTGTTCCTCAAATTCCATAGATCGATTTTTCTTTATTGGTGATATCCAAGTTGAATTAATTGTATCATGGAGATCTTAAATGAATATCAATTTGTGCTTGTACGTATTCTGTTGCTACATGATGTTTTGATCTTCTCCAAATGATCGGATAAGTAGGTGTGTTTGGGACTGTGTTTGGATGATATGATTAATTACAGAGTCCGATGATTACAAAATAAATGATTTTGTATATTTATTCATGTTTAACTAATTTTTATATTGATATTGATATAATAATGGTGAAAAACAAAATAAAATAAAATTATTCTTTTCTTAGTTTTCCTTCAGTTTCTTTTAATCAAAGATTTTCTCTTTTATATTCTGTTTTGTTTTGTTTTTTTTAAAGAACTTTATTCATCATCACTTTCTATCGATTCATCATCAATAATTGTATAATCACTGTATAACCTGTTCTTTGTGTTCAACTGGTTTCATGTTTTCTATATGTGATGTTACGTCATTTCCTGCTACATTAAGAACATAAATAACATCTGAAGATCGGTTAATTATTTCAAATGGCCCTTCATATCTTGGATCTAATTTATTTCTATTCAAATCATCAGCTATTTTAACATATGACCCAATCACCAATTGAAAACTGCCAATTCTTTCTTCTTTTATCATAGTATAATTGATTTCTTTTTATGATCCATTGATGATTTAACAAATGCATCAGATCTATAGGATTCAATATCTTCAATAGGTTCTCTTAGATAATCATTATATATCTTTCTTCAGCAAACAGAAGGAAATATGGAGTATATCCTGCAACTGTATGTATCGTAGAATTATATTCTTCAAGAATTTCTTCAGCAAAAGACGATACCATGAAATATTAGGATAATCAATTTTCATACATCTAACCCGCTCTACAAATGTTTGAACAAATCTTTCCCACAATTCCATTACTTGCAGGGTGTGTTACTGGAATATAAATAATGTCTGTTTGATTAACTTTGCAAGTACTCTCGAAATCTCCTTGAACTTAGAGCTGGATATCATCGATCACTTATGATCTTTTGTGGAATACCATCTTTCCTTACTTCCTCATACAATTTAATGAAATCATTAGCATTTTGTGTCTTTGAATACAATCCCCAGACATATCTGGTGAATGCATCTATTGCTACATGAAAATAGCGATTAGTGGTACCTTGATCTCTAAGTCCTCCAATTGTATCGATATGAACATATTCAAATGGTTTCTTTGCAGGACCAATTTGTGAAAGTTTTCCTAATTTTTTTCTTGGTCTTTTTGCTTGTAAACATATGGCACAATTATATACAATTTCATGAATGATTTGATTTTGATTTGTTGTGTAATAATTTTGAGAAAAATGTAATGCTGTTTGTTTTTGACCAATATGACCTTGTACTTTATGAAAATATTCTATCATATATTTAGCAAAATCTTCAGGAATATAATATCTTATTCTGCCATTGGTATAACGGACATATAATCCATTATACATAACACAATTTGAGTGGTGAGTAGAAACAAATCCTTTGTATTTCTGAAATTTCTTCTAATGTTAAAAGATTGAGTTGAAAATTTGGATCACGTGACAAACAATCAGCTTCAATGTTTTCTTTTCCAGGAATATATTCATTGATTTTATAGTTATATTGACTTAATTTCAATGCCCAATTCATTATTCTTGTATTTGGATTTCTATGTGAATTGATAAATTTCAAAAGGTTTATGATCTGTTCGGATTATAAATTCATTTCCAGCCAAAGTGATGCCAGTGTTGTAAAGCTTCAATAATTTGCTAAACACTTTTTCCGTTATTAATAATTTTTCTTGATAAGGATGTAACTTTTTCGAAAAGTATCCAATTGTTACCATAGTGTTATCTTCATCTAGTTCAGTTTCTTTTTTTGTTTTAACACGAGCTCCTATTCCAATATTCGATGCGTCAGTTATCAAGATGGTATGATTTTTGTATAATCAAAGATATGTAATACCAAACGAGAAGATAGTATTTCTCTATCACTTTCTTAAAAAGCAGAATCCGTTTCATCCGACCATACAAACTTTTCATTTTTCTTTAATAATTCTGTACAATGGAGCTAATAATTCGTTCTATTTGGAATAAATCTTTGATAGAAATTCAATTTTCCAATGAATCTTCGTAAACTTTTTAGATTATTTGAAATGCTTTCATAGTTATTATGGATTGAGTGTTACTATATAATGGCTCTATCTGGTTATGACTGATTTTATGTCCCAAATAGTTTATTTCTGTAGCATGCAAAATTTGCATTTGAAAATTTCTAGAATAATATTTTCTTCCCAAAAGACTGAAAGTATTTTCAAGATGTTGCACATGTTCTTCCAGGTCTTTCGAGAATACAACTATATCATCAATGTAATTATGAGCAAATTTAATTCAATCCATATGCCTTCAAAATTTTATAAATTATTCGTTGAAAAATTGCTGGTGCATTTTTAATCCCTAAAAGGCATTACTATCCATTCATGAGTGTTCATTCATGGTAACAATGCGGTTTTATAGCAATCTTCTATTGCCATTTGAATATGATGAAGTCCTGCAGATATATCAAATGTTGTAAAATTGTTGCATCAAGCCAATTTGTTTTCAATGTCTTGGAATCAGGGCATCGGATATGATTCGAAGTTATTGTTACATCATTAAGTTTCCTGTAATCAACACAGAGCCTTGTTTTCTTGCCATCATCTTTTTTTATCAGCCAAAACTATTGGAAAAGAATAATTTGATACTGATGGCTGAATCAATTTCTTTTTCCAATTTCTTCAATTTGTTTGTCAATTAATTGTTGATCATGTGATGTACGGTATGGTTTTAAATTAATAGGTACATTATTTTCAAATTTATGTAACAATAATCTTCTTTAATTTGTCCGATTTCTCCGCATATCTGTAAATACATCAGAATAAAACTTTTCTACAATTTTTGTATTGAAGGTTGTTGATCTGTTTATTTTCTCTTTCTGAATGACATTCATTGATGGAACATTCTCTTCATCAATATTTTCTTCTATTTTGATTGGAATTATTTTATCTTCCAAATATTGAAACATTTTGCCATAAGGAAATTCGTATAATTTTGAATTTGTCTATTAAGTCAATTCCAATTATTATTTGTTTAATTTGGGAATTACATAAATGTATGATCTTCTTCAATTTCCCAATATTAACTTTTGATATTAACTTTTTCCAGTAATTTTGAATATGTAACTGCTTGTTTGACTACTGATGAATATGGTTCAATTGTAATATTTAAATATTTGCATTGTTCTGAATTTAAGAAAGAATGAGGCTCCCGGATCATAAAGTGCAAATTTTGATGACCGTTCCAATCTTACCAAATCTTCGTTGGCTGACCTCATTTTTCTTTATATGATTTAATTTGAGCCGGATATTTCTCTTTATTTTCTACAAATGGATGTGTTATGATTTCCTTTACAGAGTCTACATGTGAATGTTAATGGGCAATCATTTAAAATATGAAACGAAGAAAAACATCGCATACATCTTTTTTGACTATTGAGAATTTTTCGTTTTTCTTTAACTGGTTTATCACATTTAATCGGTATATGATCTTGATGACAAAAGAAACATTTTCTTGTTTCATTTTGATTTCTATTTTGAAAAGTATTTTTATCCCTTGAATCTTGTTGTAAATTTTTGTTGTATGTAATTTGTGGTATAGAAGATGAAGGATTATTTTTAATGCTTAATGGTTTATTAGGTGATTCATCAGGAAATGTAACTTTAGGTTGTGTATATTGTTGACGTTGTTTGGATATTGAATACGACCATGGTTTAGTAAATCTTGTTGATTGATTTCTGTTGAATCGATTAGGATTCATATTTCGTGAAAAGGGTTTTGAGAAGATGATTGTAGTTGTCGAAATGTTTGTCTTTGATTACTTCTTATTGACATATAATTTGTTTTAGATAATATAGTTTGTTGTTTTCATTCTGGATCAATGTGCATAGACAAATTAGTGAGATACTGCTTACTGTTAATTTTTGATCCGAATTTCTGCATAAGATCTTTTACAGCATCTCTTGAAATTTTGAAGCTATGATGATAATAAAATTCAGTTTCAAAATGATCTATTACTTTCTACTTTGTTCAAGAACATAATATACATCCTTGATCACAGCCAAATTTTCTCTCATCTTTTCTGTTTGAAACCACATTCTGACTTCTAGCAATTCTTCAACTTTAGCCTTTAGCTGTTGTAATGGATGTGTTTCTGAATAAAGTTTGATTAAAATATTATATGCCAATATATAATATGGTTCATGAATACCAAGCAACTCAATTGCAATGATTTTGATCTAATTTTTCTCTTAATATCAATAATTTCCTGATTCATCACAGAAGTCGGTACAATGAATGATGGTGATTAAAAAGTATTAATAAATGAATGAAAATTTAAGTAACTCACCATCAAACTTATAGGTACTTTATCTACCCATTTCAAATTAAATGGTCTTGTATATCTTGGTTCTGATTCCAAATTTTGTTCATATTGAAAAGGATAGACTGGAGGAGAATGCACAATTGTTTCTTGATATTGTCCATCCTGAATTGGATGGATTGAAATCAATCGTTTCAAATAATTGAGTTTGACTGGTAGTTATTGGAGTATGTTGTGTTTGAAACTGAACTGTTGGTTTTGGAATAATTGGTGAAAGTATTGGTTTAAAATTGATTTCAATGTACTGGAGTGCTTTTGGTGTGAAAATTTTCATGTTGTAAATATATATCACTTTGTTTTCCTTGCAAAACACCACTCGGACCCGGGTTGAGATGTAATAAAAAGATGGCGGAGCCGAAGCAATTGGGTCTTTGCTCTTAAATAACTGTGGAGATCAGTTATACTACTTGTCGTTACTATCGCGTGCTTCCTGATGCTGTTCTTCCTACTGTATCAAAGGATGTAGTTATTACACTACCGGGACACCCATCATATTACTTATTTCTACTCTTTATAAAATGACAAGCCTTGTAATTGTCTCTAGATTAGGAAGATTTGATAATCCTTGCTTTGACTATTCTTCTCTCAAAGCCATGATTCCAGCAAGTTCATCTCTGAGTTTAGTTAACCTATCCTTCAAATATCTTTTCATCTTTCTGAAATTCAGGATGGTTTAACTCAGACGTCTAATTTCAATCCTGGTCGTAACTCAGAATGAAGTCTGCAACCAGTTTGCTCACTAAGTCTTCTTTTGTTTCGTTTATGATCTTTTTGATTTTGTAGTGGGCTATTTTATGTTTATTAATTAAATTTTCCAAATTGGAATTAAGAGAAAGAGAGAGAAAGAGAAAAGAACAATATAATAACATGACATTTAACAATTACCTTCATACATGTAATTGATACATTGTCAAACATAGTTTTTAATAGGTCGAGGTCAAAATTAAAGCAACAATAATGATGAAAAAAATAAACTTACTTGATAATATTTTAATTTCGAAATGAAATTTGACTAAAACAAAAGCGAAAAATTTTTGTTGTTGTTGTTAATCTAATAGCAACCGAATGTACGATTGATTGAATGAATGAGCAAGAAAAAAAACAGTGTTTTCTAACAGGAAATCGCCAAGATTAACGTCACAAACGACACGTCGAATAGAAAATAAAATGTACAAAAATAATTGATTGAATGAATCAAGAAGAGTCGAATGATTTTTGTTTTCTTGTTCAAGCTAAGAGCTAAAAACCTATTTTATATCGATGGTTATTATAAACAAGTTGTGTGAATATTACACAGGGAAAAAAAAGTTAAATAGACAAGATCACTGAATGTGATGGCTGGATGGAGAAACCAGTTTTTATATATACATTTTTGGTTTGGATAGTACAAATGGACTCCTAACTGGTGACAATAATAATAATAATAATAACGAGAGATGGTGATGGTGATGACAAACTCGGTTTTTTTTCTGCTTTGACTAGTGATTTTTTTTCTATATGCAATGAATGTAAATGGAATCACAAATTTTATTATATAAATAAAATACATTAAGTTTAAAAAAAAGAATTTGTACTGTACATTATAAGAAATATCAAAGTCAACATGCGACATAAATTGTTGATTTATTAATTATAATCAATATATTGATTGATGATTGCGAAAAATTTGATCATCGTCCAATTGATAATATCAAAAAAAAACAAAGTGCTTATAAAAAAAAATTCATGTCAGTTACTCTATTTATTTTGTTGATGATAAAAATCCACACGTTCTATTTGGTCGGCTGATATTATACATGTATACGTTCTTTGTTGATAGACGATATTGGAATTTGGACATTGCGGAGCACGCATGCGTTATTTATCATATGATCGAAAAAAAAACTGACATGATCATGTCGACATTTTCGGAAAACAATAATTTTTTTTGTTTGTTTCACATCAATAATAAAAACATACATTTCAAATTTCAAATTTAATCATGGATACAACGCCCATTTTTTCCGGAAAATCTCGTTCCAGTTTTCTGGATAAATCAATAGAAAAAACTAAATCCAGATCAGATGTAATTATTTTTTTATTTATCTATAATTTGAATTTATTGATCACTGATTGTATAATTAATTAATTAACAATTCATTTGTTTATTTTTGTTGTCATCATAAATTTTATTATTATTATTATTTATTTACAGCAAATTAGTTTAAGCGCATTTGCCTTTTTATTTGCTGAATTAGTACAATATTGTGAAAATCGTGTACAATTAGCATCGGAAATGCAATCTAAATTATCGGAAATTGGCTATAATGTTGGCCAACGAATTGTTGATATGATGTTGATAAGGGAAAAAAATTTTAAACGTGAAACACGACTAATTAATATGTTGATATTCATTCGAAGTAAAGTATGGCCAATGTTATTTGGTAAAGAAGCGGATAAATTGGAACAAGCTAATGATGATAAGAATACATGTAAGTCTTTGTGTTTCATTGACAACATTATAAACATTTCATTTTTGATTTCTACAGATTATATAATCGAACGTGAACCAATAGTGAATAAATTTATATCGGTACCAAAGGATAAAAAATATATTAATTGTGCCTCTTTTATTGGTGGTATAATCGAAGCCATATTGAACGAATGTAATTTTGTATGTAATATTTTGATTAATCGATTGGTGGATGGGTTTATGAGAAAAATAATTTTCCTTGTTTTTTTTTAATCGATTGATCAACAATATTTAGCCCGCAAAAATCACTGTACATTGGCACGAAGGAACCACTTTTATGATCAAATTTGATGATTCAGTCATCGAAAGAGATCAACTAATTGAAAAATAATGATCAACAATTAATGTAAATGTGTATTTGTGTGTCTATGTTTTTTTTACAATCTCTGGTCATCATCATCATCATCATATGAGGAAAAAATGAATGTACTTGTAAAATAAAATAAAAAAAAAAATTTTTCATTTGAATCGTTTTTTTAAAAATATCCAAAAATGTTTTTGTTTTCTGAAATTAAAAAAAAAAATATAATGATTAAAAAATTTTTATCTAGATGTTGAATAATCTCTGTAACCACCATTTGTATTGGTCATCTCTGGTTGATGAGCATTGAAACGATTATTGTAATGGCTATAACTATTGTAATGATTTAAGAATGATGGTGAAAAATATGGATTCGTACCATAACTCCAAGGATTCGAATATGATTGACTTGAATACGGCATATAAGATAGATGTGGAAGTAGATTAGGTAGAAATGGGAACGGATTATATGGATTCAATTGGAATGATTTTCTTGGAAATAAAGATAAAAATTTACTTCCAAGATAAGGATAAAGAGAATTGGCAAACGGTAAACGACCTGATTCTCCTTGATATCCACTTTGTAGACCACCACCATTTGTAAATTGTCTTTGTTGAATTGTTGCAGCTGAAATTGATGATGGTGATTGTTGTAATTGATTTGGAACCATGGCTTCATGGCTGCTGCCACTAACTTGTTGCTGTTGATTCTGATATAGACGCATTTCCAGATCTTTCATCAATTGTGAATGCATATAATCATCATTAGGTTCCTCTCGAGGAGCCGATCTTTTAAAAAGATATTCAGTTTTTGAATCATCATTTGAATCTTTTGAATTAATAATTTCACTATTAATTGGACGTATACCAGACAAAGTTAGATTAATCAATATAAAAATGGACACAGGAAAAGGTAGAGCAAGAATTCTATGATTATTAGCTTCAATAGATGGTGATGTTAAATTCATGTTTAATTATTCGATTTTCAATCGTAATGATCAAACATTACATAATATAAACATCAGATTTGTAGATTTTATAGGAAAATTGGCCCATAATTTTACAAATCATGCTCATGATCATCATTTGAATCTTGGTGTCATTAATCCGGGAAGTATCATCTTGATTAATCATTCAACAATAGCTCTGAAAAAAAATCTCAATAATGATTCATCAGATTTTTATTCATGCATCAATAAATTGGATAGAATTTTTTCCATTTCTTTGATTATATAATTCAAATTCTGATGATCAACATCGAAACATAAACGATAGAATTGTTGTATAGAGATTTCGTCATTTTTTAATAATGACCAAGGCATTGCCAATAAACCCATATTTAGTAACGAATATAATTTACCAACGAATAAAATGTTTCGACATATTCGTTTCAGATTATTATCGGTCATGTCCAATAGACAGGAGCCTTGATGGCACTTGCCATGACAATCAATAAAATGACAATCATCATCTATTTTACAATCGGTCACGTGTTCGATTATATCAATCAATGAATGTCTACTTTGAATCAGATCAGAATCGAGCAACAATAGCGTACCATTTTCGTTATAACCAAAATGATAATATTTGACATCACATAATTCCATTGGCAATTTAGTATTGATAAATCGTTTTAGAAAATTCAGCAAATCAATTGCAACAATAATTTTATCGTTTGAAGTTTGTAATGGAAATGGTAGAAGATATGTCCAATCAATTATATTGTTCAATTTGGGTACAGCATAAAAATGACCACATGTGTACAGGATTTTTGGATAAAGATAATCATCATTAAATAATTTAGCCAAAACATATTCATGTTGTTTGATTAATAAATAATGATTGGTATCATTGAGCTGGTCTTCAGAAAATAAATCCTGTCCTAACGAAACATTTGAAAGTCCAATTATATCGTTTTGAATTCCTGAAATTTCAGCAAATTTTTCCTCAATAAGAGCTTTTGATTTGATCACAAGTGATACATTTGGCAATTTTTCGGCAAATATGACAACATCTTTGCCTATATGACTAGATGAACTAGGACAATCGATTAATTTGATTTGATAATCATCATAACTTGTATCACATAGTTGTGGACATAGATTTCCGAAAAAGATATTCTTCTTATAATTAGTACATATTTGAATATACGTTTCATCGATAATATAATCACAGCTATTATTTAATGAATCAAACTCAATCATCCAATAAGTGGAAAAGAAAATTGTTGAACATAAAATAAACCAGAATATTTGAATAGATAAAAACAGGTATCGTTTCATTTTATTCATGACAACAGGTGATTGTGGTGACAAAAAAAAATTAATCGAATGGACTTTGATACTGATTTATCGATAGTATCGATAATGTATTTAAAAATAAAAATTTTTATAAATTGCAATTTATTTGGAATATACGGAAAGATAATTGTTATAAATGCATGCATTATTTAAACATTTATTTCATGAAAATTTTTCTTGATCTTGAACAGATAGTTCAACCACAATATCCACGATGACAGGGTCTCCAATGACGAAAGTATGGTCTCCAATGATGTCGCCTATGGTGATATCCATGATGCCTCCATCCATGATGATGATGGAATGGTCTATAATGTCGTCGATGACAATGAGAACAAGCGTCTACCAATAACCCGCCAGCGTATCCATCTTCAGAATTTGTGTTCCATTCACGAAATTCATTCGTAACAAGAATAAATACGAGAAACAGTGCGATCAAATAACGGCCAGATTTTTCAATTTTCATTTTTGTAAAAGTTTTTTCTTGTCCTGATGTTTGTTAAAATCCACAATAAACAATGAAGTCTATCTGAAGCCATTTATATATTTTCATTTACGAATGAATTTAGAATTTCTTGTCAATTTTCTTTCGACAATTGGGTTTTCCTTTCTGTAAAACTCGTTGATTACAAATAATCTAATCGATTCTCGACAATAGATCTACTTTTGATATTATTTCAAAGTATAGTAGAAAAGAAGAAAAAAATTTTTGACATTTGTCATGAGTTTAATTTTTTGAAGATGTCTTCAAGAGTCTCTTCAATCATCATCACCAATCCTATTGTCTTGACAAGTATGGAAAAAACAACATCGGTGGAAAAAACGCATTCAATTTCTGTCCAAATGATTGTAAAATTTTGCACTCATCATCAGCTATGATTGTCAAGGACAAAATAAAGTAACCATTGATGAAGAAATTTTAAAATTTCACTACTTACTTTGTAAAATCCCGATCCTCAAAATGGAATAACTTTCATTCTTCGAGAACCAAAGTTCATCATCATCATCAAATCTAAGTTTTTTTCCATTTTCCAAAAATTCACAACGATGGAGCATTTTTAGTGCTGGCTGCAGTTTTGAATACTTGATTATCTGTATTCATATAGTGGCTAACATAATGTAACGTTAAATCGTAACAATATTTGTATTCCATCTGAATCGGATAAAATTTGAAAAAAAAATAAAATGAGATATCAGAATTCATTGATAAGTGATTCAATCAATCAATTACAATCGTTTCAATCAATGCTGATCGATGTCGTCGAACAGTTTTAACAGCATTGAATATATCGATCTCTTCATGTGCAACTACTTGTTCGATTGCAAAATTGGCCGCAATATAAACACCCACTCTTGATTTTCCATTCCTGTACGTGGATTTAATGGAATTTTTTATAACAAAATTTTCAAGTATTTTGTTTTTAATCAACTAACCCTGAAATAACCAAAACGGGGCCATAACTAGTTCTTTGTCTCCATCGTTCAACCATGTGAATCAATTCGACCAATGCGTTTGTAGAGATGGGAACTTTATAATCATATGGCCAGGCTAAAAATTCAAAAAATTGAACGACTTTTGGTTCAGCTTTGATTCCTGCCATCAATTCGGTTAGAGAGGTCAATTTTTTCGTTATACGAAACACCCAACTATTGATCTTTGGTGGATTATTGTGTGATATGGTTTCGACGGTAAATATTGGACCATATTTACAGGTTTTTGAATCTCTGGGCCAAAATTCCTGGAATGATTTATCATTCTTTGGTACACCACCTAACACTACAACAGTATTACAATCATGATCATAAATCAATGACCAAAGATTTTCCATTGTTTTTTTCAGTGGCCATTCGGTCACAATATATTCACGAGGTCTTGAATAACCCTGAAATGAATAGACAGAAATAACTTGCATGAAAAGTAATTATCACAGCAATACGTACATCAACAAAAACAGCATTAATATAGTCAGATTGATCATTCGATTGAACCGATGTCAAATATGGACGAAAATTGTCAGCTAGAATGAGAAAATTTATTGATTGGTGATGATTGACCAGATACCCGCACTTACGAGGTACGATTGAAACATCACGATTTTTATCGCGATTTTCTAACCGATGTCCACCGGCACAATCTCCAATAGTAAATTTGGAAGTCATGCACATTAATTTCTGTAAAATATAGAATAGAATGAGAGTAGATTATTAATAAAAAAAATTTACCTCGAATTCGGCTTGATATTCATTCCGTTTGGTGGCTTTATTCTTAATCGATTTATGTTTCATTTGTTGACTAATCTCACTAACATTGAACCATGTTTTACCGCAAATGTACCATTCTTCGATTGTTTCATAAATGAATCGATATTGTTCGAGATTTTCAATCATATTCGTCCTTGAATTACGAAGATTTTTAGCATAATTGAATATATCGACCACACCTTCATCATCGACAAGATCCAGATTTGCATCCAAACAAACATAAGTGCCACTTCTTCCACATCCATTGCTGCAATGAACGAGCAAAGGTCCAGAATTGACGGCCTGATTCTGATAAAGTTTAACTCGTCGTCGAAATTTAAGTATTGAATCTGAATACGGACAAGCGGTGACATTCCAGCTTTGAAAATGCAATTGATAAATAGTTTGAAAATTTTCATTCGATTCATCGGCATTTAAATCACGTATTTTCATAGTACGACAAATATAATCGGCAAGTTGATCTTCTTCAACCAATGTAACTTCAAAACGGTCATCAAACAATTCCGGTTGATTCAATTTACTTGGCCAATATTGTATGCACATAACTCTTATGAATTCGTATACTTTGGTCAACATGACAATAACTTGAATATTTTGCTGCCATATCATACGCCAGAAATGGCCCATTGTCTTTTCATTTGGGCCTTGAGCAACAATATAGGCATTTGGTTTGAGTAAACTCTATGAACAACATGAATTGAATAAAATAAACAAATTATATTCATTTATATTTATTTATATAATGTCAATTATTTCAAAACAACATACATCAATATGCGATGCATTAATGTAGTCCGATTCAGAACATTTATTACCATTTGGATTTAGTTCAAGTATCACTCGATTAAAATCATCTATTTAAATATTTATTATTATTGTGACGATTGATTGAATATAAAAATAGAATAAATATATAAAATTCATTTGAAATAAAATATTATGTAATCATCAATGGCCAATGATAATAAAAATAAAAAGTAAAATGTAAATATACTATACTATATTGATATAGTTTTTGTAACTTACAAGGAACGAATTTTTGATTAATATTTTTGCCAAAATTTTCCCGTTTATTTGCATGGCGAATTGTGAATGAATTTCGTTTACCACTGATATTTGATGATGTACGCAAAAACTGTTGAAATTGAGAACAAAAAAAAAAATTGGCAATAAATTTTTTTTTATCAACACTGTAACTTAATAGTGGAGATGGATGAATGAATTTTTTTCTATTTCATTGCATATTCAATTCATCGAATTTCCAATATATCAAATAATCAATTCAAATATAGTATTTGAAAATTCTTACATTGAATTCAATAACGGCTAGTATTTCATATTTCCGTATACGTCGAACATGTTTACTCAATGTATTGACCATGATTCTATTATGTGGAACGAATTGATTGAACACAGCATAAAGGAATGAATTACTTTGTAGCATTTCTTTATTTTCACCAGTAGCCGTTTCTTCCAGATATCGAACTGTTGATGCAAATAATGGAAGATTTAGTAATTTGAGCTGAAAACGGCAGAATGATTTAGATTTAGGTAATTTTATATAAATACTAGTTAACCATGATTCTTTAGGAACGTATAAATCATCACTAGTTTCTGTGAAACGATGAATAGTAGATCGACGATTAGTGTTCGATGAATGTGTATTATTAGTAGGAATAAGACCATTATTAGTAGTTTTGATTATTGTTTTTACTGGATGTAATGCCATAGAATTATTGCTAGATTCAATCACATGAATGGAATGAGATCGTCGTGTTAACGATGTGCTAGCCATTGATGGAACGGATAAATGATGATTATCGTGTGATGTTTGAAAACGATATCGTGGCTTTGCATAAAGATATGGTTCACGACTCTTGATCAATGCTGGCAAAATATCATTCTCTTGATTGTCATTATTTTCACCATTACAATTATCTGTACCAATTGAAGTGATATCACCCGAATATTTACGAATATTACTACATAAAAATTCTATCGGTGGATCTGATACCATTCGTGTAATGGCTTCATCAATTGTAACGGTCTTGATATTTGTTTGATCAATAGAATTTTGAAGATATGAAGGTAAAGATGATCTAGGATGATCATTATTAGCATCCATCTGATAATTCAAACCGATATCCGCAGCGTTGACATGAACTTCGACAGTATTATTATTATGTTCCATCGTTGAAGTAGGGCTAATGCTGTCACAGGCTTTATTACGTTGGCAAGTTGTTGGTTGATTATAATAATACTTATCATAAAAATTCAAGACAAGTAATTTCAATCATTGTGGTGTGATAAATATAACTTTTTCTATAAAATTTTCATTACAAACATTCGAATGTTTGTTTAGACAGTTTTTTTTTGGAGATTAGCTCTCACAGAATAATGATCGAATAGAGTTAATGTTTGTCGAGAAGATTTGAGAATTAGGCTCCATAGCTAGTAATACGTTCATCCATTGTGAATGTTACCCGTTGAAAACTCAATATAAGAAAAAAAAATTGGAGCCATCCAGAGCATCATTTTGAAATTGAGCATGAAGAGAAAAAAAACGACAATTCATTCATATACAAATCGAAACATGAATTTTCCATTTGGGTTCAAGTTAGTTGCTTTAAATTGTTATGAACGTCATTGATCGTGAATGCATAGAAACCAAAAAAAAAAAAAAAACGAACTCAAAAAACATACAAACATTGTATAAAATGAGAATCTGGAATGAAATGAGAAAAATACTGAAATCAGTGATGATGGAACGAAACATACATTACATTTTTATGTCTTATATTATATAGAATATAGAATATACGATTAGGTTTTTCTTTCGCGGGTACTTAACCGATAGTTATATAAACAATGTAGATGGTGGCCGCATCTAACGATGTTATGGAGACCAAGAATGGTGGTAAGCAATCAATTTAACCAACAAAAAAAATTGAATTAAAAACTATGCAAATAATTGGCGCCATTATGAATGATTTGCTCTTGCAATATGTTGATGATGATTTGATTTTAAAATTAGGACGACTAATAATAATGTTTTGTGAGAATATAGTTGGTTTTAGCGCTATTTTAACCAAATTACAGCCACATGCAAAGGTAGAAAGAGATTTTTTTTGTTATTTAGATTTCCGATTTAGAGAAACGTGTTTTTATTTCGAATTTGCATATTTACAAATGAATGCTTATGAAGAAATTGATGGAAAAAAATATGCAAAGAAATTGTGGTATGAATATAATTTTTTTTGTTCTGAAGTCTTATTGAAAGTTTTTTTTTATTTCTATAGGATAAAAATAAAGAAAATTTCTGTAGTTAAAATAATAGTTAAAATCCATGAAAATCAAAAGACAGAAATTATCAAATTATTGCAAATTGCATTATCTTTAATCTGAGAAGGACCTTTTGAATTAATGTCAATAATTAGATCCATAATAATTGTTTTGTTTAAAAAATATTTTAATAATTAACACAAACAAAAAAATAAATAAATAAAAAAAATCAACAGTTGTTATCAGAACAAAAGTTGAATTTGTATATTATGTATGTATTTTATGTTCGAATACGATTCATTCCAACATTTCACATTTATGATTTGTGGTAACAACTCTATAGTGTTCCAGTAGAAATTTCTTAACGCAAATTTTTCATGAATTTAGACTTTTCGAATATGGATAAAAATATTTTGATTTTTCGTTCTTTTTGCGCAAATTTATTTCGCTGTTTTTGGTTTTTTTTTTTTTGATTATTTTCAATATTTGGCTATTTTCAGCCTTGGCTATTTTTACTTTGACTATTTTAATCCACAATCATCCAGAAATATTGTTCAGAAATGAAACAATCACTAGATTCTATACAAATCAAAAAGAAAAACTTCCACCTTCCTCTTATATCAAATGGATCTAATAATGTCTACAGACGATTCTCATTTAGGTGGCGAAACGATCCTGAATGATCAAACTGAACAGTTATTCATAAATTCTTGGCTGAATCAACCACAACGAAAAGAATTGTTAACATCCATGCAAAAACATGATCCAGAATTTCAGCAAAATCATACCAGCAAAGAAAAGAAAATCGAAATAATCGGTAAAATTATCTTAAAATAGATCTGAAAATTTTCTAAACTTTCTTTTTTTTCAGAACTTGGTGATGATGATGATGATGAATTGATTTTATTGCCTTCTGTGAACACTATTTCTATGATAAAAAGTTCTTTCGAAGAAAAAGGAAATGATAAACGAAAGCTACAATGTATAAATGAACGAACAAAAGTTGAAAGTAGTATTGGATCCCGTTTCGTTGAATCTGATAAGCATGCACAATTTAACTATGCTACTGTGACAGAAAATTCCAGTATTAAAATTTCGGACTCTAGTATGGTAATACAATCTCGCTTCAATAAACAATCTGGATCAAAACCAAGAATACCAAGAACACTTCCAACTAAAGATGGAATAATTCATTTCAATCATCGATTTGACGATGAACAAATGGATCTAATAATGTCTACAGACAATTCTCATTTAGGTGGCGAAACGATCCTGAATGATCAAACTGAACAGTTATTCAAAAATTCTTGGCTGAATCAACCACAACGAAAAGAATTGTTAACATCCATGCAAAAACATGATCCAGAATTTCAGCAAAATCATACCAGCAAAGAAAAGAAAATCGAAATAATTGGTAAAATTATCTTAAAATAGATCTGAAAATTTTCTAAACTTTCTTTTTTTCCAGAACTTGATGATGATGATGAACAATTGAATTCATTGCCTTCTGTAAGCACTATTTCTATGATGAAAAGTTCTTTCGAAGAAAAAGGAAATGATACTCGAAAACTACAATGTCTAAACGAACGAGCAATAGTTGACAGCAGTATTGGATCTGATGAGTATGCACAATTTAACTATGCTACTGTGACAGAAAATTCCAGTATTAAAATTTCGGACTCTAGTATGGTAATACAATCTCGCTTCAATAAACAATCTGGATCAAAACCAAGAATACCAAGAACACTTCCAACTAAAGATGGAATAATTCATTTCAATCATCGATTTGACGATGAACAAATGGATCTAATAATGTCTACAGACAATTCTCATTTAGGTGGCGAAACGATCCTGAATGATCAAACTGAACATTTATTCAAAAATTCTTGGCTGAATCAACCACAACAAAAAGAATTTTCAACATCCATGGAGAAACATGATCCAGAATTCCAGCAAAATCATACCAGCAACGAAAAGAAAATCGAAATAATTGGTAAAATTATCTTAAAATAGATCTGAAAATTTTCTAAACTTTCTTTTTTTCAGAACTTGATGATGATGATGATGATGAATTGATTTTATTGCCTTCTGTGAACACTATTTCTATGATGAAAAGTTCTTCCGAAGAAAAAGGAAATGATACACGAAAACCACAATGTCTAAATGAACGAACAAAAGTTGACAGCAGTATTGGATCCCGTTTCGTTGAATCTGATGAGCACTTTGACAATGTTAACAGTGTACAAAATAACTATGCTACTGTGACAGAAAATTCCAGTCTTAAAATTTCAGACTCTAGTATGGTGATACAATCTCGCATTAATAAAAAAACTGAACCGAAACCAAGAATAACACTTCCAATTGAAGATGGAATAATTCATTTCAATCATCGATTTGACGATGATAAATTACCAGCAAATTTCAACTTTAACTTTTCATCGCGTAAAAATAAATCAAAATCTAATAAGGATGATTATGACTTATTGGACATGTCAATTTAATAATCCCATAAATATAAACACATTTCTTTTTGTGAATAAACTTTATTCAATCTTTTTCTTAACAATTCTCTTTTATTCATTACTCAAATACAAAGGAATATTGGATTCAGAAATGGATATTTTTGCAGGTTGCACTTCTTCGATTGTTGTAGTCAATCGATTTTCATCATCGCCATCAAAATGTATAGGAAGATATGCATCTGAAATGGAACATTTTGTCATTGATTGTTCGGATACGATTTCAGATGATTCACGATTTAAAAAATCTTCCATTAAACTAGATGATTCATCATTTATATTGATAATTTCAGGATCTTCAAAAGTAGATTTCTCATGAGATTCCTCATGAGACTCCTCCTCACTAATCATTGATTGCTTAGTAGTTTCGAAATTATTTACGGCAAACAATTTATTTCTTTTTGGTTTTGAACGAATTTTTCGATTTGTTTCTGCTTCAAATGCCAATGGTTTTTTCTTTCCATGACCATTACCCGTTCGTGATCGTTTATCTTTTGAAACAATGTTTCTTTTGTTATTTCGAATCTTTTTTTTGTTCCATTCATCTTTAGCACGAGCGGTCAACAATTCCAGTGGTAAAAATGGATATTTATTTCGTAAGAAAATTGTCGCGTTGTATAAAAAATCTTCATAATTATAATGATCTTTATAAGTTTTGCCTAAAAATTCAAATTGAAATGGAAGTTTTGACTTTTTTCCAGTAATTTTGGCCATTTTGAGCAAATAAAAAAATCGTCACATTCACTCACACAGTAACGATAATGATGAAAAATTGAACAATATTCTATCAGCAGGTTAGCTTGAAGGAAATTGCAAAAAAAAACCAAGCCTCTACTCACTATCGATACAATCAAAATTTTTTTTTTCAATTTAAATTCACAAGTTTCAGTGACAAGTTTTTATTTTATTAATTTGAAAAGAATCTATAAAATAACAAAATGATAGGCAATTTGTATTTACAAAAAAAAGAAAATGAATAATTTTCTATTATATTAATCATCCAAAAATGTTATTTGACCTGGACCACCTTTACGCATATATCTACGATATCGTTTGTAAGCAGAATTTTCAGCCAATTTTGCACGGACATCATCATCTTTTTTCTTTTTCCATGGTTCAAAATTTTCCCTGATCCATAATTCTTCGCGCATATATTCATCGATTTCATATTGATCTTTTTGTGCCCACTGGAATTCCGAAAGATTCATAAACTTTCGCATGATATAATGTTTTTCCTCTTCACCTAATGGCTCTTTTTTAATATCAAATTTATATATCCATCTGGCATGCCAATAAATGTATTGGGCTAAAATCATGAAATGAAAATAGAATTATAAAAATAGAAAATTTTGACAATTAGACATTACCAATAAATACTGGAATGAGAAACAACTGCACCCATAGGATATCTTTGTATGATGGTTTCGAATATGCACCTTTAATATTCATTTTATCTTCGATCACCTTACGTATACATGCTTCTTCTTCTTGTTTCAATTCTTCTTTAAGTTTTTGTTTATTACCCGATCCTCTTTGTTTTACACGACTTTTGCCATCAGATGTTGATGTTACTGTTGGCCATATACCTTCATCGATGGCTATATCTTTGGCTTGAATACGATATTTGGGCACAGTGACAAAATAATCGATAGCTTCTTTGTAACGTGAATTAGATCCATAATATTGATAAATAGATATCAGTGTAATAGTCACAACAATTACGATTCGTACATCAACTTTTGGTGCATAAACACGACGATAATATCGATAATAATGATGATAATATTCTTCAGGATTATCCAACATATAATCATAATCTTTACGTGATTCATCATCACGTAACACTTCATAGGCCTGAGCAATCAATTGAAATTGTTTGGTTGCAATGGCTTTAGCTTCTTCACCACGATGTAAATCTGGATGCCATTTACGGGCTAATGAACGATATGATCGTGAAATTTCCTCTTTACTGGTTTCACGTGTCACTTTAAGCACTATAAACAAAGAAAAAAAAACAATTTAAAAAAGAATCAATTTAAAAATTCATAACTTTACCATCATAACAATTATCTTGGCCACAATATAATCCTTCCAGAAAGGCATGGCAAAAATTTAAATTGTTTATTAATGTTGTGATGAATAATACGATAAATGTTATATTTTTATTCGTTTTCATCGTTGCAAAGAACTGATCAATTCCAATTCGATGATGTATACTATAGTTGTTGTTGGCAGAAATGATTCAGAATAACAAAAAAAATCAATTTAGTATTTGCTCTTTACTTTTTTTTCAAATCGTAACACATTCGATTCGAATCAACAGTTATCGTTAGTGTTTGTTGGTGGAACAAACAAAAAAAATTCAACACAGAAAGAAAGAAAGAAAAAACTAAATTAATATATCAATCTTTGAGTAACTTTGGTAACATGAAGGAAATGGCAATGGATCGGTGTGTTTTTTTTACACGCACAATATAAATATATAGATAATTTTGCCACATTGGCAAAGCCAACCGGTTCATGAAATCGTGTACAATGACATAAAACACATATATAAAAAATGCAATTGAATCAATGTCACCGATTATATCATAAAACAGGAAGTCTAATAATATTAATATTATCGAATTGAGACAAACGATTCAATAGACAATGGAAGATCCAATCCATTTGGAACGATTGGAAATGATCATATGTTGGATTTTTTTCAGCGAGAGCCAGAAATCCAACAAAAACACGATTACGATTCTAACGCCATCTAACAGCGTATTAATAAAACCAATGTGAAAACATTCAAAAAAAAATTTTTTTTCCAAAATTTTAAAATTAAAAATTAAAACATTGGGGTTCATCGAAACATATATTTTTATTATATCATAATTATAATGTTGAAATGTGTGTGTGTATGTGTGTATCAAACGGAAATTATAGCCAGCTAATATAATGGACAACAACCATAAACGGAAAAAAAACTTGGGTAAAATTTAAATTTCAACAAAAAATGTTGTTTCCATTCGGTTCGACGACATAATAAACATATATATAGTTTATAATTTCCAAGCTTGTCGCATCATCAAATCAAAGTACATGTCTTCGTCTATTGAAGCACTTACGCCAGAATAGTAAGCCAAAAATTCTGTTTTGGTTAGCTGTAAAAGTTGAAACAAAAATACAAAAACTAAGAATTCGATTTGGATAAATATTTCAAATTTTTGATAACTACCTGACCATCAGACGAGTCATTGGATTCGAATTTTTTGATAAAATCCTCCAACAATTCCTGTTCAGTTTTATTTCCATTCAAATATTCTGGATGTGATTTAATATTATAGACACCTTGTAGATCTTGTATGTTGACAATACCATCACCAGTTTTATCCAATTTATCAAATGCTTTTTCCACCAATGATATACGCATCATATTCATTGGTGGTCGAATAGCTTTCAGAAATTCATCATATCTAATGGTACCTGATCCATCTTGATCGAAAATTTCGAAAACATTTTTATATTCTTCATCCGATGCTTGATAACCCAAATCTTCAAGACCATTACGAAATTCTTGATATGAAAGATCGCCACTTCGATTATCATCCATGATACGGAATTGTCTGTCCAAAATAAGAATAATAATTTGTTTATCAAATTATTTGAATCAAAATTTTTAATTATTAATAAATTTACCTTCCCAAGGCCATAATACCGGTAGTACCACGTTGTAAACATAATAATCGAATTTTTTCAACAGGATCACTGGTAACGGCTAATTGACGGGCAGATTTTTCCATCAAAAGTTGTTCATTTCTTGTCTGTGCTGTGATTGGTCGAGGCATATTTGTAGAATTTATTCGATTCAATTTGATACCACAAATTTTGAATTTCAAAATAAAGTTTAAATCTTTGTTGTTGGTTGTTGTTGTTGTTGTAATAACACAATGTCAAAATGAATGGAATGATTTTTATTTGAAAAAAAAATTTGGAACAGATACGAATGTAGCTTTTTCGAACAATATGATTGAGTGTTTTCTATTTGACATAAAAAAAAACAATGTCAATGAAACAAAATAAATGGTCTATATATATATAATGGAATGGAATGTAATCTGAAATTCAACCACTATATGGTGACATATATACAGACGGCAAATAGATTAATTAAATTTTTTTATCTTTTCAATATTGTCACCAACAAAAAAAAACAAAAAGGAAATTGATGGTGGATAACAACGAAATGAAAAAGAATTCGATTTCGAAATTGAATTTTTTTTTTGTTTTGATCAGGAAACTGATAGCACCACCACTACTACTATTGACAATGATTATTCGAAATCTTTGATTGCTTACCTCTTTTTTTGTTTAGATGATGAATGGATTTTCGTATGAAAAATACAAAAAAATCGTGTTTATTAATTACAATGTTGATTATCAAATCGGTTGCGTCACTTTGATTGTTGTTTGACTTGTTTGACTAAAATTCTGTTTATACACACGCAAAACAGTGTTTTTTGTGATGAATGTAGAAGTAGATGGCCGCCGCTTTAATGCTTCTTGGCTATTTATTTTTTTTATTAGTTAATGCGTATATGATTGCGAATGTTTGTTTGTTGTTTGTTTGTGTGTTTGTTTGTTTGTGTGTGTGTGTTGGTGAATATGTATGATCCAGACACTTTTTTTCACACCAGCCACCAGGTAGACAATGGTAACCGAAAAAAAAATCGATCAGATTAAACTAAATACTAAACTATAGAAACTAGAGTAGAGTTACTAAAACAAATTAAATGTGTAATAGTATATTTTCAGTCAATAAAACAGGTATAAGAAAAAAAATGTAATTCGAAAACACTGTGGAGCACGTTTATTTGCGTGTGTATCAATGATTAAACTTTATTTAGAATGTTTTGCCTTTTATATGATTTGGCTCAGGGTGAATATATGATCCAGACACTTTTTTTCACACCAGCTACCAGGTAGACAATGGTAACCGAAAAAAAAATCGATCAGATTAAACTAAATACTAAACTATAGAAACTAGAGTAGAGTTACTAAAACAAAATTAAATGTGTAGTATATAAGTATATTTTCAGTCAATAAACAGGCACGAAAAAAAAATGTAATTCGAAAACACAAAAATTTGACGGGACCACACCACATATACATTTGTATGATGAGAGTAGGCGTGTATGCGTAAAAATGTATACATAAATAGAAATTACCGTAAAAATACGTCAAAATATTCAAGTGTTCCAAAAATGTAATGCAAAAATTAATGCTAAGAGACCAAAAATGACTTTTTAATTTTTCATATATATGGTTGTTTTTTTTTATTATTATTTTCAGGAAAAAAAAACCTGGATATATCTATCTATCCATTTAAAATTTGTTCAATCATTTTATCAATCTGTTCAAATTGCCATGGCCATTTTGTATTGAATAAAAATTGCCTATGATCAAAACGATTATCATCTGGTGAATAAGTTTCCGTATGAAGACTTGGTGTCAATATTGTTTGTTTATGACGATTACGTGCATATAATGTAAAGAATCGTTTTATTTTTGATGCTAATAATGTTGGTTCAACCATTTGTCCATTAAACACTTGTCGAACATGATCGGCATGACGATCATTCCAGATTTTACAAAACATTCCATATGGCCCATATGTACCATATATTCCACGACGTATACGGCCAAATAAACTCAGTTCATCATATGTTAATCCTAAATCCTCTTCATCTTTCTGATCCTGACCAGTTAATTCGGCACTAGGAATAGCATTGATAATATGATCTAAAACTTGTTCAGAATTCGGAATAATTTGTTTCGAATAAATCATAAATCTTTTCAGATCATTTTTACTAATTGAACCAATTGGATTTAGATCAGCAGATGAACAATCATATTTGGTAAGGTAGCCAACAAGAGCTTCATCTACATTTCCTGTAGCCAATACTAAACGATTACATTCGCTCATATAATAGGTGAGAACCATTCGAATTCTAGCTTGTACATTTTGTTGTTGTATGGTAACATCATTGGTAGATTTTGTCTTAATACCTAATGGTACTGTATCGATAATTTTCTGATAAATATCGGTTAAATCATATGTTTGAAAATCAGCTCCAACCAATTGGGCAAGATTTTTGGCACGATCATAACTATCTTGACCGGAAAATTTAGTACGTAAATAGCAGCAACGTAACAATCGTTGACATATATCTTGTGGTTGCAATTCATGAGCTTCTATATCTAAAATTGATTTCAATGATTTAATTACATTCTGATTTTTAACCGAATAAATTTGATGATGCAGAAATCGACAAAGTGAATAGACAATACAGACAACCGAAGATGAATCCAAGCCACCACTTAAAGGCACAATGAATCCTTTGATTCCACCAGGAATACATCGACGTAGATAATCCCATAACCATAATGAACAATAGCGCATTATTTCTTCTTCAGGACAAAGTCCTACAAAATTTTTGGCAATGTTAGTCTGTGGAATTTCAAAATTCCAATTCTTAAAAAATCCACAATTTTCTATCGTGATAGTATTTACATCAGATATGTTTGAATAAAGCATACTGCTATTTTCATAAGGTTTGCTATCGTTGAATTTGATAAATTTTTCCGAAACAGTACAACTTCGAATTGGAATATTATTTTGTAATCGAAATTGTTGAATATTGATTGGATCCACTGCCGATACGGTAACAGAAACTTCATCAAAAAGTTCATCAGACAATACATTTGACATTGAAAGTAAATTGCCATTTTCCATAACAAAACTTCGCCCATAAAAACAAAGACGACCACCGCCATCACACCCAATATTATTGACATAGGCATAGACACCACCTGAAATTTAATAAATTACAATTTAGAAAATTAATTTGATTCGTCTATGAAAAAATTCAATTACCAGTTTTGCTGGTAACTGAACGAACATGATTATATGCATTGTCTAATTTTCGGAGTTCCCAATATGAACTGGATGGGTTAACAACCAAATGGCATGCTCGTAGACCAAAATGACGATTACTTTGAGTGTCTGCATGCCATAATTCTTCACAGATTTCAAATCCAATTCGGAACACACCTAACGAAGCTTGTAAATCATTGTTTTCGATGACATTATCTTTGATTTCTATGATTGCCCCATCACCAAATGGTACTCGTTTTTGTTCGCATATTTCCGTTATTAACGGTGGCAATTCGAACCATGAAATAGATCCATTCGTTCCATCATTCCAGGGTTTAAAATAACGATTTTCTCTAAAGAATTTTGGATTGAAAAAACTACGTCAGCAGTCTATTTCATAGGTGGTATTAGAATTACCTATAATTTCCATGGATAGCTAATCTATTTTTAGCTCTGATATAAACAATTTTCGAATTATAAATAATCGTAACACAATTATATAGGCAAGAATCCTTAATGACAGGCATACCAATACATATTATAATGTTTTTATAATTTTTCTTGAGAATTTCACCAAGAACTTGCCATGAATGAAATACGGTATCAATTTCATAGAATGCATCCTCACAACCATAGCCAGTAATTTCGAGTTCAGGACCCAAACGAATAGAAGCGCCCAATTCGATGGCTCGATCGATGCTTGTCAAGATTCGAGATAAATTACCTTTGAAATCTAAACATAGTTGATTCAATGTACAAATGGCAATTCCAAATTTATATGAAGACATGTTTGATGATGATGATGAATAATTTAAAATTCGTGCATAAAAATCATATGACTGTAGAATTTGGAATTGGAAAAAATTCCCAGAAAATTTCCAGCCATTAATTTTTTATACAAATTTCTCATGTTGTCTATTTTCTTTCTTTATAATTAAGTACTTTTATTTGAATAAAAATTATTCCATGTTTTTTCACAATCATAATTCTTGAAATTATTTCCAAATATAAATTTTTCATAATCAGAATCAATATTATAGAATATTTTATGATGAATATCCAACATTGGCCATGGTAGTCGTCTAGTAATAATAATAATAAAGGAAAATCTTGATAAATTCGGAGAAAAAAATACAAAAAAAAAATATACCTTTTGTGAATAAAATATTTAACCATTTGAATCAGTTCCATTGAAACTAATCGATCAGAATGATCAAATAATGCAGGTTGTAGAAATGGAATACCAAAAATGGCAAACATTTCAAACGAGTGACAGGATCCCATCCATTTGCCACACCAAACACGTTGGAATGTGTTCCAAAATATACTGGTTCGAGGATTACCTTTGTATTGCCAATAATATTGATATATGGAAGAATTTTTGTCGCTAACAAAGAATCAATGAACTTTTCCATTGGACAAACAATATATCGATCACCAAGCATATTGGTTATGATACGATGCAGAATAATGGTGTCAACAGTAGTCATATCCATTTGTGTTGTATGAATTTTCAACAAATGATTTAAATAATAATCGATAATTTTCGTCTCTTTGTTGTTAATAATAACCATAACAATTTAAATGTTTTATTCATTAAAAATCAAATACTCACTATTGATCGGCAATGATGTAAACATTTTGTTCAGAAATAATTCGGCCGTACTCATTGCTTGATATAGTGATTGTATATGTGATCGTATATGTGTTCCGAATTGTTCACGATCTTCAAGCATTGCAATCCATGATCCTTCATCATTGGTATAGCCATAAAGTATGGACAGATTCTTTTTGGGTAAGTTGTTTAAAAGTTTGATTGGATTATTCGGTTGGAAATGACCATCAATCATAATCGGAATGTTTACAAATAATTTATCATCAGCCAATTGTTTCACCATTTCCATTGAAACTAAACGGCTTCGATTCTTAGCAATTTTAGAATCAACGCAATCGATCATATTTTCGGTATTATAGCAATTCATATAATGAAGATAATTTGACCAAAATTTGTCAACTTGTTCAGGTTCATTTAGCTCATTAACTTGTAATGGCGAACCACTCATCATAATGGCTTGACTAATCAAACCTTGACTTAATGGTGAAACAATGTGCATTCCTATCGATAGAGCTGCTGACGATTGACCTACCAATGTAATACGATTTGTATCACCATTGAAATATCGTATGTATTTATGAATCCATTTAAATGCTTCTACTTGATCTAACATTCCGACATTCGGTACAATATCGGTCATATTGGATCGATAGAAAAACCCATAGAAATTAAGACGATAATTAAAAGTGACAACAATGGCTTCGGCATGATGTGCAAGAAATAAACCGTTGTATTTGGATTCGGAAGCCGATCCAAATACAAATGCTCCAGTATGGATAACAACGATCACTGGTTTTAGTGAATCATTGCCGCCTGGTGACCATATGTTTAAATAAAGACAATCTTCACTAAAATTATAATTATTCAGCTGCAATGATTGATCAGGTTGCATGCAAGGATTCGGCCAATTAACTGCATCGATTGTTTCATTCCATTGCTGTTTAGCTTTGGGTGGCTGAAATCGTAATTTACCGATCGGTGCTTCGGCATATGGTATACCCAAAAATACCTGCATTCGATCATCATTAATTTTTTGATTGAAACCGGCAATTTTTCCAGATTCAGTATCGATGATGATTTTGTGCACATTCAATTTGGTTTTTATTCGATCATTGTTAGAAATTGGCGTTCGATAATATAGAACATAAATGATGACCAAAAGAATAGCATTCACCGTAGTTAGGCCAACAAGTGATTTATTGTAAATTTTAGACATTTCAAATGTTTACCATAGAAATATTGACGATGAAATGATTGTTTTCATCTTCATTTTGCATCCATTTACTTTAGAAGAAATATTTGCGGTTAAGATTTCGAATTCCAATTGCTATGATATCTATGGACAGACTATCTGAAATCAAATGAGTGAAACCTTGAATCTTCTTTGTTTATATATTTATTTTTAATTGTTTTTATTAAATTTCGATTGCAAAAACACTAGAAAAATGGATTATAATGCATCATTCGCAATGTCTCCTAAATTAATTCAAGTAGGAAATTCCTGCTATCGAAGATTGGATTGTAATCCCGATGGAATTATCGATAATTTGACTATCAATACACGAAAACTTGCATTGCAGCAAAATGTTACACAATCAGGTATTTTATCTCCAATTATATCAACTATATTTTGAATTATTCGCCCTGTATAGGACATGGTAATCCAAATAATTATTCCATTGATCAAATTGAAAGCGAAGATTATATCACATCGAATTCAATGGTTGATGATGATGGCGAAAATTATCAATTTCAGCTAGATGATGGTGAAGAATTGCGTTTTGATGAAAACTCTAAACGATTCATATTGACCATACATTTATGTAACACTTTTTTCGGTTACTTAATCGGTAAAAAAGGACAAACCAAAATGAATATCGAAACCGAAACTCGTACAACGTTGAAGATTCCAAAATTAAGTCAAAATGATAATCGTAATTATATTCAAGTTCAAGGCATGAACAAATCGAATGTGATCAAAGCTTTTAAACGTATTCGAGATTTAGAACATAGTTTTCGTTTGAAACAATCGTTAACACATTTTATCTCCATACCATTATCATTTGAGCCGAATATTAAGAAAAGTTTTATCAATTTCAAAACGGCAATTCTTTCCGATCCAAAATTATCGATTACCAAATCCATTGATGAGTCAGTATTTCAGTCTGAACATCGATTACATTTAACATTGCGTATATTATATCTCGGGGATTTATATGAACAAAAGAAAGCGATGAAATATTTGGAAAATTTTTATCAATCATATTTAAAATCTTTTCTTGCGGAATATCAACCAATAATGTTACATATGAAAGGAATAGACATTATGAATGATGATCCATCAGCAGCCAATGTTCTATATGCTAAAGTATTTGAAATTGGTCAACAAGATTTATTTCGTCAAATTGTCAACAAACTATATGATTGGTTCAGTCAATCTGGTTTAGAATGTGAATCAGATCGTTATGAATGTAATAATGAATGGAAAGTTAAAATTCATTGTACATTAATGAATACAAGATATCGTAATAAAAACAATGATGATGATGATGATGATTATGGATCAAATGATAAAACAACAATCGGTAATAGAAATGAAAGAAAATTACAATCAAAAATGAATGTTGGTGCCATTCTGGAACAATTTGGTGATTATGATTTTGGTCTTGTCCAAATGAATGAGATACATTTATCAACATTAGATTTTTATGATGAACAAAATCATCAACATTATTATTATCCATTGAATAAAATTTGTTTCTAAAATAAAATAACGGAACTTTTGATAATAATAAATGCGAATGAAAAATGAAAAAAAGATTTCTATAAAAAAAAATATTGAATGGACACTGATGTGTGTGGCCCTGACCGTTCTTCTTCTTCTGATGATGATGACCTGATTATACATTCAAACTGTAAACATGTTGTTTTGTTGATAATCATTATCATCATCATCATCATCTTATTATTATACTCGAAGGCATCATTTGTTGATCAATCAAATTAAATTTTTTGTGTTTTATTTCAGATTCGGTGTGAAATGATCATGATGATGAACACAAATTGTTTTTTTTTTTGTTTGAATACATTTAAATGTATATAATATTTACAATAGAATTAAATTACGTAATAAAATAATAATAAACGTAACGTCTGTTTTTATTATTTATCATCAATCGAATATTTATAAATCATATATGTCAAGTTTGAAATATGTGTGTATGTGTATGTTTTGTTTTGTTTGTTTGTAATAAATTATTGCACGTGTTCACACGGATGGCCAAATATTTTTCTCTCTATGTATTTATAATGATGATGATTGTCGTCATAAATATATATATGTTATGTTATGTTATCATTTATTTTCTATTCAGCAACTCGTTGATATACACGAAGACATTTGACATCATTGGCAATCGATGTCTATTGTCAATCGATTGGTTGATTGATTGATTGATTGATAACAATATTGAAAGAGAAAAAAAATTTCAAATAATCGATTATTAGTTCAGAACAAAAAAAAATTTGATAGAAAAAAAAACACTTACCACTTTGATTTGTTCACCATTAAATTCACGAATATATTTGATTTCCATATCACCATCACGTTGTGTTTGAATTAGTTGATTTCCTCCAACAAATTCGACTACAGACTATTGAACAAGAAGAAAAAAACAAACAAACAAACAAACACCATTTTTGTTACATTGATCAAAAATTTAAAATTTTCATGGTCATTATTAAGAAAATAGGATTATAGCTAATTGAAAATGTGAATGACATATAAACACTAATGACACGTATACGCAATGTAATGTCATAAAACGGAAATGAGAAAAAAAAGACATGAAGAAAGGTTAAAGATAAATATAGCTTTTGTTGTATTGTATCCAGGAAAATCGAATGAGTCACTCAATATTTGTTGTGTGTGTAAATGAAGTTTCGAAGTTCGAACAGATCAATGACATCGAACATAAAATGAAAAAAATGAAATAGAAAAAAATAGAAAAATCTCACCTTGACCCGTTTACCATCAAGCCGGTCTTCATCGAATTCTTCGCCCAATTTAAATTTAGTTTCCGATGTTTTAATAACCGTATGTGATTTAAAAATTAGACTATCATTTTGATCTTTTATGAATTCAACCGTTGGATATGTTGTGTTGGCTAGTTTACGTTTTACAAGACCAACACCTTTTTCGTTTGGTTTGATTGTAACAAAAACAAAATATTTTATTAATCAAAAAAAAAAATTCTCAAAAAATGATAATAATCAGACTTACCAATTTCTTTGAGAAAGTTATCAAAATTTTCACTTGTAGCAAGTTTATATTTGCCATAAAAATTTTCAGGTATTGCTTGCAACATTTTTTTGTTTGTTTGTTTGTTTCACCAAGAAAAAAATATTTATCAATTTGAATATTTCAGCACACCAAGTGTCAATTTCTTTTTTGTGACTGGATGGATTCGTAACCAAAATGATTATGACAAATCAGATGAATAATATACACGGTATTTATATATAAATGATGAATTCATGTCTGCAACAACAGCAACAACCACAACGACAACAACGACAACAACAACAACGACAACGACAACGATAACAATGTCAAGACATTACCGAACAAACAGATAAGAAAAAACAAAATTTATCAGTCAAATATATAAATATTAGCATTCGATAATTTATCAATCACTAATTTGATTTGGGTGTAACAAATTCAAGCGTACACACACATACACACACACACACACACATACATACAACAATATCAACAATCAATGAAATGAGATAACAGAAGTAAAAAGAGAAAAAAAACGGATGCGAACAAAAGAAAAAAAGAACCATTTTACGATCTATTTATCTCAACATTATTCATTTCATACATGTGTGTTTTTTTTCTCGTGTGTTCATTTATATATACCAAAAAATGATGATGATCGCTAACGACGACAAAATCATGATGAATGGCATGGTACCCAGGATTTTTTGTTTTGTTTTGTTTTGTTTTAGTCCATAGTAAACAAAAACAAAACAAAAAAAATCAAATGGACTGAAATTCTATATATATATTCTGTATATTCACTGATCACCGGACTATTCTGATATTTTGGATGGCACACACACACACACAGATACAAAAAAAAAGTGCATGCTCCAATTGAATCGTCAGCAATATAAAATCAGATTCAACAATATATAGATTGGATATAAAGCGAAAATTGTCATACAATATTAGTCATCATTTATAAATACAAAATATAACTAGAACAAGCAACAAGTAATCAAAAAAAAAAAAATGAATCTAATCGATGAGATTAGAACATGCCATATTTCAATCGATGATCATCATTTATATTAATCGTCCAATTTTTTTTCTTATTGATTGATTGATTGATTGCAATGTACAAATGTACCCGAATTGGAATTATTTTATCCAGTTTTAATAGGCTAACCTCTTTGTTCAACAACAACAACAACAACAACGAAATGAACGATAATAAATCAAACATCATTTGGATGAATGATCATAAAGATCAAATATTGAGTTGTTTTAGCTTTAACGATCACAAGTGAAACCAATAGTCATCAATAAAAATTATTTGATGATAATAATACTGGTTTAATGTCGATGTTCACTGAAATGTCATATCATATCATTCGCAATTAATCAAATTCAAAGAAAAAAAATTGCATTCATACAGAACTGATTTTTTTCAGTTATCAACAAGAATGTTATGTTTCAAAGTTCAAACAAACAAACAAAAACACGAAAAAAAAATCATATCAAATATCAATAAAGTTTTAGATTCAATTTTTGTTTTCCATGATGGAATATGAATCAATTTATACATACCACAGGCAAATATTGTTACCTTGATCTGATGAAAAACACAACATTATTTAAACCGATAAAAAAAAACACACACACACAAGGAAACGTGGAAACCCGCCCGCACACACACACACACACGAAAATGTGATTTGTCTTGACAACAATTTGACATCGAATGAAGGAAGAAATGATGATCAATTATTTGATTTTGTCATATATGAATATGAATGATAATAATGTATGTAATAATAGCCATTTCTGATTTGAGATTCATTTTTGTTTCAATTCAAATGATCAAATCGAATAGTAGTAGTAGAATCATTTTATTTGCCATAATGTCATTTGTGACAAATATAATAACAAGAAAAAAAACAAATACAAAAATGATCTCTTTTTTTCTTGTTTCTTTCTCTTTTTTTTTGTTTGTTTTGTTTTGTTTTACTAATGAATCTTCATTCTCTTCATATACATATGAATGGAATGGAATGGAAAAACAACAACAACAACAACAAAAGCAAAAGAAAAGCTATGATGTAACAACTTGTATATTGATGCAGGATGATGATGATATTGTGTACTTGACCGACTACAATTTAAGAAAAAATTTTTTTTTATTTGATCATGATAATGATTGATGGATGAATGACCATTTTTTTTGTGTGTATGTACACACACATGTGTTTATATTGAACTAAAATTAGACCACATATGTGGTTGTTTATTATTCAAAATTATTGATTGTCAATTCAATGCCATTTTCAATATGTTCGATTTGAATATTATCATTCGAATTCAAATTCGGATGTTTTTTTTTCTCTTTCCAATAACCACATATATGGTGTCGCAATCTAGTGATGAAAATAAGAACTAAGGTTTCAAAAAAAAAAAAATTCATTTTATCAAAAAAAAAAAAAAAAAAAAATATTTATTAAAATTTAAATTACCCTACCATAATCATCATTTCAATTGAAAAAGGATGTGAAATTAAAAAAAAATTTTTTATATGATCACAGATTATGGATAAAAAACGCAAATATTGTAATAAAAATGAATATAGATGATAGATTACAAATGAAAATTAAAAAATAAAAATAAAAAATTTTACAACCTGATGATTCATTTTGATATATTTTGACATTATAAAGGTTGAACAATAACCATATTGTTTTTTTGGATATAAAAATCAATGTCATTTTTGGGATAAAAATTCATTCTTAATCTCTCATATATTTTGAGATTTTTCTTGTTTGAACAAAGAAGAAAATCATCAATTTCATCATGAAATTCGCCACCATTTTTGTATTTATTGCTATTGGAACATCCGTAGTGATCGGTGATCATAGTGAAGAACAAGCTATTCGTCTTCCATTGCCTAAAGCTATAAATGAACGTTTTCCATGGATGATCAATGAACCAATCACAAATGGTGAAAGAATCGTTGGCGGTGAAAATGCATCACCCGGTGATGCTATTTATCAAATTGCATTGTTACGAAAAGATTCATTTACCTGTGGTGGTTCACTTATATCATCAAGAACCGTATTGACTGCTGCTCATTGTGTTTTTGGGTGAATAATTACCTTAATGGTTACCTTTCTAGGATTAAATTTAAAATTGATTTTTTTTCCATTTTAAATAGTGATGAAGCATCACCATCATATTTCAAGATCCGTTACAATACATTAGATCGAACTAATGGTCCAACGATTGGTGTTAGTAAAATTTATCGCCATAGTTTATATTCATCAACGACCATTGATTATGATGTTGCTACATTGATTTTATCTGAACCATTTACACCATCGGCAAATGCCGATATTATTTCATTGACCACAGCCGAACCAGCTGATAATACACAACTTCAACTTACTGGCTGGGGTAGACTTAAATCCGGTGGTACAATACCTACCCTTTTACAGATTGCAACTATATCGAAAATGTCTAGAACAAAATGTTCGAATATTTGGGGTTCAGTAAATGCCATCACTAATCGAATGTTGTGTGCACATAGTAAAAAACAATCAGCATGCAATGTAAGTATCTAACTGTAACAAAATCAAAACAAAAAAATAAACTAATTTCAAATCACAACAAAAAAAATCAACAGGGAGATTCTGGTGGTCCATTAGTTTACAATGGACATCTGGTGGGAGTTGTTTCTTGGGGCCCGTCCACCTGTCTGTCAAACACTTATCCAACCATTTATAGTAATGTTGCAACTCTACGTAATTGGATCATTTCGAATACAGTTTAAATGAAATATTATTAATTAATTATTGTCATTGTCATTCATCCATTAAGTCGCTTATTTTTTTTTATTCATTATGACACTTGTTTTTGTGTGTGTCACATTTTTTCAAAATAATCCGGTTTACACTGTGCAAAAATAAAAATACTTGCCTTTTAATAAACAAAAAATTACAAGAATTGATTCTGGCGAAAAAATTTATTGTTTTTTCAAATATTCTCAATATTGTTCATTGATTCTTTTGGTTTTATTGATGATTTCATTGAAATTTTCAAAACAAAAAAACAAATCCGAAATTCAAGAATGAACATTGTTCATGAAAAGCTCCATCGGAATACATTTGAATTGTTCATTGAATAGTGCTGCTAGCTTTGCAATAGTGTTGCAAGCAGCTCATTTGTCATGATGATTAAATTCGATTCGAATTCGAATTTGCCAAAGATTTTTTTTTTCTTCAAACTTGATCATCAATTCATCATTTGATCAGTTTGTGTTTGCAAGTTTTGTATGTAAAATTATTATTGCATTACAATATATATCAAACACATTCGATTTGACTAAATATTCTTTCCAAAGTTATTGTGATTTATCTGAATTTTTCAATCAATCATCAACCGAAACTAAACGATTTTGATTTTTTTTTTTTTTTAAAGGTAATTATATATTGTAATTAAATTAAATTTTAAAGTGATCTTGGAAATCGTCGCGGTTTTTTTCAAGCGATATATTTTTTTTTGTGAGAAACTGGTTGTTTGATAGGGGTAAATCAGTTTTTTTATCTTTTCTTTCAATCTTCGTTTTTTGGTATCTATATGGAGAATAGACCACAAACTAAGAAGAATTTCTAGTTTTTTTCTTCCTGTTTTATTGTTTCTGCTCTATATACATGAATGATAGTGGATGTTTTTTTTTCATGTATATTTCGGTTCATTGAAAAATATAGCATTTATTTATTAGTGGCACCATTTTTTATGAATTTTTTCGAAAAGAAATTTCTGTATAGAGTAGCACACTATATATCCTAAACAACAAAAAAAATCGACCTAATCATCATTTTGAATCTTTTGGTTGTACATAGTTGGTGCATATAGAATTTTTTTTCCCCGAAAGTGCCTATTTCTATTTCTTGCTTGACAACGCAATTATTATATTGGTTGGTTGGTATATATACCAGAAAGTCTTGTATCCCGTTTATTTTGCTTGATGTGTTTGTGTGTGTGTGTTTGTTTGTGGATTATGCTCATCATCATCATTGTTGTTCGATGATGTTCATGTTTCATGCGTAATTCATTCGATTGTGAGTGTGTGTGTATATTTCATTTCATTTCATTTTGTTTTGTTTTTTTTTCGTTGTTTATTATTATTGTGATTCGATTTGTGATCGACTTGGTGGTTGACGATAATTATTATTGCCAGACATTATTTGTTATTGATTTTTATTTGATTTTTTATTATTATTATCCGAAATCAAAAATATAAATTTCATTTGTCATCACGAATCATATAATCAATCAAATACGCGTTTATAATACAACAAGAGGTTTGTATACGATATCTGATTGGTTGTTGATTGAACAAAAATTTTTCTTGTCATCAAATCAAACAAAATAATTTTTTTTTATTAGTTTCAATTTGAAGATTGCGATTTAATATATTGTTTTTTATATTCAATTTTGAATTTTATTGGTAAATCAACTGTTGTCATTCGGTAATTGGTCGTAGCCAAGAAAATTATTTTAATTTTATATATTCTATCTATAATTTTAAAACTAATTAATTAATGATTGATATTCATATCTTTTTTGTTCATATTTCCAGATTGGTTTCCCTTGAAAAGCATATAATAATGAAGATTCGCTTTGTCCTTTTGATCGTGGCATTCGTGCTTTGCACGAATCTTATTCATTCAACTATTGCCATGCCAGAACAATCAACAGTGGCCACAACCACAACGGCTACATCAAATAATGTGGATGAAAATAAATCTAAACTACATCGTGTACGTTTGATTTCATCATTGGATGATGATAATAATGATGAAAAGCAAAAAACATGGTCATCATTATTTGATGAATCAATGGTGACTTCTGATGAAAATAATAATAAACAGATTAATGCGACTAGTTGTTCAGAACAATGTAAAGATTTTTTCGGTACCACCAATGACGATTCGGAAAAATTTCAATCCTGCATCAATGGCTGTAGATATTATACAATCAATTTGATATTGACACAAAAAAACATTTCGGCCGGTTATACATCATCTTTGTCATCAGTTAAATCGGAATGCTTTAATTCCTGTGTAAAAGTCTATCCAAATGATACGAAATCAATAAGTATCTGTAATTTTGGTTGCCGATTAGCCGATAATGCTCAATCTGAAAAATCAAAAACACGACCAATAATAACGATTTCATCCGTAGCTACACACGACGAGTCCACTGACAATAATACGGTAATTGACGCTACTGAATCGGTAAAATCTGCATCAAATGATGGAAAAGACGAAAAGAAACGAACATTTTCAATGTTCATTCCGATTCGAACAATAACATCGGCAAATGAATTGGATGATAATTCACAACCGGAAAGTTTGGACAGAGTTTTCGCTCAAAACAATATGCCATCATCTTTATCTCAAATGATGATGTCTATGGTTCGTTCGATGGCTGAACGAGCTCGACAAATGATCGATTTCGCTCGTACACAACAACAAAAAATGGAAGATGACCGATTCTCAATGGATTTCGATTCATCGTCTAACACTGGTGAAGCTGGTGGCGAAGCTGTTTCCTATGAACGTTCAATGTCGGTAATGATGACCAAAGATAAGGATGGCAATAATAAATTGGTCGTAATGCGTGAACCACCAAAAATAACCATTCATCGAGCTTGGAATCCGTTAGGATTGGATTTTGATCGATTCAAAACTGAAAAAGCAACTGATCTTAATCAGCGTCTAAAACAGTTAGAACATGAGGGAGAAGAACGATTGAATGGTAATAAATTGAGAGTATTGATGCCATGGAAATGGTCTGGTGGTTGGGATAGCAATCGTGTTCAGCAAGAACAAAATGCTGATGAAGATCGATTAGGAAATCTTATATTTCACCGAATAAATTCGTTTGGTTTGCCTCAAAATCAACAAAACAATGATGATGTCAACCATGATGCTGATGATGATGATGTAATGGTTATCAATACTGTTGATCCGAACAAATCTAATTCACTTCCTTGGTCAACTTGTTTGATTTCCATGATGCCCTTGCTTTATTTGTTAATGGTCATTCTATTGTTGTACATCATCATCTGGCTTTTCTATTCTGTGCCAAACTATGTCATTTGCAAAAATCGACGGGGCCGTTCACATCCATCATCCTCAACGAATGGACGTAATTCATCGGAAACGATTCTACCATTGTCATTAGATGATGATAGTTATCGTGAAAGACGTCGTCGGGTAAGTGTTGACAAATAATCTTATCTATGGTCATTTAACCATTTGTACATTCAACAAAATCTTTATAGCTTTTCCAGAAATTATTCCACTTGAGTAGAGCACAACGTTATTGCAAATTATCAGCATTCACTGGTTTTGGCGAGAAAACTTCACCAATAACACCTGCTACTAAATCACCAAGCAGTGCAACAGGAAATGATTTAAGTCCAACTGGTTCAACATTATCGTTTCCTCCACCATATGCTGAAGCAGCAGCTTTTGATAAAACATTTTCTGTTCCTGAAACCACATTAAAGGTTAACGAATTGCTTACAACATTAAATTCATTTCCAGTTATCCAAAAGAAAAATGAATCGAACAAATAATTTGATTTGTTTGTGAAAAAAAAAATTTTTTGGCTTGAAGTGATCGATTATATCCCCAATATATATGGATAATAAAGAAAGAACTACATATGAGCATAGTAATAATAATTATTATAATAATAATAACAACAATTATTATAATGAATAACGATAATATTCTTAATCTTTCTTCCTGTTTTTTTTCTATCATAATAACATATATAACACTAATACATACACACAAGAAGAATGAAAACAAATGATTGATGAAAAATTGATTTATTATTATCCAATTATGTTTGATATATATTATTAAGATTTCCACTTCATTATTTTCAGGATTATAATCCTTCAAAAATAAACACACACACACACACACACCACCACCACCACCACCATTCTATTCGTAAACACAAACGACATAATAATAATTAATAATCAAATATTATAGTTTAAAAAAAAAGATGAATAAAAATCTTAATTGTAATTAAAAACAAGAAGAAAAAGTTTTCAGTCTCTTGAAATTCATCATCATAATTTTTATTTTTCATTGATAAAAATATCATTAATAATCATCGTTCAATAATAATACAATTAAATTAGCCATTTCGGTGGTAATGGTGAATTTTTTTTTTTTTTTTTTAGAATATTTGAAATAAAATAAATATATAATTCATAACTATTATAGATAGCCATTTTGTCCATCATCATCATAAATCAATAATATCGATATATATATATCGATTTATGATTCGCGATCATCAATAAAATAAAATCAGAAAAAAAAATTTCAATTGAAAAATCATAAGAATTCAAAAAAAATGACATCCATCAGTGTGTGTGTGTGTGTGTGTGTGTGTGTGGAACGTTCACACAATATTACAATTATAAGTACAAATATATAATATAATAATCTTATCTCTTTTTCCATATTTTTTTTTTTTTTTTCAAACTAAATTAACCACAACATCGTCACCATCAATATCATCATCACGTTCAATATGTTTGATATTATTTTTATTAACATTTATTGAATTTGGCTGTGGATTTAATACTTTTAATTCTTCAGAATCAACATTATCTAATGTTTCTTTGGTTGGTTGTTTATGGCTTAGAATAGTTTCAATAGAATTATTTTGATGATGATGATGATCATGTTTATGATGATTGTTCTGTTTATCACAATGATAATGTCCATTATGATTTTGATGGTTATTATTATTACGATAGGAATTTATTCCATTCATTTTATTTATTGGACCTAATCCATTTTTATATGATGTTGATGATTTTTGTATTGTTGTCATTGTATATGATCTTTGATCACCTGTTGGTGGAAGACCATTAGCACGATATCTTTGTTTATTAATTCTTCGTCGTATACAATAAATTATACCACAACAACAGGATAATATTAGTGTACAAACCACAGTGATAACCACTATAATTAACCAAATCGGTAATGAACATTTACCCGATTCAATTGTATATTCTTGACATTCTTCAACCAATGCTGGCATTATTAGATCAGGTAATTTAAATACCATGTCTGCTTGTATTTTTGTACATTTTTGTCTAGCTGCTTTCATCCAACAATCACGTAATTTCCATGTACCACAGCATTTTAATCGTCTATTCCATTCCTGTGATAATTCAATTTGTCCCAGAAATGATTTGGCTTTTTCTGCACCTTTTTTATTACATTGTTCAAACTCTTTGTGCATTTGTCCGAAACATGATACCTAAATAATTCATTTTTTTTTTCGGGATGACAATGGTGATAAAAAATCAGAGAAAGAGAGAGAAAAAAAATTAGAAATAATAATAAGGAAGTTTATTATCAAATTTTGACATGGCAACTTTTGCTCTACCTATCGGTTGGCTTGAGATAGTGGGTTTGTGTGTGTGTGTGTGTGTGTAACAAATATTTGTCCATTATGATCACTCATAACTTTATGAGTTTTCATCATCTTTACTGTTATTATTTTATTATTTCTAGAACTTATCATCACACATCAAATAAAGTGAGCAAACATAAGTATTTTTCAATCATTGTGTCCACACCCTTAAATGAAACTCCTATCATCTTAGATCTGATAATTCCGTTATTTTATTAGGATTTTTTATGTGAATAAAATTAAATATATGATGATGTTGCAACAACAAAAAATCAATACTCACAAGTTCATTATATTCCAATAGTTTATCGATATTGAATGTATCACTTTTTGATTCGGCTGCTATCACCGTTCTAAATGACAATGATGAGATCATCATGACAAGAATGATTATTATGATGTTGAGCATGGCCATTTTGATTGATGATGATGATGATGATGATAAACAATTGGACAATGATGAATGTGATAATTGTGAATTATTATGACAATGATGATATTTCAATGATTGGTGATTCGAATGTTTTACATTCATTGTTTTACATTCAATCCTCCTGTTATCAATATTGTTATCATTGAAAAATTCATGATTCAACATAGAATTTGTTAATATTCTCATTTTATGACATTTTCTATTGATAAAAACTGATGTATAACAATTACAACGATTGGATATTGATGAATTTTTGGCACAAAAATTTCGTTGATTATTTTCTTTGATCGGCATTTTATGTTTTGAACTTTGAAATTTTTTCAATCAATTTTTCATATTGATCTTTTCATTACGTTGTTTGGCACGGCAAAAAAATTTTTAATTTTTTTCAAAATCAACAAAATCCAACGTCAAACTACTGGATAGGTAATCAATGATAAAAGAGTATATAAAAAAAAAAAATCATTTGATGTGGCAATCAAAACGGTGATGATAAAAAAAATCATCAACAAAAACACAGTGTTTACTTACCTGTTATAGATAATAATTAATAATAAAAGGGGAATTTATTACTATCAACAATGAAAAAAAAAGAAAAAACGATATAGCACTGTTTAGCAACAAAATAATCATTCAATCAGTTGATCATTTTATAAATTTATGGCCATAATAATAATTTTCAATCATAATTCAATAATAATAATAATAATTCGCGAATTATAGAAGAAAAATTCGATCCGAAATTCGATCTCAAAAATTAATTCTTCAACAACAATGATAATTCAAATGACGATAACAGTGAAAAAACTATAGTAATCACCAAATGGATTGAGAATCATATTAACAAACTGAAAAATTCATCTCTCTCTCTCTTTCTCTCTCTCTCTCTATAAATGATTTATATTATCCACACATATCAGACATAAGACAATCATCTATTGAATGAAATTTTTCAATCAACAATCGATGACAAACATTGCAGACAATGTCCTTGTTGATGATGATGACGATGATGGCTATTCAAATGTTTGATTTGGTATTTTTACGTTTGTTGTTTGATGATGATGATGATGATGAAATATAAACAACGAATGAACCAAAAGTTGAATAAAAAGTACACTATGGACCACGTTTTTTATATATATATACTGATCATTATCATTCCAGATGATGATGATGATGATGAATAATAAAATAAACCTTTTCGGTCACGTTTGCAATGGCAATATGAATAAAATAAAATAAATATATATTCGATTCGAAAACAGTAAACGATGAGTAGAGAGGATTGGAAAAAAAAGTGAAAAAAGAGACATAAATGTTTGAAAACACATAGACACAAACACACACACACACATATACACAAACAATCAAACAATACAATACAAGGTAATATATAAGATTCATCAATATAAATGTCTTGAAAATGATCACATCATCAACACTAAAAACATCATCTCATCTTCAATGGGCAGCAATGGACGGCTATGATTGAATAACTTTTGTGGGAAATGGAGAAAAAAAAGAAGAAGATGGAAAACATACAACAGAAAAACCGGCTCTTGAATTTTTCTTGAATTTACCATTACACTTTATTTCGTCGGTCAATGATGCTGATCATCGTTTCTCATCATCGATTTTTTCTTTGACTTGAATCAATAGAGATAATGAATGACGATGGTTTCAATGTTCCAGATTTCTTTTTTTTTCCAAAGAAAAAAAACCTGATAGTTTTACCATCAATCAATTTGATTTGATTAATTTGATTAGATGATTGTCATGTTATATGGATAAAAAATAAATCACACGTTTTTCAAACGAAAAAAAAACCATTTATGATAAAAAATAAAATAAAATTCTCATATTCACTCACAATAATAATGATCAATCATGAGTAAAAATAATGATACTAATAATAAAAAAAATAAAAAAAATAAAAATGGACAATTTTCAGTCAAGACAGAGAGAATTTTTCTATATAGATTTTGGTTTAAATTTTTTCTTTTATAACATATATATATATAGTGGATGTATTCAATGGATGCGGTTTCATTGATATATTCATTGAAATATATAATAGAATATATACAGAATCAAATAGAAGTAGAATCAAACAGAATGTTTAAGATATGATGATGCTACTAGAACAGATGTTGTAATGATAATGTCCAATGATTGGACCGTGTTGCTGTTCGTTGTTGTTGTTGTTGTTGTTGTAAAACAAGCAGTCTAGATAACCGCGAAATATACGAAACAAAAGTTATTTTTGGGTTCCATGGACAATGTAAACACATAGAGAAAGAGAGTACAAAGCGAGACAAACAAAGAAAGCAAATCTAGCTTGCTCGATAGTTTTAAATTGCTGGCCATTTTTGTTTAAACTAAAAAAAAATATGCAGCCATGGACGAGTTAGTTCATGTGTGTGTGTGTGTGTGTGTGTGTAATTGACCTCGACAAGACATTCAAACACACACACACACACACACACACAACACTCTAAAGTACGAAGCCAATTCTTTTGAATAATGGCTAGCATATGCAAGGTAAATCTAGTTTAATTTGTATTTCCATTCACAAGTAAAAAGAAACAAGTGAGAGCTTCAGGATAGGGTATACCTCATATACCTGTAAATGTAAATGCAACAACTGGCCATCATCGTGTTGGCATCATCATTGGGGGCAATACAATCGTTTTTGGTGAATCATTATTATTGATTGCGTAAAAAAAAGCTGAAATTTTTCGGATTATTTAAATGGCCAAACATCTTCAATTTAAATAAATTTTAACATATTGTAGACGCATGCGTACTTTTGTCAATATTTAAAAAAAAATATTGTAAAATTCTCACAAACACAACAATGTACGACAATCAATCATTGATCATTTGAAACATTTGAATTTGAATCGATTATTGCAATATATATGGTTTTTTTTATTTCGAAATAATAAAAATTGGTTTCCATTCAATTAGATAAAAAAAAACTATTACAGAATAATAGCTAGCAGAATTTTTTGGTGATTTTAATAAATTGAATTTCAATTACAATAATAAGAATGTAGAAAAAGAGAGAGAGATGCTATATCAAATATATTCGATGTATATGTAAGGTTTCGATTCTGGATCCAGATACAACATAATAGGCCATGATGATGTCAACACAGACATACACGATCATTTAATTATTAACCGGTGTGTGTGTGTGTGTGTGTGTGGGGATATTGTTTATCAACAATGAATTAATTTAACAAAAAAAAAATATCTAAACATGATCTGTATGAGATGATGATTTGAAAAGAAAATTCTTTTTCTATATACTTTTTTTTAAGTGTATGTGTCAACAAAGTTCGAATGTTTGTTTGTAGTTGATGTGGATTTTGAGCAAATTAAATTTATTCATGTATGATGATTACATCTAAACAAAATAATATTATTATATCATCATTATATTAGAATTCTGTATTTTAGAAATCTGTATCTATTATCATTGTGTGTATGTTGTTTTTTTTGTGTGTATAATAATAAAATGCAGACAAAAATATAATGAAGATTCATCGTTATCGATTTTGCAAAAAAAAAAAATGATAATGATAACTGTATAAATAATAAGAATATATATAAATTCCTGAAGTATAACGTAAATGAATATGATGATGATGATGAAATATCAATTATTGTGGCTGGATGATATGGGGAAAAAAGAATTGGATTAGTGTGTGTCGATTTAGTCGCTAGAAAGATATCTTATTGTGTTGTGGATTTAAAATAATAATAATGAAATTGAAATTAAATGTATGGTAAAGATTTCTATTGTTTTTTTTGTTTTGTTTTCACATTTCACATTTATGTGTTACGGGTGTAGGCGTTGAATTTCATTATCATATAAATGATGATATATGTCATGGACATTTGCATTATCAAATCAAATTGTGTGTTCATGTACTTAACATATGTGAATCATGTATGGATTGTGAGCTGAAGTAATCATCATCATCATTTCTTATGGTATGGAATTCATGTGAAGGAAACAAGCAAGCAAGCAAAAAAATAGGGAAAACGAAATACAAAATGAAACAAATCATAAATTCTATATATGTTATCACAACAAGATGATTTTGTTTGCATTATAACAATAAATTTTGCAAAAAGAAAAAAAAATTAAAAACAATTTTTTGAAGTGATAAATAAGAAATGAAATTACGAGAGAGGTAACATGTTCGAATGGTTTTTTTTAGTTTGTAGAATCTGTTTCTGTGTATTCGGTGTTTGTTTTTTATTTATCATAAAAAAAATGTTCGGTTCTAAATATGTAATGAATTCAATAAAATGACTAAGTTTATCGTCCTTTTTTAGTTATCGTTAATCACAGGGTATATAATATTTATGTATCAACTTTTTTTTTAAATTTATTAGAATTAACAAAAAATTTATTGAATATGGTCATTATAGATCCGGGAATCGATTCGGATCTTCAGTATAATCGGCTGGAATTTCAAACATGTTGGCATCAAGTTTATCATTGTAATTGAAATTTAAAAATGTAACTCTTGCCAATATAGTTGCGATCATCGGAATGTCTGTAATATTAATATAAGAATTTAGTCATTTGAGTTGTTGAATAAAAAATTTCTGTTAATTTACCAATTTTAACAGGAAATCCTGGTGGTAAATTTAAATTTATGAATTCTTTCAATTTTTTGAAATGTTTAAATGTTGCGAAAACTTCTAATATGTTCAACAATGATTCAATGGACAGTGGAAATTCTTGACTCTATATGAAAAATAGATACAATAAAAATTCTGAATAAAAAAAAATCTGAATATTACTTACCATAGCAATGGTAGCTTTTAAATTTTTTGTTCGTACTTTAAGATCCCATTGGCGACCAAGACATGGTGGCATACCTTTTGGAGCATTAATGTATTGCTCCCATGTGACATTAGTTTGTGTTGGCGGAGGAAGGGACCGCCGTGGTTTAATTGGTAATTGATCATCCTGACCGGACATGGCCGAAACCATAGCTGCTTCGATAAGATTTTCTTCATCATCAGTTTCTTCTCCACCATCACCACCAGAATGATGATCATCAGCATCCGTTTCATGAGATGTATCACCATTAATATGATTATTACCTCCATTGTTAGTCGATAATTGCTGTGTATTATTAAACTTGGAAGGTTGATCGATTTGGGCGATATCATCGAACGATGATGATGATTCTTCCAAAGATTTTTGCGATGATTTTCGGTGATTTTTTTGCTGTTCCAAAGATTTTTTCAATGTCTCATAAATTGCTTTATTCGCATAAATATCTTCTTCACTCAGATGTTCACGACGTTTTTTTGTTTCAATCATAAATCCATTTATGTTGTAGAAATCAGCATCGAATTGTCCAACTTTTTCCTAACATTTTTTTTGTAGCAACACAATAATTGATTCAGTAATATAAATAAAAAATCATTCTTACCGTCTTGTTATAACGATTGAAAAACCAGCCACTTTGTGCTCTTGAAAATGAAATCGCTTTGGTATTGGGTTGAAGATAAACTAAATCCGTGCTCATTAACATGTCGACATCTTCATCAATGTCCATTTCTTCATTATAACGAATGTATTGATAAACTTTAAGCTCATTATCCATGATAACCAATGAATGGCGATCGGCGGCTGTATTAGAACTTGAAGATTTTTTTCCAACATTATTACCGATAAACAAAAAGGTTAAATTGCCACGTCGCCAACGGCGATCATTAAAATCTAAAAGGGTTGTATCCAAACGAAATGAACAGCCACGTTTAGATATAGCACAAACATCCGATGGTAAGAAACGTTTCAATAAAGGAATCCATGAATGAAATTCCCAACGTAATTCCATTTGAAAATCTTTGATCGCTCGTAATGTTTCCATCAATTTAGGTGATCGATTACCCAATGATTGTCGAGCTTGTTTACGGCCAAGCAATAGAATACTTTTGACTATGAGTACAAAGAATTTTTTTTTTGATAAAAATTATCACAATAAAATCAATTTTAATTACTTATTTTACGATCTCCATAACTGATAGCTTCATCTAACGGTGTCCATCCTTGAATATTTTTCGTTTTGATTGGTGCATTCTGTTGAAGTAAAAAATTTATATGATCACGATGACCAAACATGACTGCCAAATGTAATGGCGTATTGCCATGAAGATCTTTTTGTCCAACAATATCGGCAATATCCATAGATTTGTTCCGTTTAGTAATGGACGATAATAATTCTGTAAGAAAGTGCAATGGCCGATTTTCAAATACGGCACGATGAAGAGGAAAGGGTTCATTTTCAAAATCAGTAATGTTTATTGTAACCGGTGTTGTTTGAACATCATCAACAGCATCGACAAAATCTTCCGATTCTTCCGAACATGTTCCATCGGACATTTTTATGTAAGAAACTAGCGATAAAACTCTATCAATCAAAAGATGATTAACATGAAAATTAATTATTACCTCAAGTGATGAACGAAAAACTGATTCGTGGATTTTTTTTTTTTTGAAAAAAAATGAAACTTAACTAAAAAATCACTTGGCCTTATTTGGATGAATAATGATGATCGTTTCAATCTACTAAAAGATTGAAAAATTGGTTTGTACACCTGTAATTAGCAAGAAAACAAACAAATGTTGAACAAAATCTGATGAATTGATCAATGAGAGAAAGCAATTATAACAGTAAATAAAACCTGATCGATACTTATGGAAAGTAAGGCAAACAGATTGACCCGAAATCCGAAAAAAATATTTCCTTCAAACTACCCCTACCCAATCCGATGAACTTTATCATGATAGAATGCCACTACTATTACTATATGTCATATATGAAAAGGCATTTGCATTTTTTGCTCAATTCATCATCTGTTTATATATATATTATATAAATCATTTATTTTCGAAAATCAACGAATGAAATTTTCTTGAATTTTTCTATGTTCCAAAAATGGATCATTTATCCACATCATCATCATCATCATCATCATCATCATCATCGTCGTCGTCGTCGTCGTCGTTTAACATTCCATTCAATTTCGATACTGTTCGTCCTTCACCACAGAATCCAATTGTTAAAGAAATGATTTCCAAATTGAATGATCGAGATTATGCTAGATTCTATGGCTATTCGATCCGTTATCGAAACGATGCTTTTTTATTTATGCATCAAATACGTAAAAAAGGTTGGGATCGAAAAAATGATAATGAAACATTGGAATCATATCAACAGCTATTGAAACATCCAGAATGGATATTGTTTGAATTAATATATAAAATCAATCAATCACGATTAATAGTAACACCTTTAAATGCTGGTGATGATAGAAAAATGAAGCTATTTTATATAGAATTTTTGCTTTCAATATTGTTGACAATAATGCTGAAAATGAGAGCACTTTCCATGCATAAAATTCATCTACTATTAGAGACAAAGAAAATTTATGCTGATTTGCTCAAGACAATGAAACTTTCTGAACAAGATTTCTTATTGCAAATCGACAAATGTTGGCTGGAAGATTATTTCGTTAAATATGATAAAAATTTTGAGTTAAGATTTAATATTCAAGGTTGCTATATGACAGAAGAAGAATCAGAATTTATAGCTGAAGAATCCAATGCTTTGATGTTTGGTTTTCGTTCGCAAATTCATAATTCTTCTGATCAAGAATTGCATCGTTTTTTCGAAATGACAAAACAAAGACCAAAACCAATTCGAGAATATAATGGCAAAAAACATGAATTACCTCAATTCTTATTTATTGATTCAGTTTGTAATTCAACACCAATATTTTACACCAATGACGATGATTTTCAATTTGAAGATGAAGATGATTTAGCATTGAAAAATACTGAAGCTTTCAACAATGATTTACATCGAATTACATTGAGTACATCACCATTTCCTAAATCGATTCATAATTTATTTATAAATGACAAAACTATTTGTGATTGTGGCCGCAATGATTGTAATGGATGTTATCCAACATGTTTAAAATGTGGAGAAAAAAAATGCTTTGCAATTTGTCGATACAATGTAAATTACAGCTATTATGATGTATTTCATCAAGCTCAAACCATTAATAAATATGATCCATTATATAAGTCAAAAGATTCTATGAATAATAACAATGTAAATCAACAACAACAACAACAACAACATCGACAACAAGAAGACATGATGGAGACTGATGATGATAACAGTGTGGAAACACCGGTCGAACAATTATCACAATCAGACAGTATTGATGATGAACTTACTATCCTATCAACTGTGCCATATGGCCCGCATAACCATGACAATTTTTCATCCGAATTTCCGTCTCAATCTCTTACCGGTGATGAGGTGGAATCATTTTTCACTTGTTCACCTCCAACTGAATCTAATAAAAATTTTCATGAAAATAATAATGGAGAAACAAATTCAATTTGAAATGACATTTTTTTCAAAAAAAAAAAAAAAAAAATCTGCATAATCATTTTCATTTTTAAATAACACATAACTTTTACCATCATAATTAATATTTAGTTTTTGAAATTTTTATAAATAAAGGTTTAAATTTAAAAAAAAACTTTCAATCAATTATTGATAAAATGAGTTTGTTGTACATGTCTATGTAATAGATGTGATCGTGTAAATTGTTTATTTGGACAATGTGGACATTGAAATTGTTTGATTTGGCCACTATGTATTAATTTGTGATTGTCAACATCGATTCGACGACATGAATTATAATTACAACCAGGCCAATCACATTTAAATGGTTTGTTAGCCTGATGAATCATTTCATGTTTACGAAGGTGAGCATTTTCCACGAATGTACGGCCACAATTTGGATGATCACAGACAAATATTTTCAAACCACAATGTGCTTTGCGATGATGTTCAAGATTACCTTTGACGGCAAAATTGGCCTCACATCCGGGCCAATCACAATTGTATGGTCTTTCACCAGTATGTTTACGCATATGTACTTTGAGATTACTTTTCTGCGTAAAACGCATATTACAATCAGGCCAATCACATTCATATGGACGTTCGCCAGTATGTGTTCGAATGTGTCTAATTTTAATGAAATGAAAAATGGAAAATTAATCTAAGAAAAAAATCTTAAATAATTGAAATTAATTAAACACATACAATCGAAGCGATGATAATTGTGTAAAACTATGGCCACAATCATTCCAATCACAACGATATGGCTTCTCTCCACTATGTATTCGACGATGATCTTTTAGATGAACTGAATTGCTTGCAACATAATCACAATCGGGCCAATCACAGGGATATTTTCTTTTCAAAGATTTTCTTGGCTGTTGTGATCGTTTTTTTGTCTTATTTTTTAATGATCTATTATCGATATTTTTATTACTTTTTTCTCGATATGATGTATGGATATTACTGGAATCAATGAACAAAAGTTTCGGAATTTCTGTTTGATTTCCATTTTTATGTACAATAATATGATGATTATGAATTTCTTCGAATGAATCAAACATTTGTTCACATGATTTACATTTATATTTTTTGATTATGATTATTTCGTAAAAATCTTTGGATATTTTTCATTTGGATCCAATGAACTGGGTATGATGTCCAAATTTATATCATCATGATTTAGTATAAAATTTTCCGACAATTTGCCATCATCAAAATCAACATGTTTTTGATCTATCGTTGTTTTGGACATTTTTTTTGACACCAAAAAAAAATGAGTTTTCGAGACTGTTTTTAGGTTCGTCAAACAAACACAAAGAGCTTTTAATGTCGAAATAGAATGAAAATTTCAAGAAAAATTTATTTATTCCAACTTTAAAAAGATATATTTATCTAATTTTATTTTTTTTTACATATGGATTAAAACAGAATTGCCGAGCTGATAGTTGTATCATAAGCAAAAAAGTATCAATCATTGTTGTTGTTGTTGTTGTTGTTGCCGATATTTTTCTACCAGATCTCGATCGGTTATATATTTGAGTGGATATTTCTGTAAACGAACATCATCAGGTCTGATAACGATATAACGAGTCTTATGTCGTTTAAATGATTCATCATCAGGAATTTTAGTTAGATAATGATAAGCAACGCCAATGCAACTAATTCCAACCATTCCGAGTGAAAAATAAAAATAAGGAACCTGGTACCAACCACGGATTATTTCATTTTTCAATTGCTGTAATCGAAGCCTCAGAAAAATCATTGTTTCTATGTTTGGATTTAAAAATTATTAAAATTTTTATAGGAAATAAATTAGATTCAGAAGAATATCGTACCAGTTTTTTGATTATGATCATCAAATGATGAATTTATCAAACTTGAAAATAATTTTTTTTTTTTTCGTAAATAAAAACCAAACAACCTTTACCAAAACAAGAGTATATATCGTGACTATCGATAGTTGTTTACAATCGATTATTTTTTTTTTATTCAAAAAAAAATGTCTTTAGCCAATTTTTTTATCAGAATCTTTTTCAATCATTATCAAAATGGAAGAAAATTGTTGTTGCGAACGATATATTTTTTCAAGTGTTTTGATGTTTAAAGGCATGAATGTGATTGATACAATTGATTAAATTTAAAAAAAACACTTGAAAAATAAATTTCATTGTTTTTATCACAACTAGACAACAATAAAAGCTTAAAAAGTATATAAAATCCAGATCGAATAGTTAGTTGTGTGAAAAAATCTCATCATTTACAATGGTCGTAAAAATGTTTTTCGTTCTTTTTGATTGTATTTTGCGTTTCCGGTAATTTTTCATAATAATCAATAAATAATTGCGAATAAAATTCTTTATACATTTCATTTAGATGTAACTTTTGCTGCGATCGGTTGTCAGCACAAAAGTTTTGGCCAAGAATCTACTGTTTGTGTTTGCAATTCAAATCATTGTGATACAATTGATCCAATTCAAAAGTCAAACCCGGGTATTATTCAACAATTTTCTACCAGTAAAAATGGAGATCGTTTTGCACGGAAAGAATTGCATTTTGAACAATCTTTATCCGGTGGTATTGAAGTGAATTTATATCCAGATCAGAAGATGCAAAAAATTATCGGCTTTGGTGGTGCTTTAACCGATACATCTGGATACAATTTTAATCGTTTATCGCATCAACTACAAGAACATTTGATTCGAGATTATTTTGGTGCAAATGGTATCGAGTATTCAGCTGTTCGTGTTACGATCGGTGGTTCGGATATGTCACAACGTGAATATTCTAATGATGATTCCAACGATGATGATACAGAATTTCATCATTTTGCTCTCCAACAAAAAGAAGATTTACAATACAAGGTATGAAGAACAAGAAATTAAATTTTTCGATGATTAAATTTGTTTTTAATTGCCAAATAGATTCCATTTTTGAAAAAAACACAAAGTACAAATCATCATATGAAATTATTTGGCAGTGCATGGAGTGCACCAGCATGGATGAAAAACAATCATGATTTAGGCAATGGTGGTCATCTACGAGGTCAACCTGGTGATAAATATCATCGTGCATTTGCACAATATTTAGTGAAATTTATGAAAGCCTATCAACAACATAATATTTCGTGGTGGGGTTTGACCGTTGTAAATGAACCGGGTAAATTTTCCCTATAATAGTTTAGAAATGAGTGGTGAAGAGCAAAAAAATTTTATCAAAAAAGATCTTGGTCCAGAATTGGAAAATCAAGGATTTAAAAATTTTAATCTAATGATTTATGATTGGAATATTCCTGGAATGAAACAATTTGTCGAAACCATATTACGTGATCATGATGCTGCTAAATATGTAAAAGGTATTGCTTATCATTGGTATGCTTCGAATGATCAAAATCGTCATGATTTGAAAGCAATACATGAAGAATTTCCCAAATATTTTGTATTATCCACTGAAGCTTGTGAAGGTTTTGGTGGCGATAGTCTAGGCGTATGGCATACTGCAGAAAATTATGCTAATGATGTAATCAAAAGTTTAAAAAATTATGTTACCGGTTGGATTGATTGGAATATGATTGTCGATATGCATGGTGGTCCTAGCTGGATTAATCAACATCTGAATGCACCAATTATTGTCAATGCCGATAATCATGAATACTATAAACAACCTGCATTCTATGTTCTTGGTCATTTTAGTAAATTTCTTCCACCAAATTCTGTTCATATTCATTTGACAACAAATTCAAATCATTCTGATTATGATTTAATCGCATTCGAACGTCCAGATGGCGGTACTGTTATGATCATCTTTAATAAAGGAAATAATGAACAAAAATTTTTGATCAATGATCCACGACACGGTAAATCACATATTCATGTACGAGCACATTCAATACAATCATTAATTTGGTATTGAACAATAGGTAATCCCGGAAATTTGCTGAAAACAAAACAAAACAAAAAAAAATTCCATGTTTTTTCATTTGTATTCACACAAAAAAATAAAAATGAAATAAAAATAAATTCTTTTGCTTGAAAATCTGTCGTTTGACCGGAATTATTATTGTTTGCGTGACCTTTAGTCATTAGGCAACAAAAAAAAATACATGGCAACACGACACAATTTTTTTTTCTTTCCTATCCTCATTGAATCAAATGAATCTCAAGTAGGAAGATTAAAATAAAAATCACCAAAGAAAAAAAACATTATTATTTTCATTGTATATATATATATGGTCACATTTGGAAGCCATAAAATTGTCACTAAGTACTAATCAAAGAAGTTTTTTTTTTGTCTGGAAAGAAAATCAAATGAATTGGCCAGCAATCTTTTGTGGTCTTCTTTTTATTTGTGGAAAATAAAATTGAACCAATTTTTTTGATTTAATTTCTGATCATTCACCATTGTTATTTATGTCTTGAAGATGGACCATCTAACCAATAAAAACAACAACAACAACAACAACAACCTAAGAATCTTTTTCCAATTATTATTGTTCTTGTTGTTCCAATGTGATCGATATCAATTCTTTATACACACACACACACACACACACACATACAGAATAAAGAATCGCGCCAAACACTTGGAACTTTTATTTGTGCATCATATTACCATGCGCATAAATCCATGAAATCTATTCATTTATCTGGATCGGGTGTGTGTGTGTGTGTGTGTGTGTGTGTGTGTGTGTGTGTGTGAAAAGAAAAAAGAATGACGGCGCCGAAACACACAGTGGCTGTCTTTATACAGAATTCAGTCAACATTCAAACACCGGCACGGATAGAACATTCATTGAAATGTGTTTTTAATGTGATCCATAATAAAAAAAAAAATAAAATGTTGTTGTTGTCATCTTCTATTTTGTATTATAATATCGATTTGTTATAATGATAATATTCATGATGATGGTAAATGATGATAAATGTATAAATCTGCTTATATGACAATTGAATATGTATTCAGAATAGCCACAATAATTATACCTGTATTATTATGACCATTAATCAAGGTAGAGGAAGATATTTTTTTTTTTTTTTTTTTTGGATATAAATTTCCGATATTATCTGCTGTTGTATAGATCCTAAATGGTGGCCATGTCACAAAATGTATGTTTAGTTCAACAACCTACGGTAGCTACCACCGTATCAGCATCAAAACTACCACCACCATCATCATCATCATCATCACAATCGTCATCCTCATTATCATCAGCATTCAATTTGGATTCTAATGAATTTAACAATACAACATCAACGACAATCATTGATTATTATACAAAAGAACAATGGTCAAAATTTTTATCATCACGCATAATCCTACGTAAACAGCTTCAAGTAAGAGAATTTGATTTTGATTTTGTTTTCGTAGATTTAATTTCCGTTTATTTTCATCATCATCATTTAGTTTTATTGTGTGTGTTAGGTTATTCAAATGCAAATTTGAAAATTCTTATTTAAAATGATAATGATGTACGTGTGTGTGTGTGTGTGTGTGTGTGTCACCATTGGCAATATATGATGATGATAAACAAAGATAAAAAAAAATGTCAAAGATTCTCTTCGTCCGGTGTAGGTGGATGTGTCTGTGTGTGTGTTTGTGTGTGTGTGTGTGGGGAATTAATTATTTTTTTTTCTCTTTTCAATTTCCCATTGGGAATTTCTTTCATCTTTACTCATCATGTTCTGAAATTGGAACTGAACTGTAGGCAAAACTGTAAGAAATGGAAAACATTCTTTTGTTTGATTTTATTGCGTGTAGCCAGAATTTTCAACTGGAAACATTTTTATTACATTTCTATATTCAATACTGTCGTAAATGTGTTTGGAGAAAACTTTTCACTTTTTTTCTCCCCCCACTGCATTTATTTACGCAATCATCAATGATTTTCAACCAATACTCGGTGTTCGGGAATATGAACATTTGTTACAATTAAAATGTACTGCATTCTAAATCGATTCGTAATCGATTCGTACGATTTTTTTTTGTTTCTCATTCTTTACTTATTTTCTGTTGATTATTGTCAATTGAACGATCGAATAATTTTCCTTTTTTTCATTTGATTTTTATTTTGAACAAAAAACTTTAATTTTCAATGATTTATCTTCATCAATTGATTCCGAATTTTAAATTCTTTTTTTTTTTTTTTTTTTTGGTCAACTGGAAAAAAATAGAAGAAAATTCGATGAACATTAAACAAAGAATTCACGAAATATCATTTGTCATCATTTTTTTTTCTTCACATTTTCCTTTTCAACCGGAAAAAATGATAAAAATTATTTGTTCCGGTAACAATATTGAACAAAAAAAAAAAAATCAAAGTTTTGGAAAATCTATTCAATCAGAATCTTTTACTTGATTCATCATCATTTATTCCATGACAATAAATATAAAAATGCTGAGATGTATGGAAAAAAATTCCATAAAAATTCTTTATCATTACATAGTGATAAGAATCTATCTATATAAAACTTGTAAAAAAATGAATAATTAACCAGCATCAATAGTTGTTGTTGTTGTTGTTCATTTGATAAGTTCATTGTATGTTGTGAATTATTTATGATTATATAACCTTTTTTTTCATTTCAATTCACTACTAGAATATACTACAGTAGTCAGGGTCATCAAATTTAATTAAGTCTATCACACACACACACACGCAGACACACAAAAGATACACATCTCATTGACATCAGAAAAAAAACGTAAAAAAACTTTACCTGTCGTATTTCAATACCTCATTTATATATACAATATTGTTTGGTTGATGTTGTCAATTATTTATCATTCTCTCACTCACTCACACACACAAATTTTATCGATGTGACATGGATGAAATCCGGAAATTATGGAAAAAAACGACAACATCTTTACATTGTTATTATGATAAATTTCTTATATTTATTCGATAATTTTATATCACATTCATTCGAGTTTTTTTTTTTTTTTTTTTGGTTTACTTTATACAAAAATTTGAGAATTGAAAAAAAAGAATTATAAATTATTTAAATATTATTTCAAACTAATATGGAAATGATGATTCGATTCTTATTTGAATTTGAGTTTTTTCAACATCAATTCGATTCGATGTTTCATAATGTTCTTTCAATAATGCCACGTATCCATGGTAGATAGGACCATGTTTTCATATATACACCAGGTAAATTTGGTTCAGCACATTTTATACCATGTGATACGGTACCAATCAATGTCCAAACATCATCACGTTTCATCATTAATGGTCCACCACTATCACCTTCACATGTATCACGGCCACCTTGTGTATAACCGGCACAAAGAAAACTATTTCGTATATATTTATAATGGCCAGCATCGGCAAACATTGTCTGACATAAGTTATTATCGATGATCGGTAATCGTACTGTTTGTAATACACTTGGTATCGTACCACCATAGCTTAATTTTCCCCATCCAGCAACATATGCTAATTGACCTACATAATCTTCATCTTTATTCGGCATACATATAGGCACAATATGTGGTTGCATTTCAAATGGTGTATCTAATTCCAATAAAGCAATATCATTATCAAATGTATCCGGATCAAAATCACGATGTACAATCATTCTTCGTACAGTTTTAACAACCGGTCGTAGTTGTCGTGAAGTACCATGAAGTTCATGTTGACCTAACATTACTATCAATGATCCCATCATACCTGGTTGACAATGTGCAGCCGTAAGAATCCATTTATAATCGATCAATACACCACCACATTTAGATTTGGTAAAAAATCCTAACCATGATTTTTCTTTGATCAACACTTGCCATGGCCATTCACCAAATTGTGCATTACGGCCACCAACAACACGTCCAGTTGGTCTTAACGGTCTTACACCGCATAGTTTTGGTGATGAAAAAGATCTGGTTGTCGTCGTCGTCGTGGTTGTTATACTTGCAGTAGGTGTCGGTGAAATTATCGGAAAATGTATGGGAATATCTTGAATAAATAAATTTTGATTCGAATTCGATGAATGATTATTATTAGTGATTGTTCCTTTGGTCATTGTTGTTGCTGATCGATTCAAAATAATTTCATAGAATTCATTTTGATTGATTTCAATTGGTCTTGGCGTTGAATATGCATTCATTTTTGTTGCTGTAATGATGGATTCTTCCATCGATCTGGTTGTTGGCAATGAACTTGACCAATTGTTGTTTTTATTATTCGTAATTGAATTGAAAGTCGAATTCAGATCCAATGGAATTGTTGTTGTAGTAGCTGTTTTATTCGAATTAATTGGATTTTGAACGTTTTCATTGCCATTATCTTTATCATTATCCATACAGTCAGCAAAATTTTTGGTTGTCATATTATTAGTGATGGCTGTTTGGTTTTTGATCATAATGATCTGTTCAGTAGTTATTGTTGTTGTAGATGTGAGTAAATCATCCGTTGGAATAGTTTTCTGGTTGAACAAAATTAAATAATTAAATTTTCGGTTTTTCATTCTCTCATTTTTTGGTCTATATAAATAGTGCTAAAGTACATTTCCTACCGAATGATGATTGCCTTGAGCATCGCCAGAATCGACAGCCGATATATGTTTACTTTGTATTTCTGCATTGGTCAACGTTCGGTACATTGACCAAAAAAAAAATAAATGAAATTAAATCAAATAAAATTAAAAAAAACCGAATCTAAAACAAACAAACAAAACAAAAAATAATACCATTATTATTTGGATGATCAGAATTGATTTTGAAATGAAAAAATGTTTGCCTATGAAAATTGAGTATATCATCTTGTGGATCTGGTAACATACAACAACTAGCCACAACTAGATTAGTGAAACAATGTCCAATCGATATGCCACGATTTTGTACACATTCATAATGTGGTATACAACGTCCACGAAGATGTTCTAATCGTCGTGAACCACGACACCATTGACGGCGACCTTGACGAACTTGAAAAGTGATATTTTTTTTATAAATTATGATCATAATCATCATCATTAATATGTCATAGAAAAACATAAACTTACCACGAATTCTTGATGCATCGATCGATGTAAAAATCAATGATAATCCGATTATGATTATGATGATGAAAATAGTACAACAATATGATGAAATAAGCTTCATGATTATTATTTTGATTCAAAAAAAAAATCAAGTACAGATAAAAAATCTATTGATAATAATGTTGTTGACTAGTAATTTGTACAAGATATTGAAGATCAAGTTGTTGTTGTTTTTTTCAACAAAAATGAACAAAATCCAGAAATTGAAATGAAAAAAAAAATAATTTCAATATCAAATGATGATCAGATTTAATTATTGGATTCATTCATTCATTCATTTTGAACATAATCATTATGATCATCACTGTAGATGCGATCATCATCGATGGTAATGAAAAAAAAAAAATTTTTTTCGTTCAATTTGACAAACTTTTCAACGTTGTTTTATGAATGACAGTTAATTATTAACCAATGAAGACAGATCCTGCAAGCAACTAACGCACTAATAATAATAATAAAAAAAGATGTTCTTGTTTGATCAAAAATAAGGAAATGATTACAAATGAATGGGTGATTGTTGAATGTCAAATGTGCGTATGTGTGTGTATGGACCTACCATCTCTATATCCAGACTCTATCAACCGATTCACGACGAACTTCATCATCATGGTTATACCGTCTATATCGAGTCATATGTCAAGTTAACAACCTGTTTGATTAAATGATTGTCCGTTTGTATGTATGTATGTATGATGTACATCCCCGTAACTTGATTTTGGTCAAACTGAAGCAGGTATCCATCATCCAATAGCCAGAACAAAATATAAATTGAATATGTAGTGAATGAAAGAGAGAGAGAGAATGAGAATGAGAAAAAAAAATTTGAAAGAGTCGTAGACCGAGCAAAAAGATGACGAATTGAAAAAAAATTTCAAATACAATTGAATTGTGGAATAATACTAATATATATAATGATGATATTCAATTCGTTTCAAAAAATCAATTGAACAAATGAATTACTATTCAACGGGCTATTGGCCTCTCCACACGAATACAATTGAGTGAGAGAGAGAGAAAGAAAGAAGAATTTTCTCTTTTCAATAATTATTATATCACTAACAACAGATGTTTATGGCATAAATTTGAGCATTATCATATGTTGTTGTTGTTGTTGTTTTCAATCCATTGAACATATATCAACAATATATTTTTTGTGAAATAAAATCAGCAACAATGTTATTATTATATTACTAAAAAAAAACATAAATTATTCGATTCCGGATCGAAAAATGCCAAAACATCAATAAGGCACGAATAAAAAAGAATCACTACATTCACACACACACACACAGTAGTCCAAACACTAATATATTTATTTACAATATAAATATAAAACATGCTTGAGAAGATATTCTCTATACATTTTCTCTTTGATATTTTGTTTGTTGTCAATTTTCTAGATACATACATTTAGTATTTATTGTCTTTGTCAATTCCATAGTGTGTGTGTGTGTGTGTATATGTTGAAAAGTTCATTAACATCTTTCATCGACATCGACATCGACATCACATCACATCGGTGGTATCCAATAATTGACTACTACTGGATTTTATTCTCACTAATTGATGAACCATTCTCTATTGTTGTTGTTGTTGTTGTTGTTGTTGATGATGATGGAATAAATAACACATGGAGAACAAAAAAAAAAGAAAGACATTGATGATGATAATAATAATTTATTACACGAACCAAAACCGTTTGATTCCCATCTATAAATATGGAAAATAAAGATTTTTATTATAAAATTAAATGATGAAAAGAGTTTCCGTTTTTTTTTCTATCGATCAATTCGATCGATAATCATCGATAATGAACGTTAAAAATGTCTCGAAGATTTGCTGCTGTTGTCGATGTTGTTATTGTTCTGTTCTTCTTCCGCCAATGATAATGGTTAAACGAATGTTTTCGATTACAAAGAACGATGAACTTGTAATGAATCTAAAAATAGAATGTTTTCACTATTAGTATCCGTATGTCATTTATTAATTCTTGACCTTTTGAACAGCATCAAACTTTTGCTGCTTTTCATTTCATCATTTACACATGATGATGATGATTACAACTGTAACAATTTTGTTTCAACATCTTCTGTATTCAATTGTTTTGTTTTTTTTCTGTTTCTAGTTATTTGTTATCGAGCCAAAAAAAAAATGGAAAAGAAATTCTACAATTTCAATTATTATAATCTAAAGAATTGAATTGTGATTTGTCATCAACAGATTCTGATGTTAAATGCACACATTTATAAAACTAGGTCAGAATTTATAAATTACATCATTCAAATTTTTTTTTTTTTGGCCATTTTTTTATCACAACATTTGATAAGAACACAACAGAATCTCTTTCATAAGCAAACAAGAATCAAATATTTACAATAAGAATGTAAATGATGCTAAAAATTGTCACCGCATCGTTTCTATCTTTTTTTTATTATTATTTTCATCATCATCATCATTAGTTCTATTTATATATATATAAAAAAAGAATTTATTATTCTCAAAACTACTAAGCATAAGAGAATCTAAGAATTGAATAAGATGAATGACGACGACATGATACTTATGTCGCGCTATTCTTTTAAATGATGATGATGATGAAAACAAACTATGAACCTTACCAGTAACTGAAAAAAAAATAAAATTGGTGGTACACATGAATGGAAAGAATATCAGTTCGTCGTAAATATTATATGTTCGTATGATGCTTCTTAACAATTTTATACTGTGGCTACTGGGCGGCGGTTCCCCATTTTATGGTGAACGATGGCAAAATAGAAGTGGTTTTTTTGATGTGTGATGCAAAAAAAAGTCGTAGGAGTCATCGCCATCAAAAAAAAAAAAAAACTTTGTTTGTCTCTTTAGGACACAAAATGATGATGATGATGATAATAATTATAGAAATAAGAATCATCTAACAAACAGCTAAGAAGAATAGTGTAGAAGTAATAATAATAATAAATAAAACAAAAACATTCTGTCCAATGTGTCTGGATTATTTAGAAATTTTTTTTTCTTGTTCTGTAAAATAAAACAATATTCATTGTGTTTTGGATGGAAGAAAACCGCGAAAACAAATCGAGATCGAATTTTCATCGATTGTGGTCAACTATGATCCAGTAGTTTTTTGTTTACTTCACTTTGTGTGTGTGTGTGTGTGTCTTCAATAATTTTGGATGCCAGATCAAGATCGAACATGTGTGTGTGTGTGTGTGTGTTTGATGATTTTTTTGTGTGCGGCAAACTGATTGATTGACTGAATTTAAACTTGAGTTTATAAAATAAACATTTCTTCTTGACTTTGAGATTTAATTTTGGATGATGATGATGATGATGATGATTTGAACAAAACAAAAGAAAATTTTAAGTTGATAAATTTCATTACCATCATCATCATCATCATTGAATCAAATAGAATTTTCATTTCAAAGTCCAGAAAAATGAAATTTTCATCATTCAACTAAACATTGTGAAAGAATTCATCTTTTTTCAATAATTTTTTTGGCTGTGAACAATGTGGATTATTGAAAAGAAGAATTTGTCTTTATGATGACATTTGTCGTTGTTGTTGTCATTGATGGCAGCAACTGTTGTAGAAAAAATTATCATATCAATTTCAACACAACACAACAATGGTGATCAAATTTATTGATGAAATTAAGTCGCTGGATTCGTGAAGAATTTTATTTTTTTTTTTTTAGAAAAAATAAATAAAATTCCTTGACCAGACGAATTCGAAGAACAAATGGTATAGAAATGGAATGGAAAAAATTTTCCGTAATGATCAATCATTAAAAGTTGGAAAATATTCCGTGCAACAAAATTATTTAGTTGATATTATGAAACCATTTTCATGACGAAAATTACTTGTTTTTTCTAGTACAATGAATGAAAATGAATCAAATTGGTGAAATGAATTCTTCGATAACATCAACAAATATCAACGAAATGATACAGAAACAAAAACAGACAATCATCAAGGTGTGATGATTTGATTGATTGATTGATATATTGATATTATTTTGAATATATGCTGATTATCATTGATGTATTTTATCTAATTTCCGATTGTTTGTTCTATTTCCATAATAAACAGATTTATACTGATTGGGCTAATCATTATCTTAAAAAACGTTACTATGAATTAGATAAACAGCAAAGCCAATTATTATCCAACGACCAATCATCATCAATATCATCGAAAATTCCGGCAGCATCATCATCGAAATTGTGTAATAATCGAAATAATCGTCCATTAATCACGTCATTAATCAATGATTTACATGATGGTGTACTACTCATACATCTAGTCGAATCAGTTAGTAAGTAGAATGTTTTTTTTCATTTTTTTTTTTTTTTTGATGATAATTTTCGATTCTTCATCACCAGTAATTGATAATTATATATATAACGAATGAATGAAACGAAATTCTTTATACACCAAAAAAAAAAAAAAAATTTATGGCCCAAATTCCATTTTTAATATATGGCAAGAATTTCACTAACCATGATGATGATGACGGTGGTGGTTGAAATTCAAGATTATAATCATCATCATCATCATTATTATGGAAATTTTTTTTCAGTAGAAAAAAAGGGAAAAATAGCTGAAAAATGATATTATACAGCAACTACAGCAACAACAACAACAATATTTCACCATTTGAAATGAGGTTTTTTATTGTTGCCAAAAAATGAAAAAAAATCATAACAATAATGATGATGATGATAGCTAATGGATGGTCATATAACCATTATAATGATAGATTCGAAATCATTATGTAGAGATGCATTGTCCATCTTGAATTGAATTTTTTTTTTTTTACTAGAATCAATTGTTCTGTTTCATCAGGTCATCTGTACTGATTCTTTTTGTTCAAGAATATTGAATTTAATTCAATTTCTGTCTTCAATTTGATTGATTGATTGATTGTATCGATCGAATCATTATTATATTCGATTATTACGAACTGCAATTCATCAATTCAATTTTTTTTTTTTTTCGAGAGGAAAAAAAAGAAAAACAAAAACGAAAAACAACAATTATGATGATGATAATGTCGAATAAATCAAAATTAAATCATAAATCGATTCATCTTGAATTCGGTACAACAACAATGAATATATTGTGTACGTCGCAAAAATTCCACAAAGATTTGTGTATTAGTCGTCGTCGTCGTCGTTTTTTTTTATTTGATTGATCATTTTTTGTTTGTTTGTTTGTTTATCCATTTGTTTAAATTGTGTGTGTGTGTGTGTGTGTGCTGAGGATTCTCTATCTCTCCTTGATATAATGATGATGATGCTTTTACGAAAAAAAAACCTAAAATTCATTCATTTATTTATTAATATCCTTGGCAAAGAATATTCTCTCTTTTTTTTTTGCTTTGATTCTTGATCGGTAAACGATTTATTAATTCCTTTTTTTTTTATTTTCTTTTCTATTCATTCGTCATCATCATCATCATCATCATCATCATAATTCTCTCTTTCTTTGTAAATTTAGCTGATTCAACATTATTAACGAAAAATGTTGATCATCATACATCAGCTGGAGAAGCTTATAACAATCATCAAACATCAACAACATCATCATCATCACTTACGTTGTCGACGATTACGTTGATGCCAAAAAATGTGAATCAAATGGTAAGTCTATATATATTTAATGAAAAAAAAGTACTGATCTCCTGGATCTTAGTATGGATTTTTTTTTGTTTGTTTGTTTGCTCCATGTGCGCTAACTTGCCTGACATTCAGATTCTCATTCACCACTTTGCTTAGATTCATTCAGGATCATTTGACTGAACATTTGAGGCTTACAGGAGCCATTTGAATGAATGGGGCAAATAAAAAAGGCAACATCACCACCATCATCATCATCAAATTTGAATTTATACCGGTGACTCACTTTATTATGGTCATGATGATGATTAGTATACATTCTAACTTTGTTAAGTCTTTTTTTTCTTTGGATCTTTTTAATAATTCTATATCCTGCAGTGAAAAATGTTATGCTTCAATGTGTTTGTGTGTGTGCATGCTTTGAACACATGGATGTTATGTGATTATTATATGTGTTCTATCAAAAAAAAAAAATTTCAGCAGTTAGTGTATGACTCACACATTTTATTCATTCGTTCATTCACCACTTATACGGTCAGATTGAATTCGATTATTGGCATCATTGTGTATTGAATTGGGATTTTTTTTTTTTGAATTGGTTTAATACTCTCGTACACACACACATGATGGTTCCAATTGATGGAACCAAAAAAAAAAAACGTTCAACATGATGCTTAGTCATACCTTCTCGATACGTGCTACAGTGTGTACGTTTTTTTTTCATAATCGTCATCATGTTATTATTATTCTTATTATGAATTGAATTCTTTTTTATGTTATCTTTTAATTTCATTGTTTTATATTATTCTGGTTTCAGTGTGCACACCAGAATCGATGATGACTTTTGGCTTGTCATAATAATAATTATTTTCTTTTTTTTCATAATGATAATGATCATAATGCTGTTATAATTGTTGCGTGAATTAATGAGTGAGAATAATAATAAAAAAAAAATTCCTTCAGGCTTCTGTGTGTGTGTGTGATAGTGGAACAATTTTTTTTTTTTTTTGATTCACCACATCACTACTTATTAAACCATTTTATTGTGATTGTCTACCCACGTATATTCTGTGGTTACTACACATTACATTTCTAGTTTTTATTTTCATCAATTTTTTTTCCAGGTCAAAATATGACAAATTATTAGTCTTATTACTGTTTTTCTTCTGGTTGTTAGCGTAAAAGTGTTCATGAGTCTCATTCTTGTTTGACAAAAAATATCAAATAACATCACTATCATTATTGTCATTCTGGTGAATTGAAATCTAAGCAATATGATGATGATGATGATGATGATGATGATAAGCCAAATGTCGCCAGAATTTTTTTTTCTCTAGTTTACCAAGTTTTTTTTTCTTTTTTGTTATCCAATGAATTGTTTAGGTAATAATAATACAACTAACGAATGGAAATGACGATGATGATGACGACGATCCAATTTTATTTCTAATATACACACACACACACACACACACACATGGTATACATCGTTTTTATGTAGGCGCCTAATTCTGGGCGTTATTGTACATGTGTGTGTGTGTGTGTGTGTGTGCATTGCCCTGGCATCCCATGATGGCTGTTTTGTTCTAATTCTATGTCATGTCTTTCCTTTTCAATCTCTCTATGTTTTGATGTGATGTGAAAGTTTAGAATCAAATTCTATCTCTATCTCTATCTCTCTCTCTCTCTCTCTCTATGTACATGTGTGAATGATTCATTCATAGGATGATGACTCACATATAGAACAACAACAACAACAACAACAACGTATAGAGGTATGTTGTACAAACAGGCAAACATCAATTCCATACGGCAATATATGGTTTGGTCCTGAATTATTTTTTTTCTTTCACCCCATAACCGTTATTTTATAAACATTCAACAGAAATAAAAATGGCCAGGCTATACTATGCACATCATCTCGTTTGAAATATTCGATTTTCTTACAAAGAATCAATTTTCTCTCTGTACACACACACACACACACACAGTAGGAACATTTTGTGAATGACAGAGAAAATAATTTTTTTTTACTATTATTCTTAAGCATCTGCATCATTTAAAACAGTTTTTTTACATGTGTGTTTCTGTCTGTTTTTCCTCGAAATATACTTAAATTAAAAATAAGAAGCCGAAAAAAAAACATCAGCTTTTTTGTTGGCTTCTTTCTTCATTTTATTCACTTTGTTTCGTTGTTGTTGTTGTTGTTGTTGTCGATGTATGTAGGCCATGAGGTGATTACCGGCAAACATTTTTTTTTTCGTTTGTTGTTGTTGTTATTATTGGTTATTGAACCTATAGTGATCGATTTGATAATTCAACGATGACAGCATCAATTTTTCATTTCATTTGACAACATTTATTCCGTTTATATACAATGTAGGTAATATTTGCTTTAAAAATTCATTGGAATGTTTTTGAATCTAATCAATCAACCATCGTCATGTAGTGTCCTTTAGGGCAAACAAGTTGATTTTTAATCATCATCATCATCATCATCATCATCATCAACAACATTTTTAATGCTGTAGTATTTTCAATTTTTGCCAGATAAAGAGAGACAGATAGTGAACATTGCATAACCACCTGAGCCATTCATTTTTTTCCCCACTTTCCAAATGTAATGTTGTATGAAAATTTGATTCATTTGCATGTGTGTAAGCACGAACAAGAACAATGAAAGAAGAAAAAAAAATTCTTCAATTTCAGTTCCGGAACATTACCGGATGATGGAAATGAATCTGGAATTTTTCATTGTTTTTCTCTTTTGATTATCCTGTGTATATGATGACCTGTTTATATCTGTTTCTGTGTGTGAGAGAGAGAGAATAAAAAAATTTCAAAGTTTCATTTCTTTTCCATTGAGATTGAGAGAGTTGGTTGAATTTGATTTTTTTTTTCTTTCTTTCTTCACAACTTTCTTTGCATCCATTCTTTTTATTTTTATTGTAAGTTTTTTTTTCTACTTTTGTCATTATAATAATATCCATTCTATAGAGCATATGTATGGCTCCCGGAATTGTTTCGAATGAATAGAAAACCCAAAAAAAATAAAAAATAGTCGGGTGAGAGCCGGCTATTTTTATGTATGGTTTGAGTGGTTAAACCAATTCGACCGAATAATCGTTGTGTATGACGATTCTGTCGATTCTATTCATTCATACTATATCACTATTGTATCATCATCATCATCATTAATTCCAGTTGAATTCTTGATTCTATTCTATATACATGTTCAGATTGTAATAGAATTTTTTTTCATCTTTATTCTTGAATTTTTTGTTTTGTTTTCATCATCATTATCTGGTGGATCTTATTTTCATGAATTCAAGTGCATTCATGTGATGAAACATTGTTCATGTGTGTGTGTATCATGATGCCGGAGTATCAAGATTATGTTTCTGATTCCACTGATTCTGTACTATTAGTTGTGATGAAATTGTCTTGAAATAATAATAATTCTGTTTTATTGTTGTTAACTATTACTTTATGGCTAGCCACATTTTCATGATGATGATGATAATGATCATATATGGCCAACAAACATTAATGAAAATAAAAAAAAAACAAAGACAATTAAAAACTATGTACCGGAACTGTTGTTGTTGTTGTTGTTGTTGTTATTGTTCGGATGTGAAGATTGTAGTTTGCAATATATGCAATTTCTAATTTTTATCTATCCACAATGTGTGATGACTTTATTTCTAAATTTTCATTTTTTTTTCTGATTTCATATTCATTGCATCATCCATTTGTAGTAATGTTTATTTTTTTTCGAAAAACAAAAGTTTTCTTTTTTTTTCGTTTGTTTGTGTTTTCACAACAACAACAACAAAACATAATCCAATTTATATATTGATCAAATGGTTTCAATTTGTTCATTTTTATTTAGTTTATCCTTGTGGTATTCTAGTAGTAGTAGTAGTAGTAGTGGTGGTAGTTGTGTTGATTTTTCTTTTGTTTTTCGATAACCAGAAAAAGCGAAAGGAAAAAAAATTCAATTATCATTTGTGTACCGAAAAGAAGAAAAAAAACATTCAAGTCAATTTTCAATAAAAGGAAAATTTGAAAATAAATTTCAAATGTACCCATGTACCATATTTCAATCATCAACCATGAATTTTCTTATATATTCGATCGATACTAATGATGATGATGATGATGATGATGATCTTTCTTGTTTGGATACAAACATCATCATTATAATATGTATGTGTGTATTCAATATCTTAAGGGCATGATTACTTGGAGGATAATCATAAGCAGAAGAAAAAATGAAAAAAAAATTCCTTTATTTGCCACAAAATTGTCATCATCATAAATACACCTTATACAGGATATACAGGTACACAAGTAGTAGTATCCTGACAAATAAACAAACAGCAAAAAAAAAGTGAAAGAATATCGTGTGGCATCCGAATGATATTTTCATCATTGAAAATGAGGAGAGAGAGAGAAAGAGAGAGGCTAACCAAACAATCAAACTCTACAATGGTGTGAATGACCAAAGTGAAGGTATTCTATTTTTTTTTTTTTTTTAGGCAATGTTGATCATAGCGACCACCCAATATGAATTTGTGTTTCCATTCTCTCCTGTTTGATTTGGTTTGGTCATTTTTTTTTTTTTTTCATCTATAGCTTAATTTATGAATGAAAGTGATTTTGTTTGGGTTTTAGAGGAAAAAAAACTCACAACAACAAAAATAAATGAATGAATGAATGATGGCCATGGGAAACGTGAAATAACATTTTTTTTTTTTTCATTTTCATTTTGTTTCTTGACGACAACGACATAAAGTTGTTGTTGTTGATGATGATGATGATGGTAAACTACCATAATAATCATTATGGCCAATCATCATCATCATCATCGTAATTCATATAACATCAAATTCATGCTTGTATATAATGTGGTGTGGTATAAAGAATTTTGATGCACTACACACACACACACATGCATGAATAAACAAACAAACAAATGTAATGTACATTGGATCATCATCGTCATTTTTTTTCTAGATGAACTTTGTTCTTTTTATAATATTTGCCAGTAAATTTGAATACGTGAGTATGTTGGTTTTTTTTTCTTTAGCTTGAATATTGAACTTCAACGAAAAGTATATAAAGGTGTATTGCATGTTTATTAATGCAGTGGTTTTCAACCAATTTTTTTTTTTTTTTGTTTGTTCACGATTTTTTTGCATTTATGTTCCATTAAATTTTGTGATCAAAGGGTAACATTTTTTTTTTGTTTTATTTGTACATAGTATGGGAACGCTTAAATCACTGCTTCTATATCGTGTTAATGAATGAATGAATGAATGAATGAAACATTCCAAAGTGTAAAATCTATGATTATCAATCAATCATTTTGTTGCTATTCCCCATACACTTGTGAATGGCAAAAAATCATGATGTTTTCATTCATTCATAAGAAGAAGAAGAAGAAGGAGAAAAACAAAATCTAATCGAATCAGTAAAAAAAAACAAAAATTCATTCAGATCAAATCATTATTATGGCCAATCATTATTTCTTTTTTTTTTTTATTCGATTTCGTGATCACGTTCACCATTTATTATGTATGTGGATCAACAAAAAAAAATTTTTTTTTTTGTTTGATTTTCGTGTGATTGTTGCTGTTGTTGTTGTTGTTGTCGTTGTTTTTTTTACTTTGACGGATCTAGAAACTCTTTTATATTTCTCATTCTATTAAATCAAATATAAGAATTAGAAGGGAATAAAATATTTTGTCCTTGTTGTTTTCCATCTCCTGCTGCTGTTGCTGCTGCTGCTACAGTTTTCTTTTGATCTCCAATATCATTATTTGTTGAATAATATTCAATACACTACACTACCTACCTAACATGTCGATGATTATCATCGACATTTGCTATAATGATGATGATGATGATAATGATCATCATCATACAGTGACAAACTAAACCGACAAAAAACATTGGTGGCCGCATCCAATGGCAACGTATGTTTGTAAATATATATATCGGTGTGATGTGTCTGTGTGTTTTTATGTCGCGATCACCGTATATGAGGACATTCAACATTATATCGGTGAAAGAACGATGCTGATACTGGTGGTGATGATGATGATTTTGATTTTGATTTCGAGGAAACAAGATACCACACCATCATATTGAAAATATTTCCTTGAAACACACACACACACACACAAACATAATCAGTGCAAATTAATTCATTCAATATTTGATTGTATTTTACGGCCACAAATAAAAAAAAACGGATTGATTGATCCATCTATAATTGATCAATTCATTCATTCATCGATTGATATTATTTGTTAAAGAAAAAAAAAATCTAAATCTAAAGTTTCCATTCATTATACACCATTGATTGTATATGTATGTATTTGGTGGTTATTATCATGATCATTGATAGTCAGTTTTTTTTCAGTTTGACATTTTCGAATTATTTTGATTTTTTTTTTTCAATGTTTGTGTGTGTGTGTGTGTTTGCAATTGATGATTAAAGCCATTGCCTTTGAACACAAGAGAATCTGTGTTACATTATTTTTTTTGGCTTCATATTTTTCCTTCTCTCTGTTCAAATTCTGAATTCTTTCGTGATTTTATAATTCTGTGTCAGTCATGTATATGTGTGTGTGTGTGTGTTAGCTGTCAGACAAATGTCTTGAGAATTTTTTTGTTCGAGTTTCTCAACCAACATCACCACCACCAACCATCATCGTCATTTTTTTTTTTTCGCAAACATTTTGAAATTTTAGTTTGTTGCCTGTAGTTTTCTTCTTTATTTCATTCATTCATTCATTCATTCATTGCTGTTCGATAATTTTGTGTTTTGGTATTAATTTCATTCTCGTGTATTTTTTTTTTCTTTTTTTTTTTTTTTTTTTTTGTTGAAAATAAATAGATTGCCAACATTGACAGCTGCATTTGTTTTCTGGAACGTTTAGGCATCAACACCAAAGGAATCTATGCAAAAGGTTTGGACATTTTTCAATTGTAAATAAATATACAAAACGATAGATTTTGGGACATATTTTTTTTTTTGCATTCGTATACCTTGTAGTTTTTTTTAGCTTGTATATCATTTTAAATCGTTTGATGATTCGTTCGTTTGGTTTTTTTTCTGCTTAGGTTTGCTTAACTGGTTTTTTTTATTCTTGATTTTTTTTCTTTGCCTGTTTCGTGTGAAAAATGACCAAATGATGTGTATAATGCTTAAGAATGTATATATACTCTTGTGCTCTACTTTTCAATTTCAAAATTTTGATTCTCACCAAGAAAAATTTTCTTTTTTTCTTTCTTTTTTTTTCTTTACTCATTCTCCAATATTACTACGTAATGTGTGTGTGTGTGGTATTTATTAGATATCCATGAAGGAAATTTGAAATCAATATTGACCCTATTTTTTAACATTTCAAGATATAAACAAAGTTTGAAAAAACAGCAGCAACAACAACAACAACAAACGATACACATCCGGAGCCGGAACTCCGCCTATAGTGAAAAATCCACATCAAAGTTTATATCATAATGGTGATCTAATGACCATATCATCATGTACAAGTGGTGAAGAAGATGATAATAATACGGCTGGTGGATTTATGACAGATTTTTCCATTTCATCATCAACACAATCATTAATACTATCTTCATCATTGCCATCATCATCGAATGGTAAAAATTTCATAACATCTTCATCCAATATGGCACCACCACCGACATCTGGTGTTACGATTTCGAGGTAAGTTTTCAAAAAAAAAATTTCTATCAAAAATTCTATACAAAATTGAAAATTTAAAACAAATATAATAGAACCAATCTTTCGGTGTGGTCGCTAGAATGTTCTATATTTATAAAAATCATTACGGGTATGACCGATACCCGGCACTATTATATTAGGTTGTAGTGGCAAAGTTCGTTGTCCTGCCTTTGTTTGTGTGTGTGTGTGTGTGTGTCTGTTCATGTGGATTCTGCTCCTGGAACACACACACACACACATAAAAAAAGATCAATAGCCTCGTCTTTTATTTTATATTCTGTTTTATTTAATCGATTTTTTTTCTAAATTCTTTGTCCATAATATAAATAGATTGCCTAACCAGAATCATATCAACAATAATTTCACTGGTTCAGGAAATCATGGTAATAATCATAATAATAAGATCAATAATACAGCAACAACAACAACAACAAAACTTGTTCAACCAACAATCAACAACAATAATAATAGTGGCAACAGTAGTAGTATACCAACCATTCCCAGTATCCAGCAGCAACAAAATAATCGAAAATCTTCATCAACTAATGCCAAAGGTTTGTTTACTATTTTTAACTTTTTTTTTTCCATGACCATTTTCCATAATCTACATTATAATGTTTCATAAGATGCGCATAAGATCTGTGTGTGTGTGTGAAGCTAAACACTTTCAATCTTAATGATGATTGATAGGATTGAATCGATTTAATTTTTTGAATTACAATTCAATTTTTTTTCTATTGTACAAGTCTAATTAATCATATCATCGCCGATGGGCGTTCATGCATAAAATATCATCATGGTAATCTGGTTAATGGTCCGAATCAGATTGTCCGTGGGAATTTCCTCACACACAAACACACACACACACACACACACGTATATTGTAACTATTTCTGACAAACTTTGAAGTTAATTTTTTTTTTCGTTTTCAATGCAAAAAAAACCATATGGTCAGCGAATAAGAAAAATATTGTTCGGATAAAATGATTTTAATTATTTACATTGAATTGTGTGATTAATTATAGTTGAATTTGATTAAATTGCTGATTTGTGTAATGTGTAATTAATCATTGAGTTCGCTTGTCCTTATATCTAATGACAATGATATTACAATGAGAAAACATTGGTTCGAAAAATTTTTTTTTTCATTTCGTTTTTCTGAAATAAAGAAGAAAATAGTTCCCTAAATTTGGAACTTTAATACACACACATACACATGGGTGTATTAAAGTATTTGTTTTTATTATGAATGATAAGTGCATAATTATGTTTGAAGCAAGATTCAATTGTTCCAATTATATATATTATTACACATTTGCATGTTAATAATGACAATAACACTAGTATCATTGATCATTCCCAATGAAGGCAATGCTTGCGAGATTTTTTCATTTTCATTTTCTTTTGTTTTTTTTTTGCAATTATTTTCAATTGTACATCTTTCGTAAATTCATTTCATTCATTCATTCAGTTATTTCATTTCATCATGATGGTAAAAACATTAAATTTGATCGATACACATAATTCTTGTCATTTCAATTGCATTTAAATACAAGGGATTTTCCAATTTCATGTGTGTGTGTGTATGATGTGATGTTTAGTTTCACTTTTTCTATTGCATCCTATCCGGTAAATTTTGTCTAGGTCTTTTTGGTTTTTTTTTCACTGCATTATCGACAAAAAAAATAATAATAATTCTATGAATTGATCGCGCATGACAATCTACTGAATGGATACTGAATCCATGCCTGTATTTGGTTCGTCGGTTTTTTTTTGCGCGGCTAGACATATATATTGTTGTATAAATATCATTTGGGTGTTTGTGTTTGCGTGTGTGTGTGTGTGTGTGTGTATGTATCTGTGACCATAGATGCGACAGACTGGAACATGGTCTGAATCCATCAAATGATGAAGGATGATATACATTTAGGCGTGTCAAACATCATCATGTGGTTTTGTTGTTGTTGTTGTTGTTGTTGTTGTATTCAGGGCACTTTACATTTGTTGTCATTGATTGTTAGACTTAATTTTATGTGGTGGATAGCTAGTAAAATGTTCTTTGTCATTTACCATTTTGCCATTTAATTGACAAAATGGTAAATGTCGTTGAATCCATCCAACAGTTCAAATTCATTGAATCATTTAAAACATTCGATTTTCCGATGAAAAAAACACATCATTTCATATTATCATGAATAAAGTGATTTTGTTCATTTTTCCTATGTGTGTGTGTGTGTGATCGGTGAAAATGGTCAACTATTCTATTCTATCTTGCATCCATCTAAACAAATTGATTCATTCATGATTTTTTTGAATTATCATTATTATGATAATAAAAATGATATAATTTCAATCACATCAATCAATACAATCTTTGATAGAACAAATGAGATAATAGCAATGAGAATCACGTGTCAAAAAACTGAATGAATGAATGAATGAATGAACTGCCCTGTTGTTTATTGAATTTCAATTTTCAAAAGAAAATTTTTTTTATCTTGGAACACTTATAAAGGCTGTCATTTTTGATTAAAAAAAAAATAAAAGAAAATCCGCTGTCATTCATTCATATTTTACATCAAATTTTTTTTTTTGATTTGATTTGATTTTATTTGATTTGATCTGTCCAAATATGAACAAAATAAAGGCGTTACATTTGTTTTTCATTTTGATTTTCAGCCACCATCAATGGTGGATAACCAATTTTGACTATAATAATGTGAATTTATTCTTTGAAAATTTGACTATTTGAAATCGACATCTTCTTGTCAAAAAAATTAAGTTATAGTCAATATCTTGCACCGTTTTTTGTTTGTTGTTTGTTGTTGTTGTTCGTGTGGCCTTTTTGTAAAAAAATTTCTACAACACACACACACACACATCTACAAATATGAGCAAAATGGCAAAATGAAAAATTCGTTTACTTTTTTTTTCATTTCTTTTTCTCTACATTATTACGTTAGAGTTACTCTCTGAATTAAATGTTCCACATTTTTGATCCACCATTGTGTGGTGGTTGTTTTTTTCTGTTTTTTTTTTTTGCCATGAACATTCGAAAAAAAATCGCGTAACAAATTCATTAACACACAAATGTTAAATGTTGTTCAACAAGTGAATATTTTGTTTGTGGGCCAGGTTTGTTTGAAATATTTTTATTTTTTTTTTTTTTTCAGTGAGAGTTATTGTCGGTTTCCATTCAACCGCTTATCACAATATGTGATAATGGCGCCGAAATATCTGTTTGTATAAGAAGAGGTGCTAACAACGAATCCTTTTTCACTAATCAATTGATCCATCAATTGATTGATTCGGAAAAGAAGTGTCAAATTATTCACTTATAGTTATCATCAACATTTGTTGTTTTTTTTTGTTGCCTTGAAGTAATTGAATGATGAAAAAAAAGTAAAATGAAAATAAAGTATCCAAATGAATGAATAAAAATGAATGTGATTTGATTATGAAACGATTTTTTTCTCGCTGTTGCCATGACCCAAAGATCTGTGTCTATGTGTGTGTGTGTGTGTGTAAATTTCCGCATTTAATACAAATCATATCATATTATGTGTGTGTGTGTGTGTGGACACCTACACGTTTTTTTATTTTGAATTCTCGTTATTTTTTTCCATCTTCATTGATCATTTAATATAGTTTTATATGTGTGTGTGTGTAGAAAGAGTATGAATTAAGTTAAAATAAATAATAGGAAAAAAAAATGTCTTCAACTTGGACATCATCGATGTTAGATTTTTATTACAATTTATCATCATCATCATCATCACCTTCATCATCATTGATTTCGTTGTCCACCACCACCACCACCACCAGCAACAACATTTACCATTTTTGTCCACAACAACAATTACAATTACGACGATCACGATTTGATCATTCAGCACATCGTCGTGCTACATCACAGTATTTCATTCTCAATGATCTTCATGATGGTTTGTTTTTTATTGTCATTTCGAGATTATTGGTCATTTATTAAATCTTAATCATATATTTTTTATGTCTGATAAAAACAATCAAAAATAAATTAATTGTTTTCATTTCTATTTTTTTTTTTGTTTTCATCATCCGCTTTCCAATCGGTTCGATTACAAAATATTTCCGGATCTTTCGATCTAATCTAGTAACAACAACAAGTTCCTCAAATCTTCAACAACAATCAAATAATAATAATTCAACATCCAATATTACATCATCGACTGCTTTACCACAAATCAATCGAATACAGCAACAACATCATCATCATCATCATAATCATCATAATCGTACGACTACACCACCATCAGATAGATTTGTTTCATCAAACACTAATCATTCACGGCCATCACGTCCACAATCGACATCATCTATACCACAGATTGGTAATCTATCTTCGGTAGTTAAACCTGCTGTTGTACCGACAAAAAAATCTACTTCATCAACAAATTCTCGAATCACAACAAAAAATTCAAAATCTTCAAGTGATAATGAAAGTGTAAAAAATAATAAAACAAAATCATCCAATGGTCTGAATAATTCGGTATCACGTTTGAATCCATCACAAAGTGAACTAAATCTTCGTAAATCAACGACTACAACTGTTCCCGGGAAAAGTGGACGACAGCTTCAATTACGTCGACTACCAACACCAACAACAACCACTAGTGGAAATTCAAATCAACCTAGACGGCCAATATCGACCATAATTGAATCATCGATACCTTCAATGATAACAATGATGACAACAAGTTGTCCAAGTAGTACAACAACAATTACCAATGGTATCACTACAACAATGATGAATCCACAGCAACAACAACAACAATCAACTATGAAACCAACGGCCACCGTAAAAGGTTAGCAAAGAAAAAAATTATTTGGCCTGATGTTTAATGTCTTTTTTCTTGAATATATTTCATTTCACATAATAGCCATGGTGACGCCAATAATGTCTACAATTGATTCTCCGAATCATAAAATTGATAAACAAACTAAATGTCCACAAAAAGGAATAATATCATCTCGATCGACTGATTCAACACAATCTTTGAATTACAAGAATGATGTCAATTGTAGTAACAATGATCATCATATGAAAAACAATAACATCAATGGATCATCATTGTCGTTGAAAAAAGATACAAATGATATGGATTTACAATTATCATTGAAAAAGAAATCAAATATTAATAGACGTCAAAATTCATTAGGATCTACAAACAGTGTTGGCAATGGTGGTGGTGATAGTACAAGCGATGGTGATGGAAATATTAGTGAAGATATGGAAACACCACCCATTATTCCACCAGTAATGGAACGGCCTTTACAAACAATTTCCTATCTTAAATCCAATGCAAATGTTTCAACATCAAATTCGACTACAAACATTCAAAATGGTAATTTTCATTTGATCATCATCATCATCATCATCATCTGCAAATCAATTCAATTTCTAATCATTTTTCTATTGATTAGCTTATCATTCACTTAGATTTTCAAATTTAAACTAGTATTTTTCCATTGTTTATCTTATTGTCATATTTTTTTTTCTCTCTCTCTGTTCTTATCAATCAGTTGTTGTACAACCAAACATTGGTTCATCGAGGACGACCACACCGACGATCATGTATCGTAAACCGGAAAATCAACAAACCCATTATCAACGTACAGGACGATCACATTATGAACCATTATATTCAAATGGTACGATGAATGTTCCATCCAATATACATCGATTAAGTCAAGGTGCCGATTACTATGGTTCGATAATGATGATAGGTAAGATGAAAAAAATTGTTGTTGTGTTTGAATTTGTTTTTCTAGATTTTCCATACACGATCCATATAAAAACCCCGAATTTAGTAATAATACGGTTGATTTTCATAGTGAACCAGAATCACCAATGAAAAATCATCTCAGTGATTCAACAACATTGCTAAATTTGCACGTTATTCGCCATTCATCATCATCATCATCATCAACGTCTGCAACAAAATCAACTGAACAGCAGCAACAACAACAACAACAACAATTGAATTCTCGTACAGATATTGGTCGTGATGGATCCCAGAAAAACATGATCCGTTTGAAACATTCATTTTCAAATCATAATCATTCTAAAAATAGTAACAATATAATATCACATGGAACCACAAATAATCGAGGGTAAATCATAAATTTTCACTACGAAAAATAAAGCTGGCTGAATGTTTTTTTTTGAGTTTTTGACCATCTGTCCGATCCAAATTGTCAACATAATAATAATTATCATAATAAATTGCATTGCATTAACAAATTGCAACTTTCAAATAAATAATCACTGAAATGGTGTTTTTTCTGTTGTCTTTGTGGTCATAATAATAACTGTTACATTCCATATGTGTTATATATTTATAAGAACTAAAAATTCTTTTCACTCATGTCTAACATAAACACATTGCTTTTATTTTATTTGAATATTTATATATAAATCAAACATATGCCAACCATATTGTACTAATCAATTTTTTCAATGTTTTTTTTTCTTCTCTTTTTTTTCCTATAGTTTTGAAGAGAGTAGTTCATTAAGTTCTGATACCGGTGGTGGTGGTGGTGGTGGTGGTGGTATTTGTGGTGTTGCCAATTGCAACGGTGGTAATGGTAGCCGTTGTTCGGATGTTAGTACAACAACAACAACGACAACATCCTCTTGTTCATCATCGTTAGATCCTCGTGTTAATCATATGCCAAAATCGTCCATAAAATTCAATCAGAATCAACAAAATCGATCAAATTCTAGTCCAAACAAATCATTATCGAATTCAACTACCGAGCTTTATAAAACAATTTCACCACCACAACCAATAACAATGACTAAATTAATTGGTCAGTCTGGAACATTACCAATGAATAGTAGTGGTAGTGGTCATTATACGAAGAATAATAATATCACAAATAATCGTTCAAATATTGTAAATCAAAATCAACGATTTTTGAAAAGTTCAAAATTACGTTCACAAACATTGGCCAATGATGGATCGGTAATCTATTCAGATTCTGAATGTCAACAGCCACAAAATCATCAATCACAGTCTCGTTCAACATTTTCACTATACAAACTTCCAATCGGTCCACAATCATCAAACGTTAATAATTCGCAACAAGTCGGCAATCAATCAACAAATATGATCCAAAACACTACTAACTTTTGTTCATCATCAAAAGATGGCGGCCATTATAGTGAATTGATTTATTCAAATATACATAGCGGCAATAATAGTAGCCGTCCAACTACGGATACTGATTCAATTGATTCATTAAATACAATTGGTTCGGATCGAGCTTCATCAATTGCGTCACAATCAATTTATGGTGTACATCCATCATTAGGACATCATACAAACAACCATCATCATCATCATCATCATCATCCATTATCAAAACCAGGTGATTTAATTTGTGAATATGAATCTGTAAATCGTTTACGTGAAACTATGTCAGCATCACCAACATCGAATAAAATGTTTACAAATTCAAATGGTGTTTATTCGGATACAAATTCTGGTACAAGCGGTAATAATAATAATAATAATACAGCTCATATAGGCCGTAGTGGTTCATTTCGTCTTCCAGGAACATCAACTAATCATCATTTACCACCGATACCGGCTCATTTGAATAAAATCAAACAACAACAACAACAACAACAACTACAACATGATCAACAACATCTGCCGCCAACATCAGAACATTCAGCATCATCATTATCATTATTATCATCAAATTCATCGGCAATTTTTACAACGGTAAATAATAATTTTATTTTTTTTTTTGGTCCAATAAAATCAATTGCATTGCCGAAAATAATTGTTTGTTTTCTTTTCCGACTTAATTGAATTGTCATTTTTTTTATCATAATGATAACCAGGTTAGGTTGTGTAGCTAACTATAATTATTACTATACCTCATAATGACAAGTACTTTCTGATCATTCGAATATCATTATTGAATCGAATGATTTGTGGCCTGCCTTGTTGTTGTTGTTGTTGATGTTGTTGTCAAAAATCTAATCAGTTTTGTTAATTAATAGAGATTATTGTGAAGAAAAAAATTATTACTTGAACATTTCATTTGACAGCCAACTACATTTGATGTATGTATGTGTGTTTAGGAAGATATAAAATAATAATATCACTATGGGTGATGATGGTCGACCTCATTCTTCATCATAATCATCATCAATATGACCATCATCATCATCATCATCATCATCATTATCATTAATATGTTGGCATTTTTAACGATGTGAACTTGAAATTTTGGTTTTGCCACTTTTTTTTGAACTCATCATATTCTGAATGAAAATAGACTAAAAGAAGAGAGAAAAAAAGGGTTAATACACACACTCATACACACATTGTTATGGAGAGGCTGTGAATGTTCCTGAATTTTTTTTTTTCACATTGTTTTGCTTTGTCATTATGGCCATAGAATAGAATAGAAATTCGATTGCACTAGATTGTGAATAAGAAGAAGAAGAAGAAAAAAATTGTCATAATTTAACAACAAAAAAAATAATAAAATTAATTTTTTTTCCACTTGTCATTTTATTCTCACACACACACACACACAATTGTAGCCCGAAGAGAAATACATACATGAAATTCGACGTTTACGGCGAGAATTGGATCAAGCAAATGAAAAAATCTACACACTTACATCACAATTGACGGCAAACGTAAGTGTCACCTTTTGTTATATCAAATTTTTTTTTTTCATTATTATTGTTGTTGTTACCTCGATTTTTAAATAAAAAAAAAATTGAATTCAATGAAAAAACGAAAAATTTCTTGACCATTTTTTTTCCAATGATTATGATGATGATGATGATGATGAAATTTTTTTTTCTGGGCCATCTCATCAATAAAAATCATTATATCAGCAGGTGTGTGCATATTAAATGTAGGCTTGTGTGTGTGTGTGTGTGTGTGTATGTCCGATTCGATTACTTTATCTGAATATTATATTATATTAAAAATCAAAAAAGCTAATTCATCACCCATATATTTACTTGATATTAAAATACCTGATATATATTATGTAGTAACAGAAACAGAAAATGTTTTCCATTGGACATTGGTTGTAATCAAATTTGATTTTGGATAATGATGATGTTATATAGATGATGGATAAATAAAAAAAAAAAAACATTTCTGGTCTATCATCATCCTACAGATTCAGGTGGAAATTTTTTTTTTTTTTTTTTTTTTCTGGTTGATTACTGATCAACTCATTCATCATAGAGATGTAGAAAAAAAACTGGTTTTTTCTGTCAAATTTACGTTTTTGAATGGAAAAGAATGGAAAAACATTCATGTAAATAAACGAAAAAAAAAAAATTTTTTTGTCTGTTTAATTTTTTGCAATTAAAATTCCAATCATTTCTTCCTGTATTTATATCAGTTTCGTTTTTCTCCCCCCACAACCAGAAAAGACATTTTAATGGACATTTGAATTTTTTTTCTGATGGTCAATCATTTTCTTTTCAATGTATGTTAGCATTTGATGATCGATTTCAAATCATTGAAAATTTTGTAATTGATTTTCTATTTATGGAATATCAATTATTTTGGATTCGATTTTTCTTTGATTCAATTACGATTTGAATTGAAATGGAGTGGCTGAATGAATGCATTTTTTTTTGCTACAAATTTTTTTTTTCACATTGTAATCTAATCTAATCATGTTATTTTGTGTTTGTGTGTGTGTGTGTGTGCATGGTTAAAACTTGAAATGTTGAATTCCGATTCATCACAAAATGTCAGTTGCTTGAAGGTTTCATTTTTTTTTCTAATCCTAAAACCTGATTGAATGAATTCACCGGCATCTTTCTTCATTGTGTTTTGTTTCCAAATTGATAGGATTCTTTTTTTTGCTCCACTTTTTCTCATTGAAAGTGATGGAAAATTGAATTGAAAATTTTTGTTCATTTTTCATGATTCTCTCATATTAATTTCAAATCAAATTGCCAAAGGATTAAAATGACAAAACAATCAAAAAAAAAATGTGGATTTTGATCTTGTCAGAAACAAATTTATGACATGAATGGATTTGAATTTATATTAGTAGAATTATGATTAAGTTAAGATGAAATGTTTTTTTTTCGTTGAAAACTTTTTTTTTACACCTCTATTTCACTGTTTATGTGAATATATTTATACATTAATTTGATCCCAATGGTTAGTTAGTTTTTCTTGCCGTCAGGTAGTAAACATATGATGGCCATCCATGTATCTATCATCATCATCAGGGATGTAATGTTGATTATCATGATGATGATGATTATGTGTGTGTGTGCGTATAGGTTGCTTTACATTTTTTTTTTTTTGCACACCTTGATTTTGATTTTGATTTTGATTTTTTTTTCATCTACCAATCCATCCATCGGTTGACCTGGTTGATTCTCTATTTCTATGTGATTTTGATGTTTGTTCACAAAATTTGATTATGATGTGTGGATGATGTTCATAAGCCGGATCAATTCATCATCCGGTGAATTAAATTTTTTTTTCTTCTCTCATGTTGAAATTTCAAATTATAATTTATTCCGTTTATTTGTTTGAATATTCGTTAAATATCTTCAAGTTTTAAAGATCAACAAGTGATTTTTTTTCTCAAGTTGTTTGTTTGTTTGTTTTTATAGTGAAAATCATCATTCTCAATATATCATATCATTTTTAAATTTCGCGCACAATACACACACACACGCATACAAACAACTGAGATGAGACTAGATTAATGAATCAAATATAAAAAAAACCATATCCATGCATAAATTAGTGCACAGCAGCCAAATTCGATTGTCGATTCAATGACAATTTGACCAATTTTCTTAACTTTAGTCTTCAATCTCTAACTCATTATTATTATCATTGTTGTTGTTGTTGTTGTTGTTGTTTTTTCGTTCTTGTTAACTAACCGTTGATTTGTCAATGATTATTCTCATATCCATTTGTTTTTGTTTTTTTTTTTTTTTTTTGATGATGGTGATAATAATGATCATTGTGATGATGATGATGATGATGATGATGATGATCATTTGATTCGATATATACAGGAAACGTATGTAGAAACACAATTCGTTTATTTTTCATTTTGTCCTAGTTTTTTTTTCTTTTGTTTTCACAAATTATGTATACCTGTGTGTGTGTGTGTGTGTGTGTGTGTGTCAATTCATTTTATCCTAGATCATTCATCTCTGTTTGCGTGTGTGTGTTTACTACCTGATAACCGAATCTAGTTTTGCTTCATGCATGTGTTGATTTTTTTAGTTTAATTTTCAATCCAATTAACTTTTTTTTTTTGTTTGTTGTCTTTTACCTCATCATTGATCTTTTATTTGTTTGATGATGATGATGATGATGGCAATTATTATAATGATGATTAAAATCATCATCATCATCATCATCATAGCAATCGAAAAGATTTTTTTTTTTCTTCAATCGGTTTATGTTTGAGGTGTTTTAAATGTTTTTCGTTTTAAAATTTTTTTTTTTTCATCTAACCATGGCATTGTGAAAAGATTTTTTTCTCTCCCGTAATGGTGGTAAACGGTCAAATATATTGATTTTGAGTTAATAGAAAAAAAAGATGTTTTCTGCGTCCATTTTAAATCCTCTTTAATTATCTTTAATTCATTCGATATTGAATAATAATAAGATGGTTGATTGATTGAATCCTACATTCAAATAATTTCTCTTTTTCATTTTTTTTTTCATTATTGATTTTAGTTTCAGTAAACAAAAAAAAAAAAAAAATGTAATTGACTAGTAAGTGTTGGAATTATTTAGACAGACAGATGTTTTACACCTGGCTAGTGGTCAAGTCAAGTTTGTTTGTGTTTGTGTGTGTGTGTAACGATTATGTTCAAAGTTCAAATGTGTTCTCATTGAATTTTTTTTCAATTTTTTGTTGTTGTTGTTGTTTGAAATTTTTGTCCATATAGAATTTGAAAATCAATCAACAAAACAAAACAAAAAATTTATTCGACTTATCTTGCCATATTTATATATTGATTTTATTATGTTCGTGTATATATGGTGTATTACGCCATAATAATCAACTACTATGTAATCAATTAATCACTGACACATATGTGTCTTGTGAACAATTGAATTCACAAAATTTTCTTTTGGCACGATCCACAGAAGAAAAATAAAAACACGATTAATTTGATTCAATTTCACAATTCTCATAGGATTATTGTGGTATCTATTTTTATCAAAGATAAATTTATTTGTAGATAACTTTTTCGATCTTGATAGTGATTTTTTCTGTTTTGTTTTGTTTTGTTTGGCTGGAAAAAAAATATATTACCACATCATAGTTTTATCAGTGTTAATCTTATTGGATTTTGAATGTGAATGAATGTGAAATTTTTCTCTCTTTTTTTTCCCTCCTTGTAACAAATATTTCCATAATGATTAAATACAGTGGATAACTTGGTTATATAATAATGATGATAAAGCCACAGCTAATGATTAGATGATTTGAGGATTTTTACCATTTTTTTTTTTGTCATCTTGCTTCCTATTCACAATTGTCATCCATCAATGGTTCATTCGATTTACATTCATTTAATATAACAATGGAAACTTGATGCTAACAGAGTAGTATATACCACGAATATTATCGTTCCTATTTCATTCATGGTATGAATGGTTTTTTCTTTCACATCCAAAATCCGCTTTATGGTAAATTCAATAATAATTTTTTTCTTCTTCTTCATCAGATACATTTCAATTGTCAATTGTTTTATGGATTATGGATATTCATTTTTGTTGTGTTCATTCTATTTGACAATCATTAATAATCGTTATTCTAATATACCACATTGTAGAATTTTTTTAAATTCCATTCCATAAATATATATGAATCGAATCTTGAATAATATCCATAAATTTCTGTACATCTTATCAATGGTTGGATTTAAAAAGGATGGATCACCATCTTGATTTGATTTGATTGTAATGGAAAAAGAAATTGAGAACTCTTTTTTTCTACATTATTGTTGTTGTTGTTGTTGTTGTTGTTGTTGTTGTTGTTGGTGTTGGTGTTGATGATGTGCTATTGATGTTGGCCCCATTATAAAAAAAACGGTTTTTGTTATCCGGTAAATATATTTTCATATATAAAAAGCTTTTCAACATCATCAACACATTTATTTTCAATGATGATGATGATGATGATGATCAAAACAAAAAAAATTTTTTTTCATCGTTTACTGCTCTAATAGCCTCATTATTTTATTTTTTTTTTCATCAATCCATTACAATTACATTAAATCTTTGTTCATTCATTCATTCAAACAAAACATTACGAATAGAGTAATTTGACAAGAATGATGAAAGCCAAATGTCATCATCATCATCATCATCATCATCATCATACATTGATATGAAAAAAAAAAAAACAAACCTCCCACCATTCTGGTCACATTGTTGTTGTTGTTGTTTTCTAGTATCATTTTAGCACCAGTGAATAACTTGTTGAATGGTTTTTCTTTTCTTTTCACAAAATTTTTTGTATTTTTTTTCTGATAATGACACCTGTCATTATGCACAACCATTTTTTTTTTGCCACCAACATTGTTAACATTTTTTCTTTTTTTTTTTTACTCGATTGATTCAAATTATTGCCTGTTTTTTTCTGTGAATATAAATCATCGTTCTATATATA